TATATGCTCACCAACATTCCCGAGGAAGTCTGTTTACACTCACCAAAGCCGCAGCCAAAACCCGATGTCAGGCATACAGCCAAGGAAGCAGAATTGAAAGGGACTTTGAGCTTGCAAAACCACAACAGCTAAACTCTGTTGCTGGTGAAGCGTCTGATTGACAGCTGGGTAGTTCATGTACATGTCGTAAGCAATTACTGACCATCACGATCAAGTTTCACCAGACCATGCATCATTGCCTAGTGACAAAATGGTTGCTCCAAAGATACCCGTGATGACGTTCGCTGGAAGATGCTGGAAGGCAATTCTTCATGCTCTAGTTTATCTCAATCTCTGTTTGTCAGAAAGAACTCCAGGCTTTCATGGAATCTCGGCAACTGCTGTTCAATACTTGGATGAGGCTCAGCTGCGCATCTTGCTGCGGGGTTGAACAGGATGCGAACCAACAAGCGACTTCCATGACTTCCGCAAGCATGCATTCAACACCTTTTTTCGTTTCCTCAGACCTATTATGACACCCACACAAGCATTGAACACTTTACACACCCTGAACCCCATACAACCGTCGTGAAACTATCAACAATTGCCTCAAATCCTTGATCTCGCACGGTGCGTTTGGGCAGCGTCAAGTCCTGGGAGGCAAGAACAGGAGCACAAACAATGCGGATAGCTTCCAGTGTCAAGGGACGTCTGCGCAAGTCTTTTGCTTGGATGTTGTTCTTCGGACGGTTTATTTTGGATTCTGTTTTTTTCTGGAAGGCCCCCTGGGTGTGTGCGCTTCTTTCCATGTGTTGTCCGGTAATGGTGGCTTTTACCACGACAGCTGCACAAGTCACGGTGGATCCAACGCAGAATTCACCGCCGCCTCCAAAACGCAACTGGCGTGTAAACGAGCCGAGCACGCCAAATGATGACTTCAAAGAGCGTAGGATAGATTGCTGGTAAGCATGACTCCAAGCTCAATCACGCCCCGCATGATCCATACTAGGACAGTATGACTTATGACAGCTTACCTGAGGGCCGATAGAGCATGCAATCTCAGCGCAGCAGTTCCTTTGCATTAGATGTTGCTTCAAAGGCTGCAGTGCAAAGCAACAGGAATTTGCTTCAGGTCTCCGCATGAAGTCAGTCCTTTTTGAGCTCAGGAAACCAGGGACCACTGTTGCATCACAGTGAGCAAAATAATGAAAATAAATGTTTATGATCCCGGTGCCCTACCAAGAATCGTTCCTGCCACCGGAATCATGGCAGATTCTAACCAGACTCATTCGACATGTCGTCCATGTTATATGATCATCCATTGAAGATACGAGCAGCTCACTGTTTGCTCGCCTTTTAATGCTAGGTTGTGCCATAGCCGGGAAGACCAATGGCATGTGGGGGGTCTTTTCTTGGTGCTCTTTGCTCTGTAAGCGGCTGGGCCCGGAATTCCCAGGGTCGAATCCTCACAGCCATGGAACCAGGGCTTTGCATGATGCTTGGCAGCGAACTCAGCTTCTTACCCTGTGCATGCAGTTATAAGAGGCCTGCAGTAGACTTTAAAGAATGCAGGCTCCTCAGCGGCCAACAGATGCAAAAAGAGGCCTGCTTCGATGTGAATATGTGATGACCCCGACATGTTATCTCTCATTTCATAATGACAATTGTTTCGCGAACTGGGGGAGGGGCTAATCATACTTATATCATGCCCATTGGGGGGAGGGGTGGGGGACGAGGGGAACCGTGAATGCTGACGCATACACACACACGTGCTTGTCATGCCTGCCTAAATCTACTTGGAGGTTCATAGGCAGCTATAGGTAGGGCCCGAACTTTCTGAGTTATAATGATAAGTATTGGGTGGTTGTCAAAATTATGGTCCCTTTTTGGGTACCCTAAATATTAGGTGCCGTATTATAATAGGGATCCAAAAAGGGACCATAATTTTGACAACCACCCCTATGATAACCACCTGACTACAGCTCTCGAATGGGAGTGTCACAGCTACTGCCGGCGGCCTGACAGCCAGATTGCAAGGGGCAGGCCAGCAAGCAAAGGTTTTGCAAAATGCGTAGACATGTACATATATATATGTATATACATATAGAGGGGTTATAGATGTTAACATGGGGTTTATGGGAAGATATATAGCCGGTCTAGGGATTTACCCATCAACCTATACGTAAACGGTTTAAATCCCGGACCCCAAACCCTGAAGACTCAGCCATAAACTCGGGCTCAGAAGCCTAAACCCCCCGAAACCCTACAGCACTTTCCGTTGTCTTTTCCATTTTCATATCGCTATAGCATGCCGTATCTAGATTCAGTGCCCAGTTTAGGCTTCTCGAGCTGAGGATATAAGGGTGATGGCGGTATCCCGGTTTGTCGGCTTAGATTCGGCAAGCTTTGTCCAGAAAGGTGGAATTGCACTTGTGGTGGCCCTCTCTTTTGGGTCCAGTTGTAAGTTTGAATCAGCACCAGGGAAGGGTCTGGGTTGCAGACAGGGATTCAAGACTTGAGGGCACAACAACATGGGACGAAAGAATTCCTGCGCCCATCCCAAGTCCTCTCTGTGCAAGGCTTGGGGATTGGGTTTCCAAATGTAGGGCTGCAGGATAGTTGTGAAAGAAGGGTACAACAGGCATGGTGTTTCAGATTCCGTTCGGCAACTATGGGTCCAACTTGTAGGACACGGATCTTATGTTTTGTGGCTGCCCCATTCTCAGAATCCATAATCCTGCAGGTGGCTGAGCTCTGTTCGGCAAGTAGTTGGCACCCACCGGACTATGGCAAAACAGTGCTTTCTGCTGATCTCGGTTTGGGGCTTGGGGTTTCAAAGGCCCACAAGCATGATGCCTTCCTCACAGTTTTTTTTAAAGAGCTGCCAGTGGATTGAAGATAAGGCTGGTGTTTCAGTGGGTAATGTTGGAGGGTTGGGCCAACTTATTGTTTGCAGTGGGATGGTTTTTAATCTTTGTGTCGCCGCTTGTCGGGTAAATGCTTGCTTGCAGTCTGTGAATTTTGTCGCAGATTCGAGGTGCCAGGGCGGAGACCCCAAAGCGATTACATAAGAGCAGGTGTGGTGCTGAATGTTGTTGTTAGACGTACAGGCTCTTCGAAATGTGCAGCACAAATAGACCCCTGCAGATGTTATGTGTTTGTCTTCCGTGCCGGTTTACGGCTGGAGCCTTTGGCGTATACCACAAGCACATCCCGGGATGTCGGAGATGATTGCTCCAAGTTGGAGGTGTTTTCTTAGCAGATCCTTCGCGGTCTTTAAACACTCCCATGTGCTACTAAACCTTGATGATGTCACAGTGCCCGCTGCGACGACGAAACGACATTATCATTTGTTGCTTTGCCAGATTGATCTCATTGACGCTTGCAGCCAGTACACCGCGCAGCACATACTTTTGGCAATTGTCTCCTGTAGACACCCTATAACCACATTTTCCATTTTCTTGTCCATTTGATTCTCCATTATCCCTAAATCTGGGACCATAATGTTTGTAATTATCCAGGCCCCGATTACGGTAACTAAGGCTTGCGAACTGCCCCCACTCACTAACCGCTGGATATAATGTATCTACATAGCCCTTAATATGATCCCTGATACACACTGTTAATGGGTGGGGGCAGGACCCCCAATAAGGCATACATTTGTGATTGTCTTCTTTGACTCGGGGCTCAGCCTGCAGCTCGCTCAACCTCAGGTCAACGGTGGGGAACCCCCAAAACAGGGAACCCCAAGAATAGAAGAGGAACATACTACGAAAACTATACTTGCCAGGGTCCTTATGTTCCCATTCTATTCTTACTATTTTCTGGGGATTCCCTGTTGTCACGTCTCGAGATTAATCTCTTGGGCTCATAGGAAACCTCCAAGCAATCGCCACATAAAAAGGCTCATGACAGTTGTCCATGTGGACGTGCTGGCGCACTCTTCGCTGGCTTTGGACCAACGGAAGCTTTTGATATCATGATATGGGCATGTAGAATCAGGGTACTAGATTCTGAAGCCAGAGCTAATGAAGTTCATGTCTTACTGTAGTACACTCGTTGGTATGAGAAGGAAAGAATCCTTGCAGCAGCAGTTTGTAGTTCGCAGCAGCCACATCCCAACCTTGTAGCAGCAGCTTGTACTGTAGTCGGCAACGTTCACAACGCATTTTCATCTCGAAAGATTACAGCAAGCACTGATGTGCAATTGCTGGCGGCAGGTTACTGCACTACAGCTATTGCAGCCCACAGCGATCAACATGATGCAACGAATGATCATGCTGGCTTGCTATGGCTCCGCCCATGAAGTCTGAGGAGGATGCGCTTGTGCCGCGAGTGGCTTCACGAAGTCTGGTTGGTTCCAGGCCATTTGATAAACGAGAAGTGCTTCTCATGCTTCTCAAGTTTTTCGTGTGGAAGTGTACGCAGCCTCCGTTTCGTTGACAAAAAAAACACCCTTAAGACATCACAGTCTGTCTGCGCAAAAGAGCTGATCAGGTATTGCATGCGCAACATGGTCAGACGAAATCTAAAGCATCCGTGCTAGCTAGATTGCCAGGCATGACCATTAAAGGCCAGGAGTACTTCGTTGTTCTGTGCCGCTGTGCTCCAGGCACTGCGGCCAACAGCAAAGACTGAACCGATGCAGGTTCGGCTGGGATTCTAGGAGATGTTGCTAGCTTCGGCTCGCCGACAGGTGCATGTGACAAATGGCTTGCCATCTCACCCGCGATATCTTGCTCAATCTGCTTGGAGCTACTGAACTTACTCGTAGGCTTGGGCGTCGGCTCTCTCAAACGAGAGGCCAAACCCATCCTTGCCCACTAGAAACTTGGAGACGTTACAGCAAAAGGTTGAAGTACTTCAAGACCAGCAGCGACCTTCAGACACCTTCCATATTTGGAACAGACGATCTACCCGTAGACCATATATCATATCCCTTGAAACAGCAGCAACCTTTGCTTGAGCCACAGCACAAACAGGACTTGCAATTGGGAATTCTTCTTTTGAGTAGTTCCAACATGCCGTGCTTGCCAGCCATTGTAACCCTTCATGTGCTGCTGCAAGTTTCTGGCCTACCGGACAGGCGCCCTGGGCTGCGAACTAATGCATTTACAGGGTTTTTGAGCGGCTTGTCGGAGATGTTCTGCTCCAGAATTGCTTTTGGCTTATGCCGCTTGTGGGCTGCAGGTACGCTTTGGGCGACGCTGGGCGAGAAGAGCTATGACAAAATCCTGTTAGGAATGCATGCAAGCCAGTTTGGGAGTCTTTCCTTCTTGCCGATCTCGTGCAAGTGCCCAGGATGCGTGCCTTGATGGCGCTTGTGCAGGGACAGCGTTGATGCAGGCGCAAGAGAGCCTGCCTTCCTGCTGAACTCTTGCAGTGAACCAGCTTGGCGCCCATAGGTTCGAATGGCCCAAATGGGCCCAAAGCCGGACCCTGGCCAGCACAGTCATGCAGAGCTGTGTCTTTCGTGTCCCAGCATCTTTTTCACGGCCCCTTCATGACACTGAGCAAAGGAAAAGGAGGTTGCTCAAGCGAAAGATACGGGCTCGCCAGAGACCGAGCCAACTCGCCGAATCATGCTCCTGGGCTGTCTGAACTTTTTTCGAGCACTTCAATGGTTCTTCGCATATGACAAAGCACCTTTGTCTGTGACAGCAGGCGGATTCAGTATGTTTCTTGTACAGGCAGGAGGGCAGGCAGATGAGGTCTTGACTTACATATCCGCGTCCAGCGGTGGCCTTCTGAGTCATCCATTTCTTCCACAGGTTCCTCCACATTCCAAAGACGGCTGGCACGTCCTTCGTTGCAGATGCAATGCTCATGGTACCTTCCAGCGTCGCCTTCCTAGACAACGGCGCTGCCAGGCTGAACTTTTGAGAGCCATGCGGTACATCCAACAATGCAAGTGTTCTTGCATTTGCTGTAGCATGCATCCAAGGAGCTTTCCCTTCTGGGTGACTTGGCACAAGGAATTTGTAGCACAAGCGCTGATGCCTGGAGGCAGGCAGCAATGAAATCTTGTATTTCGGTGCGTGTGCAGGCACTCCCCATTTTCGCAATGAAACGCGTGTGGTGCCGCTCGGCTCAGCTTAGCTCTGGTACTTTTGAGCTCTTTGAGCTCTGGCAACCTGCAGCTTGCACAGATAAGTGTACACAAGTCTGCATCGCGACAAGAAGGATGCTCCGCAACCCGCTGGACCATGTGTTGCACCAGTCTTAGTGGGCTGCGCGTGCTGTGTGAAGAGCTCGAAGGGAGTCAAATAGTCTGGCGTAGCAGAGCATCTGTACTCCCGCCTGCATCATTGCTGCCCTTCTAGCTAAGATGCTGGCGAGAGAGCGCTGTACTTACTCTCTGGCGCTGAGGTCGCAATTTCTTGAGTGCAAGTTCGACTGGTGGGGCAAGCGTGTCACCGCGGGCACAGACTTCCCTTTCAAACCAGGCGAGCTGTGCAAGATGCTGTCGATGCGGTCAGCAATGCTCTGCTGCCACGGCTGCGGCTGTTATTGTCGTGTCGGAAAGCAGATGTGGCATCTCCACTTTACTGATGCATGTAGCTCGAGCAAGCCTGCTGAGAAACGCTTCCTGCAATCTCCTGACACGAATTGACACAGACAGGTCAACCGCAGTGGCAGCGTATTGCTGCACTTGAATTTGAATGCAAACTTTGCGTCGCTTTAACATCTCATACGCACCACGGGAAGCGCATTGCCAATTTGTTGCGGATCCTTCGCAGAAGCCAGGTCCCTGGCATAGTTGGAACTCCACGTTCTTCGTTGCGTCAAGGGCTTCATCAGCTATTGTTGACAGGAGTCTATGGTGGTCTCGATGAGTGGGTTCATCATTTCACGAACCTCAAGAACACGTCGGTCCTCGGGTTTGAGCCTGATAGCAAGGACATGGGTGATCGGAAATCTGAGGTAGCATTGCAGAAATGCTAAGGTTGCTAGGAAATGAGACAGGCTGCATGATGATGAACGATCATTGTAGAAAAGAGTAGTTACTACTATTATCATTACTACTATTCTTAGTATATTAGAATACTAATAAGTATTCTTGTTACTATTATTTAAGGTGAGTTATGTTCAACGCATGGAAAGAAGGGTGAGCCTTCGGCCAGGAGTGGGCCCGAGCGGTCAGTCACAACTGCTACAACCCGTGGAACATGCAGAGTAGACTTCTTGGCAGCAGCTGGCATGGCTGGCCTTCGGTTAGCTGGGAGTGAAGGAATGGAAGAGAACATGGCAACTACTATAATGGGTAATATACTGTAGGGACTGCTATAAGGATCCATTCCTTCATCCCTTGCTAGCCAAAGGCCGGATGGTCTTGCTGTGGAGCTTCGGGGACGGCTTCCAGCCCTGGAAGGGCTCGCAGACATTCCTAGTAATTAAGTTAAGGAACGCAGGTCTGGCATTCTGACACGGATCTTGCCTATGCCCGTCATCCTGCTTGCACTTCCCCCATCCATGGCCTCTTCCAGGTCTGAATTCTGTTTTGTTATAGGCTTCTCTGGCAGTTAGCCATCCAGCCAGCGTGCCCCTAAACCCTATAAATCCTAAATCCTATGAGCCCTAAACCCTATACACCCTGAACCCTACCAAAAACCCTAAACCCCACCAAAAACCCTAAACACGATAAACTCTAAACCCTGAACGAGGATACTTAGCCAGTACCTGGGACCACTATGTGCCTTTCAGTGAGCTGCAGCCAGATATCGAGGCTGGGTTCACAGGGAATGGGGATCATGCAATGAGCTGTAGTCTAAACTCCTTAGTGCTTTGTGGGGGTTATGTAGGGGATTAGATAATAAAGGGTTTACTGTAGAGTCTAGGGTATAGGGATGTATAGGGATATTACCCCAATAATGGAGAATCAACTGGAAAAGAAGATGGAGATTGAAATGGAAACGGCTCTTTGGATATCCATATGTGGGGTCATATAAGGATTATATGGGCTGTAGTCTAAACTCCTTAAGGATAGGTTACATAGGGGACGATTATAGGGGTAATTAAGGGGATACTCGGAGTTTAAACTCCTTAGTAGGGGTTATATAGGGGATGATATGACCCCCTTTATTCAGGGTTCAGGGTTGATGATTTGCGGGCTGTACTCCTCACTGGGGGATCATATGGGGGACATTGGGGGACTATTCTAGGGGATATTAAGGGGGATACATAGGGATACTAGGAGCTCAGACTATAGCTCATATGGAGTGTTCAGTTTCCTGTCACGGCTTGTTTCGGGAGGCTGCGCGGAAGAGCCTTCAAGGCAGCCTCTTCGGACATATGCACTGTGTCTTGAGCTCTGTATGCCTTTCAAGAGTGCGATCCTTATTGATGAGGCTTGTTACCAGTACTCATCCTTGTTCACCTCCTCCTCAGTTCGTGAGACCCTTCCAGGGCTCTTTAGTTGTCCGGATGCAGTCGGCATCAAACAGAGAGCCAGGTGTGCAGGTAGTGGGCGTGCCCGAGCTTTACGTGGAGTCGCTTTGCCTGGTCCATTTGGAGACGCTGGGAGCTTAGGATTGCTGTGAAGTAGTATCATGCAAGCATGCACAGCCTGCTCAGCACAGGCATGGCCATCTACCGAAAAGCTGTACCTGCGGCCAGCAAGGCGATGAAGTGCCTGCTTCCTGTGTCTTTCGAGCTATCCTGAAATCCGGATGCACTTTCATCAAATTTATGATCAGGACCTCTTGCTCAGATCAGTTTCTTGGCGCTGTTGAGACTGGTGTCTTGTTCTGTTGCCTCCATCCTCACAGAGACTACCTCCTTGGCACCAGGTACTGAGTCCCATTATGTGCCTAATCACACCATCAGCGACCTTCCGGACAACCTTCTAGCGGAGATGGCAAAGCTGGTGCAAGTCGATGCGCAGCCGCTTAGCTGCAGTAAGCAGTGGTCTTTGCATGTAGGATTTTTGCCAGGCGGCAGTCCCTGGGAAATTCAGGATCTATGTTGATGCATTGAACCGCTTCGAAGCAGCCGTAAGACTGGCCTCCGACCGTACTGGAATCAAGATGTTCTGTGAAGATCGGCTTGAACAAGCGTGGGAGAATGCAGCCTTCTCAGCATTCAGTGAGCGCAGTGTGAGCACAACCCTCTTCAGAACTTGGGAGCTAAGTGATGCTTTGAGCACACGGCAGGCGAATTCTCTGTTACGGAGACTTCATTTGGACAAAGCTGCTGAGATTGCAATGTCAGGTCAGAGTTTGTGCGAGTAAGTGAGTGGTGTTACACGGACGTTCCGAGGAATCTGAATTGCAGCGAATGTGGGGCCATGTGCATGTAGAAGTGGTTGCAACTGCTGCGAAGCAGCCAGGCGATCAGTCTAAGCACCAGAGCTGATGCTGCAAATTGCGCTAAAAGCAGAGTCGTCTGTTGGTGGTTGGTGCACGCGTGCCGCTGTGTTGGGCAGTAAGCAGAATCACGTGAGATCTCGTGAGCATTGCATGTGCGTGGCTTTTTGTGTGCATAGGACAAGCATTTCACGCTTTTGAACGTTCTGCCCTGCTTGTGACACGGTTTCTTCCTTTTTATTTCTCCTGGCGCCTGTCTGCAATGGCAAAGTTGCGATTCCCTGCTCGACAAAACGCATGTACTATGTTGTGTCAGGGCCTGGCGCAGAGAAAGCCTGCCCTGCCAAAGGAGCTCACAGCTCAGGCCGGGCCTGTCCATGAAGGTAGGCAAGAGATGTAGGGGACAGCATGGTGCCGTGCATCCTTTCGCATGCAGAGGTCGCCAGCCTTGGGCGACGAAGTCTCTGGGCAGAGGCCATTTGCACAGTCGAGGAGGCGGAGTCATATCTGACAGCGCATGCCATGTTGGCACAGCACATGGAAAACATCAAGCTGATAGGCGAAGAAGCGTGAGCTTCTGGATGTCGTACTTTGCAATGCTGCGGTGCTTACCTCAGGCAAGACAGTACATGGAAGATGCTGCTACCTGGTACCAAATGCAGCCATCCGAAAATGGGCGCAGCCACAGACGGTGAGGTCACAGCGTGTGCTCGCGGCAATGCCTGGCAGGACAACATCGTCTCAACGTGTGCACGCGGAAGATGTACAAACTACATGCATGCCTATAAGCACCAGGAGTAAAGAAGTTGGCCCTGTTTTGTTTGGGAAGCTGACTACTACAACCAGCAAAGACGCAAGCAGTAGATCGTTCTTGGCGCTCATTTCCGGATCATAGGTTGGTCACAGTGTATGGAAAGATCCGATTGGGAGCTGCAGGTTTTCATGACGTGGTAGATTGGCAACCAGGCATTTTCCTTGACGGCAGGCTGCCATTGCGGTGTTACACAATATGGCTGCGAGAGGTGGGCCCGGCCCCTGCGATTTGAGTTCAAGAATGGTCTGAGACAGGAATCTGGTAGCGGGGTAGGTTTGAAACCATGCTTACTTTTTACTACCCTTCATCCCTATGTATTCCTATGCTTTCCATAAGAAATAATTCGTATAGGACCCCCCCAAAACTTCCCTAGTGGTGGTAGCATGCAAAGGTTGGGAAGCTTGCCAACGCCGGACTTGGTGACGTTCAACAGCGCGTTGAGCCGGATTCCCAGAACCACAGCCTTGGCTCAATGTCGCCTCAATGTTGCCATGTTCGAATCCCTACACAATCCTTAGTACCCCTATGTAATCCTTGGAGAACCCTCTATAACCCATATATAATCCGTATAAACTCAATATAACATTACATAGAGGCCCTATATAAACCCTAAGAAGCCTTTATATGACCCCTACATAATCCTTATATTACCGCTATACTGCCCAAATACAGTATTACCCCAATATAATCCCATTGTAAATTCGGTTGTTTGAACTTCCGAGATGCCTTGGCGTCCTCGGGCCGGTGGCAAGAAGCAGCGTGGCTTCTGGCGGAGATGCGGGCTGGGAGGCTTCAACTGCAACATGGGGGTTTCCCAAAATTGGGGGTACCTTTTTGGGCATCCCAATAGTAAGGATCATAGTGTTTTGGCGTCTATATAATGGAGTCCCCCTATTTTGGGAAACTCCCACATCAAGAAGCTTAGCTATGCTTGGCTGACTAGAGTTGCAAGCTCGCCGAGCTGCATAGAGGTGGCCGCACATTGTTCCGAACGTCGTCAGCTTCAACACCGTACTGAGAGCTTGCACCAGGCACTCCCAGGTGTTTGTGAGTCCTGTGTCTTCAACCATGCCAAAACTGTCGTGGTAGGCGCAGTTGCTGGGATGCGGCTCTGCAGCTGCCAGGGGCTGATTGTGTTGTAGAAGCTGTCACAAAATTCCTGTCTGGCAACGTGCGGCATAGTCACTCTTGGCATGAAGCTCCGTCCATGGCGAGCAGACCTTGCAACTACGCATGCTTGCAAGGCTTGCCCTGCTGTCTGAAGAATCTCAAGGTGGGAGCGTCATCCTCGCTTCAGATGAACTCAATCATGATTCGTGATCCGTACTTTGGGGCAAGGAACTGTCACAGAAGCACAGACCGAGTCACAGAGAAGCCCAAAGCTCCGTGCAGATCCAGCACCGGATTTGGTCAGCTTCAACACTGCGATGTCAGCTTGTGTGCTCTTCCTCAGCATTTGTTCATCATGCTCTTTCCTTCGCGCCAGCATTACTAAAGTTAGGAAAGCTTGAAGCCGCTTGAGACATGTGATACGCAGTAGGAACGGCGTTGGCGCACAGCCACAACTTCGTAATGATACAAACCTGTTGGTGATCATGTTGCCAAGGAGCGTGGTGGCCACTGGCAATCATGCTTGGTGCTTCTCATGGAACTTGGCCAGCGAGGACGGATGTCCAAGCTTCATGCCATTTGCCATGACATTGAAGCATGCACGGGACACTGACTATGAATATCACTTATGTAATATGATGTACTGAGTAATTCATGGCTTTTCAATGAAAACTTGGCAGGCCTTCAGCCAGACACGGTGACTCGGTGGCCAAGAAAGTGATACAACTCGGGGTCGAGTGCATGAACAAGTGAAAGGGGTATCTCTGGTCTTCTGCAATGATCCCATCAGAGCAAAGTAATCCACATTTTCTGACTCGCATGAGGTATCCATGAACACTATCTTGAGCAGCTTCGCGCGTGGCAATGAGTGGGCAAAAGCAGGAGCCTCAGTGAGCTTGATGGCAGTGGCATTTTGAACCAAGGTGCACGTTGCTGAAACACCAAGGCGTTTTTTGTGTTCTTAGCGCTGTGAACTGACATTCCACCCGGAGCGTTCGGCTTTATGACTTGACACGCCTGACTATGACAGACGCATCTAAGCATAAAGCATGTGGCTCTCATAGATTCGTGACACCAGCGTATAAAGCTTGCAAGTCAAGAAGTGGGTCAGCCCAGCCTACCAGCAGCCGCAACAGCAGCACACCACCGCAGAAACATGTTAAGCGTTTCTAGGATTGCTTTCGATACGCAGAAGCTTCATGGCCGTGCCAGCCGCTTTCTACAGATATGGCCTCTTGCCGTGCTTGAGTACCGCATGCATGCAGTTTAAAGTGTTTAAGATTAGCAGTTTCAACAGGGCGTAATTGTTTGCAGAAAACGACTCGGCCTCGTCTCAGCAGACAAGTCTTCTTGAAAAGGCGATCCTGTCCGTCCAAGTGCTGATGGCCTTGGCGTTCTGGATCCTGGCAAGTGCGGAGAGCCCAGAATCAGTCAAGCAAAACGTGGGGTCATGGCCCTTGAAATACATGGCATCTGCCCAGAGGCAACGATGATAATTTTCAATGCTGCGCTTCTGATACTCTGCGGCAAGCAGATGCGAATTGAAGCATAGAGACTTGAAGCTGCACGCTGTAGTGGTCAAAGTGTAATCCTCATGATCGTGTCTCTGTGTGCAGGCAGGGATTCAGACATCCTGTGTGGCTGACATTCTGGCACCAATCAGTGCCTCTGCTCAAAACCAGCGCCGGGGATACATTCCTTCATGGTGGTGCTAGCATTCGCAGACAAGCCAAGAGAGCTGAATGGCGAATGCAAGGCCAGCACTGTTCTCATCCTTCTGCTCAAGCTGGGGCGTCCTGACCTAGTTGCCACTGGAGATGAAAAGGAGCTTGCACACCAATGAGCAATAACTTTCATGCCCTAATGCAGTGAAAACGATCCTTCCATGGCTGCAAAGCTCAGACGCTTCCTGTCGCTTGTTGTCTCTCATTTATAATATAACCCCAATATATACCCTATTATAATATAGTAGTTTCCATTTTCTTTTCCATTATCCCTATACAACCCCTATATAACCCTAATAATTATGTAACACAGGAGAACCGGCCGCCTCTCGCGATGATGGAGGCCTTGAAGCTTGGCTTCCCAGTGGCAGCCGCACAGTGCCTTGGCACCAAGACCTCTTGTTTTCTTTTTTATATAAGGTAATATAGGGTATATAGGGGGAATGGAAAAGAAAATGGAAACTACTATGGTAATAATAATAGTAATAAGAATAGTAACAATAATTCCTTAGGAGGATCTTGACATCAGAATGCTTTTGACCACGGAGCATGGGACGAAGTGTATTTTGCCTGTGGCTTTCACAGGTGTGTGGGTCTCATCGCTGGAAACACGGCTGCTCTCCAGAAGAGAAAGCTTTGGTTCAGTCTTAGAGGGGGATCTTCGCAAGCCCTGGACAATCATCGCCATGGCCATCTGAGGCGGTGATGTACCTGTCCGTCTCCTTTGCCCAAATGGTCAAAGCATGGACTCCAGCGTTGCTGGACTCAAACCTGACGGGAAATAGCCTAAGCAGTTGCACGCATATAAATGATAAATGTGATGCAATGGCAACGTGAAAAGCTCAGGATGGTTTATGCTGTGGGATGTGTGGCCGTTGGCTGAGACAAGACAGAACAAGTGTTGCTGTTTTGACCTCTTGCAGGTCCCACGTGTTCAGAAGAGTTTTCAACCGGTGAATGATGCAGTGACAGCCCGGCCGCCGTGCTGCCCCGAGCTGCAGGTCGGGACACAGCAATTTTCCTTTGCTGTGGCCAAGACCATCTTGACGATCACCCTAGGACGCCACCTTAGCTGTCTTAGCTTATTCATCTTATTCGTTGCAGAAGCTGGGCTGGATCTGTGCTCTCAGAATTGTATGCGATGAAGCAAGGCCTCATGATCACCAGCATCGGTGAGATCAAATTTGATTGGTACGCCATGACTTCGCGGTGGTTAACGAATTGCTGGGCAGCCGGTGGAAGTGTTGTGATTTTTCCTGCCACTAAGATGAAGCTATGAGACCGCAGGTACGGCTTCCTCATGCAGTGCACAGCACTCCTGTCAGAGGGCCTTCGGATCAACTTGCTGCAGCCCCAGCCGAAAGATATGGTGTGTACGAGATAGCAAACCAGTTTCAGCACAAAGTCAGGCCTTTGGCTCTCCCCTCATATTATGAGCTATAGTCTTAACCCCTAGCATCCCCCAGAGGATCCCTACATAATCCTCGAAATACCCCTTTAAGAAGTTTAGACTATACTTCATATTTTGCATGATGCATGCCGAGGCTTGAGATCCTCCTGAAATCGCATCTTGCCTTGACACTGGGAAGGCTGTCTGCTGTAAACAACATGCTCTCCGCGCGTCAACTTACCACATAGCAGCTTGGGGCTGTGCTTGCATAGCCTTTTTGTACCTCTTACTTCACCGCTTTGCATGAGTGTTTTAGTTCTCAAGTTTCAGGCATCCCACCAGTTAGTGCCAAGAATGGGTAGCAAGATGGCGCAGTTTTTCACTGCCCTTGCACGCGGAAGAAGCTTCTCAAACCCTGCTCAAAAGCTGTCGGGGGATGAGCTTGCACATCCAGAAAAGGGGTGGCCGGCAACTGACGAACTGGAAGCCGAGAAGTCCGCGCCACTTCTGTCAGCTTGGCGGCCGAGTAGGTCTGGGAGCTCATCGAGATCTCTTCTCAGCCCTTTTTGCTCTCCAGTCTGTTCTTGGAGGGATGACGATGTTGGGCGGCAGGATAGTCGCAACCGTGCACGTACTCCCAGTCCATGTCTGTCAGAGGAAGTCGTGGCCTTCCATACAGTCTTTCACAAGAAGCGTGGGGCAGAAAAGGGTCAGTGCTCGGCACAGCTAGCTGATGTACACCAGCGCGCGACCCGAGCTGTGCTTTGCCTGTAGATTCGGTACCTGCAATTGTGTACAGACTGCAGTCTCTAACAGACAACGTGACGGCCTGTGCTCGCACAAGTTTGGCATCTTTGCGTTTTCAAATCGCAACCTTGCCAGTCTTGCAGGCGCGTGGGTGATCATGATTTCGGATCCTGTAGCTTGCCATACCTCAGCAAAGCTTGTTTGGATACAATGCGAGAGCACAGGCCTTGATGTCCTAATATTTCTTCATTCATCTACTTTGGGCGTGGTAGTCATCTCGGTCAGGGATGAGAGCTCCAAGGCAGCACGTGTCGCCTGACCAAAAATGTATTCTCCAAACTGACTCAATCCTGTTATTGTGCGGAATGGCGACTGGCCTTTCGCTTTTGATGCTCACCTGGAGGTATCCTTTGCATGCAGCTAGATCATCCTGATCCGTGTGCAAGCACAAGCTTGCTTGCTCTTTCATGCAAAGGCTGCCCCACAGGATTGGTGCTTGTCTAGCAAAGGGCTAGACACCTTTTTGCAATCAGAGCAACTGTGAGTGCAAGTCGAAAGGCATTTGGAGCATTCTACTACCAGGTTCCGTTAGCAGAGAGACTTGGCGCTCATATTGCCGGCACGATGTGCAAAAATTCAGGGGCTAAGAGGCCATTTGCAATGCTCAGGCACTGTGATCAGTTTCTGAAGTTCTGGATAGATGGCTGCAGCAGTGCTGTGTGAACATCTGCTGCCACCATGATACCTTCAGGAAAACCTGCAGAGGCTTGTTGAAACGTGGGAGGTTCTGCAGAGGAAGGCCAGATCTGGCTTTCCAATCGTCTTTGACACCACTTTGAACAGGGCCCTTCAGCAGCTGCTATCATGTGACCCTCCGGACAGCACAGCGGCACAAAGGAACATCCGAACAAATGCGCAACGTTGTGTGCAAGCTGGAGGGTTTCGAGTAACCTGCTGTTTAGCGAAGCCTGCAAAGCTTCATTAAACGGTTTTGCTTTGGTGCACATGCATGTTTGCATGCGAGTGCCTGATGCACTAGCTAAGGGCGGGGTACAAGCTGAATCCTCTGAGCTCGATCTTGATCTTTGCTCCCATCGCTTCCGTGATCCTGCTGCCGCTCTGTCGAATGCTAACATTGTGCATGTCTAAGAAGAGGAACTCAAGGTGTACGAGGTTTTGTTGTGTAGGTCCTGGGTCTCCAAGTTGGGACAGAATCCATCCATGACTTCTTTGAAAAAACCGATTGTGTTCTCGGCTCCCCTTTAGGCTCATTGCCATCTTGACGGATCCCTGGCAGCAAGCTCTGACTCTGATTGAGCCTTGATCGCTTCACCAGGGCAGGAAGCTAAATCAGTAATGCTGTTCTGCAGGATGGAGATGGAATCTCATTGGAGGCGCCACAGCTCAGCTTGACGGGGCCATGGGATGGGCCAAACATGGCCGGACAGGAGTCATTCAGCGCCAGCATTGCCGAGGTGATACACGGCCTAGGAGAGCTTGTCCTCATTGCAAATGCGCTCGTGGTCTCAGACTCAGCATCACAGCGCTCGCGCGCGCCTTCAAACGCACAGCACAGCAAATCAGAACATGCACTGTGACATTTAGCTTCATGAACGAATCTGGTGGGAGTGAGACTGCGTGTTTGCTCTTGGTAGCCATTGCATGCCGAAGTTGAATTGCAGGCTTTCTCTCTCAACATTGCGATATACATGGCGATTCAGCTTGCTTCGGGCTTGATCTACGCACTTGCAGGCGTTGTGAAGGACGGAACAACAGTGCTTGTTTGACCACATAGAGATGGCTAAGAATGCACGGATGATATGAGAGAACCCTGATGAGATAATGCAGGACATCTCCATCATCATGGGCTCTGTCTTTGACTCAGATTTTGGTGGAGTCCGCCATGTATGGTGACCTGGGACTGTCTCCATGCCCTTCCAGCTTGGTTATCCCAGCCGTTTCAGCATGGAAGCAACAGATAGGTGTTGCAGGGGACCATGTCTTCTCATCGCGCGTACATGCGGGCATGTGCTCCGAGGTGGTGGTGATGGGCAGCAGCGTGAATCTTTTGCAAGTGCAACTCTGGCTGCACAAGTCAAAATGATCGAGCTTGCCTCTGCTACGTGAAATCAGGGTGGGCTATGCCCTGGCCATCACGGGCATCCAGTGCTACGGATACTCGCCTGCATCTCCCAGGCATGCAAATATGTTGCCGATGGTGAGGATTCACCACAGCTCCAGTCGTTTGCCTAGGTGTTGTCAGCAAGTCACCTGCTGCTTGCCTGACACTGATGACATTGGGTGATCTGAAGTTGCGTATGTCGTTTCTGTTCTCCTGTAGCATTGCAAAGAAACTTCTCTGTGGAACTTGTCCTTGCATGAAGAATGGGCGCTGCAAGAAAGGAAAGGTTCGACGAATCTGGAGTCCTCTGGGGCGTCGTGCAGCATTTTCGGGTGCCTTCCCCAAAGCAACAGCTGTTTAACCTGTTTTCTTGAGGAGGCAGCTTGCATAGGAAGTTTACCTTACGTTCGAAGATGTTGTCGCAAAGCAGACTCTGACATCATTGACTCTTTGCGCGGTTCTCTTATTTGCTGGACTTCGTAGAAAAAAGATAGCGGAAGGTTTCAGGTGTTCAGAAGAGAGGTGACAGGAAAGTGCGGCAAGCAGGCTATAATAAGTAGCCTTTCTTGGAGCCAAGACGGGCCTGGTCTCGCCAGCCCTGACAGGATGGCAAATTCCAGCCGACCGCCGCCACACCAACGAAGCCCGGCCAGAGCATTGGCGCAATGCAGGAGGACGGAGATTTTTTCTTACAGAGTGCTGGCAAAACCATGGGACAAGCGATGTGGGACTGCTGGGATGCTTGCAATTCTGCATGACCAAGGGCACACCGAAACAAGCTTTCTGAGGCAACTCAGCAGATAGTCACAAATAGTGCAACTGACCCTTGCGTGCGTCCTTGTGTGCCGCGATCAGTTGCAACAGACGAAGCTTGATGAACGTTGTGCGATCACAACTGGCAAGATATGGAGTTTCTGCTTTAGACGAGATTTGCGGAGTGGAGGAGGACGACGAAGAAATGCAGAACCTCAAGGACAACGAAGAGCCCGCATACCTGGAGGCGTTTTCTTCAGTTTGTGTTGAAGGAGCAGTATTTGGACTGCCTGACACTTGTTCCCTGGCTTGCTGTGCGCCAGGTCGACATGGATGTTGTAAAAGGCAGGCCTTGCCTGCAGTCCTCAAGCATATTCACTAGCATTGCAACAACCCCTGATTCTTCCTGATTGGGTGTGTGTCAAGCCTTTACAGTGTCATCTGTGTTTCATGTTCCGCCAGGCACAAAGGATGCCCAACTCAGGCCACAGAGCAGGTCGCTTCCTGACTTGCCAAGAGTTTGACCGGACGGTGCAGCTGCGGCAGTGTTCCCGTTCAGGTAGCAGGGATCCTGCAGAATGTAGTCGGCATTTGAGCAGAATGATGTATGCATGGTAATTCAAACCCATGAAGCTTGCAATGGGGATGCTCAACATTCAGGGTTTGCGCTACAAAGCGTTGCAAGGCTGACAAACGTCTCGCTGCCTAGTAGGAAGGCATAAGAGTTCATCCCAAGGCAAGGCCCCACGGCTTCTTGGAGTTAGCTTGCAGTTGTCCCTGAGGGCACTGCAGCCCGCAATAGTGTTCTTCCCGTGCGTCGGGTCGCAGACACTGTAGTATTACCTGCTGCGCTAGCTTTTGGCATCAGCGCACGTGGCTGAAGCGCAGCCGTTGTGACCTTAGCTGAAACCGAGCGCCTTGCACGAGGCAGTATCCCAAAGTGATATGCTATTGGCATGCCAACAGCTAGCAGCTGGTAAGCCCGACATGCGATCAGTTCCAGGCCACGGTGCTTTTCGAAGAGCTCTTAACTGGAGAAGGTGCCATCACTTCGTGGAGAGGGAGGATTTCCTGCATTTCCAAAAATCCCAGACATTGGAACAGCATTCTAGTCAGAGTGGGCTGTGGAAGGCCCTGGTGCAGACTCCACCTCCCTGGGAGCTGTGGTCTCGGCGTGTGAGCGAGCAGGGTGCATGGCTCAGCTTTGGATCCGTAGAGTGGCCTTCACAGCGTCCGTGACTGCTAACTGGGCTCGTCGTGGTTTGCAGAGCGCCCTGTACGGCTAAGGCTTTGGCAGGCGGGTGGGCTGTGGAAGCTTTGCCGCTTGCAGCTGTTACGAGACTTCTGCATTGGCCAATATACCAATGTTGGGGGAAGGCCGCGCTGTCGCTGCTGGGCCGCTTCAGCAGCCTGGGCTTAGAGGTGGGCAGCGGCGCCCTGCGCGCTACACTGTCGGCACTGAGGGCCATGGGGCCCAGGACCATTGTCGACACGTGACAGTGAAACTTACACGGCTATCAGTAGACCTTTGCGGTTTATATGCACACACCGGTCACGATGCTTGGCCCACCCAGTCCGGCGGACGCTGGCAAGAAGCGCTCATGTCATCATCTCAGAAGGTGTTTTGAGGCTTGTGGGATCATTCGCAGGTCACTGCTTCATACAGTAGAGAGGGCCCGCCACAACAAGCATGATCAACATCTGCATCGCAGCTTTGCCGAAGCAGCAGCCCAGGCTCCTTAACGAGCTTGACAAGTCCTCTGCTGCGGATGTTGTGGCCTTCAGTGCTGCCGTTGCCTCTGAAGGGTCCACTCCTGGCACGGATGCAAGCAGCTAAATTACTCCGTGATTGCAGGCCATGGCTGTCTTAGAGACATCGGGTGGTCCAGCTCTCAGATGCCCCTGCAGCAAGAAAATTGTGGATAAGCAAAGCAGGCTGAGGCTGGCAAACGGCCTTCCATCTGCTTGCGGACATGTGCAGACGGGCGCTACCGCCTGACTCGCCAGGACCTCAGGAAATCTCCGGGACTGTGATCGCAGGAAATCCTGGCCCCAGGTACACCTATTCGGCTCTGCTGGGCAGCTGCAGGGCTTGGGCCGGGGAGGACGAGGCTTGCGCCGAGAATACAGTGCCCCTAATTGCACCAAGGCATGGCCTCATGCAGAAGCCGTGATTTCCCCTACAAGGCTGCAGCGCTGCATGCTGCTCAAGACCTGCTTGCAGACGCCCGCGGCTGCAACCAGGACTGCAATGCAGATGTTGGCATAGCAGGAGTGACGGTCAAAGTTTCAACCACTAGATCATATCTTGGGTGGCTGACGCTGAAAACCTGTAGAGGATAGGGAGACACACAAGAAAATGACGGTAGGTAGATTCACGATAAGAGAGGCAATACAGACGACAACACTAAGCTCATGCCCATTAAGATGAGCCAGTCAAGAAATTTCGACCCTAGGCATGTCTTGATACTTACATATCATATATCTACTTATTCTACTCTACTTTCATTGAATACGCGTTATGTATTTCCAAAATAGCATATTAACAGTCTATCAGATTGAGCAGTTCTAGAGATGTCGTCCAACCATCCCACTTGTAGGTGCAACAGCGTGCCTCTCGTGATGTCTGCATGCCAGCATTGTGAATTCAGCAACTTTGGCAAAGACATGTTATAACCTGCTCTGGCCCCTCATTCACCCGAGCTCCCAAACCATAGACGAAGGCTTAGAAGCCACATGAAGTATGTGCTCCGCTTAGACAGCCAAGATGCCTCAATCTTGGATGCTGTTATGAATTTCCATCGAGAGTGTTTCCCGAATCGGCTCAGCATTCTTCAATGTATTGCCGCGATATTCAAGAAGCTCGCACTGCAGCACATTCGTTGGTGCTCTGTCAGGCGAACGACGTTGTGATCGGTGCGATGCTGCGTGTGCTTGAGTGAGTGGCTCATTATTTGATAAGTCATTTGGTGCAATTATGGCGCGGAGACGCCCAGGTTTTGCGGGCTGTGGGCGGAAGCGCTGACACTGCTCCGAAAGGCCAGCGTTGTTCTGTTCAATTTTATAGTGGTAGTTGACGGAGACCAAGTTTGTAGCTTAGCTTGCAAGGCCTCAAGCGGCTCTGCTGGACGGCTGAGACCTCAGATTTCAACCGCAGCGCAGAGCAGAAGGAGATGGCAGACTCACGACTACAGGCCAAATCTCATGAACTATGCCTCTGCTGCAAGCGCTTGCGCAAAGGATTCCGCATTTCTTGCCAAGTTGGACCGTTGCTTGCTTCTGCTCCATCGTTCTGGAGTAGATGTTCAGTCCTGGCGTGCAGGGCCTAGCGTGGGAGAGCTGCTTGGACCTGCTCCGGGAGCTTCAAGAGGCTCAGTCTCATGGGCTGACGTTGCCCCACCCTTTAGAATGTCGTACCATTCCTGCTTCGGAGTACGAGTCATGAACCACAATGGGCCTTGTTGCCTTCTTAAGCTGATGGAAGCAGCATGCAGCAGCGATGAACCTGATCCAGTCTTGATGGTTTTTGCGCCATGCCCTCCTAACTCCTAACTCCTGTGAGCAGCAGCAAAAAAGCGAGCTGCCAGCGTAGCCAGATGTGGCCAGCCAGGGGCTGGCCTCCTGAACCTAAACAAAAAACACTGGGTTTGCAACAACGGGCTTGGGCGAGCATTCCGCAACATGGGCTTGTACAGTAACATCTTGTAACAGAATTGCCTGCTTTAGTGGCTTGGGATGAGCACGCACCTTTGCTGCAAAGCTCTTTCGCGGGGCATGCGTGTACCAAGCATGTGCGACACATGTATGTAACACCAGGCCGCGATTACGGTTTATGTCACAAAGCGGGGGGGGGGGGGCACCGCCTGAATGAAGAAGTCTTTGGGCAAAAGGGCCCCTCTCGGAATTGGGTTCGCTCGTCATCGCAAGAGATCATTGCCAGCAAACTTCTGAGTCTGTCGGTGCCGGCATCCCCAAGAATGAGGTGGCAGCCAAACTGACCATCAGGGAGACCTGCGTTTCTCTGTCCGTTCCGTCAATCATGAGAAGCTGATCGCTCCAAATATGCTGCAATCAACATCCCAAGTTGGTGGACGACGTGCCTTGCAGCACAGACAGAGACCTTCTAAAGCATGCTGCAGCATTGCTCCACCGCTGTGCCCCAGCCTGCATCCTCGTTTTGGTAAGCTGTTGGCTGTTGTCAGTGCAAGTTTGCTTTGCGTTGCCTACGTTGACCTGGATCTGTGTGAGCGACTTTCTTAAATTCACACCAGCCGCAATTGATACACAAGCAATCGCCACATACTGAAGCAGGGCAGCACCGTTCCCGATGTCGTCTTCCTCAGTGCCGTGATCAGTGCATGCGTGGATCCCGTGATCTGAGCTTAATGAAGTGATGTAGTGGGCTCGTTGCTTGCATCGACTCAGGCGAACGCAGCTTTGAGTGGCAAAGAGCCGTGGCGGTCCTGGCTGCTCGGCATCGAGTGTTAGATACACTGTGCACAGGTCGCTAAAACCATGCTATCTACTTTAAAGATGAGCTAAGACTGCTGCACCGGAGAGGCCTCCATGACCATCCCCGACTCAGTGGCGTCATGGCCTCGCTCGCTCTCCTGGGGCTATTTCGTTTTGACTGCTCTGCTTCCGGCACAGGAGTAAAGACAAACATGATTTTCTACTTACTGTCAATTTTATGGCGCTTCGCTCTGGCTCCAGCTGTGACCACACGTTTCTTAAAAATAGCGCGAAGACGGGAGACATTCCGACTTGGTGTATATTGGCAGCTGCACGCAGGTTGGTTTGCAAGCATCCATGTGCAAACGCACGCGTGCCGCAACACATAATGTCGAAAGAGTTCGTCAAAACAAACAGTAGCATTGGAAATTGCCGTGCTGGTCAGCTGTGCAAGATGCAGCAGACATGTCGGCGGAGGCGGGAGATCTTCTTTGTGACTTTTCTTCATTGCCTTGAGTTGGGATCCGGAGGAAACCATCTAGTCTAGTCGCAGGCTGCGTCTGATCCAACAAGTGATGTCAGTCATTGCCATTGCAGATTTGCTGCCGGTTTTCCGGTCAGTGGACTGCCACTGCAAATGCCAGCCATCAGAGCTTGTAGTGACTTTACGCTTGCATTTGCATTCAAACGCTAGCAAGTTTTCGGTCCCTCTGCTGCATACCCTTGAAGAAGTTGCTTGCCGCAGGTGGCTGCTCGTTGCCGCCGCGCTACTGTGGACCGAGCTTCCAACTGGAGGGAGGCCAGTTAGCAGGCAGCCCGAGCTTGTCTTTGCGGGGATTCAACTTCTGCCCGGGGCTCAACTGTGTCCTACATCTTTCTGCAGCTGATGACTTATGACATGATGGCATGGCAAGAAGATGGTCAGTCTTGCCTTTTGCCACACTTCCTGCCAAGGCCTCCTCCACGTCGGACCCCTGCCGCAAGGTGAAGTGCCATTCACGGCATGAATCACAGTCATCACAACTCTTGCAATGCTGGGTGGGTAGGATGAGAGATGGGCTTTGAAACGCTGGCAAATTACTAGACAAGAGCAGCTGGCGAATCCAGTGCAAGGTGCCAGCCAGGAACCCAGACGGTTGATCCTGCCATAGCTGCGAAGCTGGAAGCAGCGAAGGCAGCTGCATCAGTACCTCCGTGCAAAGTGTTACCAGGGCAGCCATGCCTGAAGGAGCGCGTTGCGCAAGCTAAGAGGGCCGCGAGTCTTCTGAGGAGGGGCAACTGGAGAGCACTTCAAGCTAAGACAGCTAAGAGAGATCTTTTTGAAGTCTGGCTTTGGCCTGTGTTGATGCTTTTGATCGCATGGGAGGGATGAGCTCTGCGGACGCAACTTCCTCTCACCGGAGATCAACCGACCATTGCTGACAGAGATTTTCTTCTTCTTTGTCCCCAAGGCCAATCATTCTGTCGTGCCTTATCTGGGTTGTATGCTCCAAGGATGCTGCAGCCCTTCCGTGAACAAACGCCATGATTCCCTATGATTCTTAGAGTGGACACACCCGTCGTCACAGTCATCACCCTGCTTGCCAGAACGCGGCACCCATGAGGGAGCCGATCCTAGACAAGGCGTTGGCGGAGATCATCCCCGAGCCATGGCTTCTAAGTGAATGCTACTGTACCAGGTGCTACCTTTGTCTTATTATGATTATTCTTCTTGTCATTACAATTATGGTTATCATGATTATTCCCGCTTTTGCAAAGTTCAAAGTCACCGCTGGTTGTGCATATGCCCGGTACTGTTAGACGACTCATCCAGCCTGCAGTGATCGCAAGGATATGCGCCAAGACGCCGAGGCTCTTGAGAGAAATGGTTCGTGGAGGAGTTGTGGTATGATTTTGGATGTCAGCTTAAACCAGAATTTTGAGTGCAATTGAACTTGTCCTTGCAAGGCCCTGGTTGCCTTGGTGGGGTCCATGGCCGCAGCAAGGCCACTCAATTGTTGACTTAGAGTTCATGTCAAAGTGTCTGGATCATGGGTTCAAATCCGAGCGAACAGGCCAACTGCACGGGCTTTACGTAAAACGCGCGGTTTTCTTTCTATTGTTTCAGGTACACGGGCTTCTAGATGGGGCTGCTTAAGCGCTCTGAGGCAACCACAGGAGGGAACTTTCCAAGAGGGTACCGTACAGAAGCCTGACATGCATGTAAAACAAACACCCATACCCAACCCACTTCTATTGCTTGCACGGTATTTAGATTGCAGATTTTGTTCTTGCTGTTGCCAGGCTCCCTCATGAGCCGGCCTGGCAGATGATGGCCGACGTGGTGGCAAAGGAGTGCCTTTACGGAGCTTGGGAGCAGTCTTGCCGAGTATGCTTGCATTCGAGATGTGTGCCTCGTGCGGCTTGCCCTTTGGCTGTGGCCAGGAGTGCCAGAGGGCCTCTGCACGACAGTTGACGGGCCTTGCCTGGGCTTTTGCTACTGCTGGTGAGCGTAGGCAAGTTGGGGTCTGCAAAGCCGTCACTGTCGTGCTGCAGCAATGCATATGTTGATCTGATGACTCGCGCGCTTGACGGCGTGGACTTTGCAGGCAGGACCTGTGGGACGCTCTCAAGGCGGCAATGTCAGGCCAATGTAATGTGACATCATGTGACCATTTGCCTATTGCGCAACAGCCGTATCCATGAGTTTTGCAGCCCAAAGTTTGGTGCACTGCGGCATAGAGGCAAGCAGTTCATGTTGCCACGTTCATGAAGATGCCACCCTTTGGGTCAGCCGTGCTATTCTCCACCCGTGCTCTGAGGCAAGGTCTCTCAGCTTTCTGGAAGCGAACGACCCACCTTTGCTTGGTGCTCCGGCTGGGTAATATCCGGAATCCATGAGTCTCCTTTGGGGGCCACTGTTTTCCAAAACTTTGGCTTCTTAGATGCAGTTTCAGTTGGTAAGCTGCGCTGCATCCAGCAAGGTCCTGTGCGGAGGTGAGCCAGCATGCGAAACTTAACTGCACATTGATTGAACAACCCAAAGCTAGGGGTGTTCGATTCCCACTGGGTGGTGTGCAGTAAAGAGGGTCCTCTTGCATTTTTGACGGTCCCTCACCGGGATAATTTATTTGGGATCCTGCCTGTGGGTGCCATTTTCTCTTGCATTGACTGGGGCTCGCATGGGCGATCGGGCAGCCACACTTGGTTGCAGAAACGCTTCAGTATGCGGTCCATGGGGTTAGCTGGGACAATCGCGCAGAACCTTGTCCTGCATTGCGGGACGTTTGGTCTCTTGCATATCTGAGAGATCTACTCGTGGTACACAGAGTCAGGTCCGAGCTCTTTGGAGACGCCAGTGAGGTGGCATCACCGAAGCTCGCCTGCAACCCTGTCTGAGTTGCTGCAAATTCAGAACAACATCATGACAATGTCACATCGATCGTGTTGACACCTGCAAGACTATAACAAGGCTGCATTTATGAGGGGTGGTGCCCAAGCGATCCTGGCAGCTAGCATGGAAACATGCCCAGCTTTTTTTGCGGTGTAATCCTGAACATGAAAGCATTCGCGGAGTAGTCTTGAACATGAAAGCATTTATATGAACGTAGATCCACAAGTCCTAACATCGACGTAGAAGCAACCCAGTACAAGTGCGATAGTATGAGGCATCTGACTGGTACATGCTGCACATCAAATAGGAATGACAGGTCCTCCCTGGGTTGAATCCTCCTTGCTTGCCTGACAGGGCAGCTTCTTCAAAGATGCTCGAGGCAACGCACGGGATGGGCGCGGTTGCCCATGCCTTTTGCCTCCATTCCTATCATCCCTATATGCGTCAGCATTCACGCCCCCCCCCCCTTCCCCCCGCTCCCATGGTACGGTCCATGATGTCCATCATATAGAGTATGATGAACCTCCCCCCCCCCTGTGGTCCCGTGGTCTGGGCTTGGTGGTTTAATTAAGAGGCTTAGATTAAGCTTATAGAAGCTTATAGTGTTTATAAAGGGTTTCTATGCGGTTTAAAGAAGGTTTGCAGAGGTTCATTCATTCAATAGCAAGTGTTTAGAGGTCTCAAGAGGTTTTCTGAAGGGGTCCCTAGAGGCTTTCTAAAGGCTTGATAGAGTTTTATGAGTTTTTCCTCTAGAGATAGATTGTTTGTAGAGGGTTACTAAAGATTTTGTATAAATCTTAATAGAAGGTTTTCTGGGGGTTATAGCTTTCGTAGTAGACGGCTTGCAAAAGGTTAGAGAGTTTTCAGGAGGGTTCGTAGAGGGCTTATGGGTTTGTGAAGCGGGGTCCCCCCTTGTGGTCCTGTGGTCTGCGTCCTGTGGTGAGGGTTTCTAGAGTGTTTGCACAAAGGTTTTAGAGAGGTTTGACGGAGAGTTCATGGTTCTGGGAGGATAGAGATATGGCTTATTCCCAGATGGGGGCCATACCATGGGGAGGGGGGGGCTGAGAACGCGGAGCGCCGACGCATATAGAGCCCTGAATATGACCCCAATAACAGAGTTAGGGATTTAAATCAGTAAAACACGATATACCATATATTCCCATATTCCCTACCAAGAACCCGTAAGCAGTCAGCACGGAGGCCCCAAACCCTAAACCCCATATAGAGCCCTTAATATGATCCCTGCCACAGATTGTTAATGGGTTTGCACGGAGGCTATTCGAGCTCTGCCTGGAAAGCTTTTGGACGACCCGGTGCCGCGTTCAGAGATGGCTGTTTCCCAAGATAGGGGTATCCCAATATAGAACCTCCCAAAAAATGTATAATCCTGATGGGACCTCAAAAAGGTATCCCTGACTTTGGGAAAACCGCCAACTGGGCTCAAGCAATTCTGGAAAGAAGCTTGCGGGATGTGCTGGGGCTGCTGGGGGCCTTTTCGCTTTGTAGGTTCCTGTCCGCCTGGTGCCAGACGTGATCACAAAGGAGCAGGGAGAGGCTGTGAGACGTACTTTACTAAGACATATTATAATTTACAGTAATTTGACATAATATATTATAATGTAGTATGATGTACCATAATATACTGTAGCAAACTAGTGAATAAGCTCAGCTTCGGCATAAACCTAGCGCAGAAAGCCAGGCACTCATTCGTCTTGCCGATGATGCCCAGCTTTGGTCTCAGTCCAGCCGACGCGGTGCTCGAGATGCTCAGGGAGAGGAGCCATTGCTACCACACTTGTATTTCCCGCGGAAGCTGTTCAGATGTTTCGCAGACCTGCCAGGATGCCCTTCGGACTTCCTCTTCTGCAGCTGGGCATGAAGCCGCAACATTGCAAAAACGCGAGCCTTCTGGCAATCAAGGCAGTCCTCAGTGCTCCGAGAATGTTCGAGAACGCTGCTGTGAAGGCTGGTATACGCAGGTTGTTGAAGCATTGCGCATGATTAGCAGAGCTGAGCTGCTCTAGTCGCCCTAGCTTGCGCCAGGCCGTGCGTGCTTGGGCATCCAATCTACTACGTGTACCGGAGGAGCCCACCCCTTCAAGGGGATTGAGCTAACATGGGCCTTCTATTTTTTTTGCAAACGTCGGGAAGGACCACGTGGAGGCGCTTCAGCTGGTCCGGTACCAGAAGGGCGAACAGTACAGCACCATGGACGAAAAAAATCATAATTGCTGCGTGATAGGAGCAGTTGGACTTGACGGAACAACTTGATGTCTGAGGCACTCATGTAGATTGGGGTCGCCGACAGGACTGCAAGCCGACTTTGGAATCGGGGGCGTTCCTGAGATACGTTTTGTACCCGAAAGCATTCGGCTAACCGGGGTTTTGAATGCGCTAGGCTGCGTCATGTTTCTGCATGCGTTTGCTCATGTCAGATCACTGCCGAGCCTGTCTACCACCATGCACCACGGTTGTGGATTTTCTTTTTGCGTACGAAGTGCCATCTTCTTCCTTTGTATCCACCTCCTGTTCATTCTCCTTGTCGTGATTGGCCTCATGACCATGACCCCGAATCTAGTCGTTTCTTGTAGAACATTGTACCCAGACCTTCTGCCACTGTTGTTCAAGTGTGTTGCTTGCTGCCAGCATCTACCAGCTCTCAACCACGTGTACTTCCGATGAAAAGGAGGGCAGGTCCCTGATAGGTTGATCATTGCTGCCTCTCGAGTATGCTGAACTTTACCTTTGACTGTTTTCGCCTGAGGAGGCATAGAAGCGCTGGCGGGCGTGAAAACAGAAGTTTTGGAGCGTGGACAAACCGGCGTGAAAGCACATGCCCTTGCAACATGGAAACTGAAGGTTTGAAGCTTGCAGCGTAGAAGAAACATACCTGACGGGCCCTTTCTGATACGAGAGCCTGTTTCTTTTTGCCGTTGTGCCTCCAACTTGATGAAGGACCTGAGTGCCCAAAAGGAGGCTTCCCCAAAGTAGCCGGTACTGTAGCCCTTCACAAGATACCGCATTCTTTTGCAGAAAGTGGAGTATTCTGGAAGTTGGCGTGAGAGTTTGGGGCGAAGTGCTAGGCGAAGTTTTTCGGCCTCTGTTTCAAAGCTGTTGGTGAAGTGGTCAGCAAAATTTCGGCAGCCCGCAGTCCGCACGCACCACATCTCAATGCGACCTCCAGCCAGTTCCCCACACAATCCCTGTAGTGGAACGGCAATCGCGTCACTGAATGGTTCATCAGTTTGCCGTTGAAAGTCGACCTAGCCACTCAGCAATCATAAAGCGTCGAGATGTTCATGACTGCAAGTTTCTCCCGCCGAACCAGTAGTCTTTGATCTTGGGTGATTCAGCATTTCGAGGTAGCGGCTGGAAGTTCCCAATTGTGCTACATGTGAGGAGCTGTGACCCAGTTGCGCAAACCTTCAAAGCCATTTTCAAAACCTTCAAAAAATCTCTTTGAGCCACGTCAGATGCCTTGAGGATGCCTCGCTATGGCTGGGTGGTCAACGCACAGCGACTGCTCTGCTCTCTGGGCTAGATTCAGACATCTTTGCAGAGCAAGGCAGAAGATGCAAAAGACCCAAGGATCTTGCCGTGATGGTCGGAATAAAGCATCTTTGGGGACCCAAGGATCTACCTCAACAGCTTGCCAGATGACTGCGGTGGCGAGACCTCTTTCGAAAGGCTCTGAGCGTTTGATCTCAGCAATGTCGGTTTGTAGAAGCACGTGAGTGAGCGGTGTGTTTGCCATCCTGCAAATGGGTTCCATAGGGGCTTCTACAAGGCAGTTTGATGGTGTTGGATTAGCAAGCTTGGGCATTTGCCATGCTGCCATGTTTCATGCCGTTTATTGATGCAGCTGCCCGCCCTGGAGCCCCTAATTCGCAGCCGCAGGCTGGGAGTCACGGTGCAGCCGAGAGCTGGTGCTGCCCTGGTCTGGCCAAACGTTTCCTGCTTGCAACGTTGCAGATTTGACGTGTGCCAAAGCGCAAGATCCTTTGGCAAACTCTGGGAACCCAAGGGGATGCGCACCCTTTGAGTAAGGTAGATGAACGTGGCCAGCCACAAGACTTGGTCGAACATCGGGCCCTGTGCCTTGGCAATGGGAGGTGCACATCTTGTTGCTCATGGCGGTCCTGTAAACTCCAGAGCGTTCTGTCAGCAGTTTTGCTTGATGAATCATTCACCACAACATATTTCGTTGCGTCAGCAAAGGCCGGTTCTCTGTGACGCCACAAAGTATGCCGTCAATGCCGTTGCCTCATTGTGTTGCCAGATAAGATCCCGAACCCTGCCTTCTGGATACTGAACGCCACTTAACGCCGTAGGTGCGTGCATTTCACTCGTCATTGCAGGCTATTCAAACTGCAGCATGGGCAAGTGGAGCTTGACAACTGGTCACTGACACGCGAGGTTTGGATTCGTGAGAAGGCTTTGCCCGCTTACGTGGGAACGACGTAACACAGCGATTTTCCGCATGAAGTGGTAAGTGGTCTTTGTCTAGTCTGACCTCGGCTTCGATGCGCCAATCACAGCTGGTGCTCAAATGCTTGTGGAACTTTGTGTCATCGTGGTTACGCGTTGCATGGGTGCTTTTGATTTTGGTTTGACGCCCAGCTTGAACAAGATATCTTTCAGGACAGGATTGTACAGGTCTTGCATTTTCCATTCTGGGACCGACATCTCCGCCGTGGGCGAACAAGCTGGCGACCGGCCACAGTTCGCCTTCGCGGCGGGGATGCCTTCGCCCCTCTTGCGCTGCTCCTCCAGCAGTTGGTGGAGTATGACAGAGTTAGCATCATAGCAGGCAACGCTCAACATGACAGGTGCGTACTGTACAGGTAGCAAAGCTGCCACAAGCTCTCTGAGGATTTAGGTCCCAGAAAGCCGACTCTTGACAGTGCTGCAGCGTATTGTTCAGGGTGTCGTGAAAGCCAAGATTCCTGTGCAAGGCACGTTCACCCAAATCTTTGCTGAAAGCGCTAGCAGGCGTAAAAGAAAAGCCAGGCACATGCAAACCAGATGTCATGTGGCATACTGCATTGCCCTGCCATATAATTCTCATTGACTGGCCGTGTAGAAAGTATTACGTGCGCTGACACGCTGCAGTTAGCAAGTCAAGAGGCTGGCAGAACTATCATTATTTTGTGAGACTACTGCGCTAAGTGTCTTGGCTTGTCCCGGGCGGTGTGTGTTTCCTGAGGATCAGCTCGGCTATGCTTGCCTGCAACAAGGCCGGGTGGCATTTGCAGAGTGAGGCTGCAACAGTTTATGCTACGGGTCATGCGCCTGGGAGTAGCTTACTCGACCAATAGTTGCACAGCTGCTGAGGTGGCCTAGGCCCTAGTTCAAACTTCTTGTCAGCGAAGTTTGTCTTCGTGTGTCAGGCTGGCAGGTGGGTGAGGTTCTCGGCTGACACGCGTCACCAGCTGACAGGTGCTGCAAATGTGCAGTAGCATCTGACTTCAATGGCTTCATGCAACCATGCGCTGAGGATCTGTCATTGACCATCCTTCATGAGGAGGAAACTCGCAGGCCAAACACCTGGACATCAAAGCTTGAAGTGCACATCACCAGCAACTGCCCTCAGGTCTGTAGATGGATGGCCTCCCGATGACATGATTTCAGCAGATTCCTCAGGACAGACAGGACTGGGCAGTTGCCTGTCACCAGGCTTTCGCAATCTGCACATGTTGGCGACATTAATGAGTTGCTGTTACGGAACTTAATTTAATTTAAGTTGCTATATTTGAAATTCCTTAACAGCAACCCACATTATGGCCACGTCGTCTGTTTCCGTTCCGGCAGCGAGGTCATGGGCGCCGGTTTGGGCGCCTGTGCTGAAAGTGGAGCCTGGCAACAAGCCCTGCAATTGCTGCAAGAGGCCGGTCTCGCAGTCTGGACGGGTTAACGACTATGTTCAAAGGTGGCTTTGGACATCATAGACATCATAAAGGGTGTGGAGTGTCAAGGGACCCTATAAACCCTATTCCCATAAACCCTAAAACACGTTAGGGTTTAGGGTTTAGTAAAAGCTGTTGGAATTTTGGAGGTGGAGCGGGTGGCTGAGGAGCCCCAAATCGCCGAGGACGGGACAATCCTGGACAGTCTACAAGCTCTGAAGTTGCTGCGCAATCCAGTCTTGCCATTAAGTGCAGGGTACAACCTGGGTTCGCGAAGCTCGGAGCACCGCCAGATGCCTAGCGCATCGCATGAGCTCCCTATGCAGCAAGCTCATACGACGGTTGCTTCAGTTGTTGGGTGTCATCTTTTTGCATGATATGTAGGGCACCTGAGAACCATTCGCAGTGAAAGCACGTTCCGTTAGCCTGCCAGGCCATGCTTGCAGCCATTCGTGCTGCTGCGTGGAAGCCATGCCTAGCACTGCTGGACTTGCAAGGCAGGGTATCTTTTGCTGTAAGCCTTTACAAAAACTGGTAGTGGCTTGGAGGCACAGGCAGAGAGCAGCTGGCTGCCCTGGGCTGCGCTGTGCGTGCCTGCGGGCTGGGCAGGTGCTCTGCATCCTGCTGCTAGAAGGTAGTTACCAAAATTAGGGGGACCCCGATCTTGACCCCAAAGTGCTAGAATCCATATTATGAGATATTATGAGGACCCCCAAAAAGGTACCCCTAATTTTGGAAAGCCCCCACATGACATGGTGTCACGTTTTGTGGATTGACAATTTGAGCCATAGTCTAAACCCCTGGTATCCCCCTTAATCATCCCCACAGTAGTCCCCGAAATAAGACCCTTTAAGGAGTTTAGACTATAGCTTGTATAGTCCATATATAACTATAAACCTATATATAGCAGTTTCCATTTCAGTTTCCATGTTCTTTTCCATCTGATTCTCCATTCTTGGGGTGTATATTATATACATATATACGCACACCACAATAATGTATAACCCCCTTAGAGGAGTTCAGACCCTAAACCCTAAACCGTATATTATATAATCCCCTATACAATCCCCTTTGAGGAGTTCAGTTTATAGCTCATTTGATTCAGGAACTGGCAAGGGGCCCTTGAACTCTCGGCCGAGGCTGAAGCGAGGCTTGTCTATTTGCACCGTTGCTAGCTTCTCTTGAATCTGAGCTATAGTCTAAACTCCTTAAAGATCCTTAACGCGGTTATATAGGGGAGCTATTATAGGGGTTATTACGGGGGATACTAGGTGTTTAGACTATGGTACATCTAAGCTTCAAGGCAGACATGGCTTGTGACAAAGACTGACGTTGATGATTTTTCGCCATTAGGGCCGCAGACGACGGCTCGCTGGGCTCGCTTCGAAGCGCGCTGAGCTGGGCATGCCAGGACTGTACCAGTTGGATGCGTATTTCCTTTGCAAATCTCAAGACCAGGGGAACTAGCCACCTTGCCAGCTGACAGGCATCAGACAGTCCAGAACCGCAAGTGGTGGGTCTCAGGAAGTTCGCTTTGCCAACCTAGCAAAAAGAATTGCTGACACAGCAGCTCGGGATGTAGCGAGCAGATAGTCCTGGATAGCCAGGAAGTGAGCATTGCAGGAAAGCATGGCAACATCCAAATCATCGCCGGCTATATTGAGCACTGTTTTCAAGCCTCAGATAGCTGAAAATTGGGTGTGCAAATTACATGGAGGGTCGTCTTTCAATGTGTCGCAGATCAATCCCAGCACGTCGAGTCTAAATTTCAGAGTTGTCGACGTTCAAGCAGTGTTGCAAGTTTGCTGGGGGTCTTTCGTTAGCTATTGCGTGCATTGCCGCGATGGCCACTGCCAGGCGGGAGCTACAAGAGAGCTACCTAAAAACCGAACGGAGATTTTCGCTAGGGATTTCTATGAGGGTTTGGCTTCGGGTGGAGGAGATGGCTTTCTTGAACAAGACACCGCACACCACCTAGACGACCAATTTTCCAACTTTTTGTTGTTGGAGCGTTTGCATTGTTTGCCTCATAATGAACCTGTCATGTCTACTCCTGGATTTGCGCTTCAATAGCTGTTCTGTTGAGTGAGAGGGCACCGTATGCTGCGATTTGGCTCCAGACCCAGCTGTGCCGTGTGCTTTGTGCTAGCATGTGCTGGCAGTATGGAGAGAACTGCAGGGATGATCTTTGGAAAGATCTCGGAAAGAGAAGAGAGCTGTGAAACGCCCGAGGGTGAGGATGAAGGTGGCCTGGTGACGGTGACAGAGGCTTTGGATGCTATGGCTATTGGGCCTTTTCATGTCCGCCATTTGCTGCGAATGATCTTTTTCTGGGCAGTGCTGTCGATGACGCAGGAGTGCACTCCGTATTTGTTTCCAGGCTTGCGCAAGTTCCTGCATGCGGATGACTGGGCAATCGCCAGCTTCGCTGCCGCCTTTCCCCTCGGATGCGTCCCAGCTATTTCATGAGCGCAGGCAGCATAGACATCAATAATTCCTTGGTACAGTTGTCACACACTATATGAGCTCAAGTACTGAGGTATGGGCGCTGTAGTGTCCGGCAGGCTGTTCATAATTTTGCTAGCTGCAACAAGTTTCAGAAGGTCTTTGGAGGGTAGCGTAGAGCGTGATGGCTTGGAAATGTTTCGTCATGTCAAAAAGGAACTCAAGTACATGTTGCGAATGCGTCTTGGGCATTCTTGAGCTATGTCTGAGATCATAGGTCTGGTCGCGTTTTGATGGTGGCCTTGTTGGTGAAGTATCATGGTCTTCTTCAGACCATTGTAGCAAGCGAGAGAGAAGAAGAGCAGCAGCACAGAGGTGTCGTGGGGTCCGTTGCTGCCAGCTTCCTCCTAGACCGACTCGGGAGACGAGGGACGGTCATTGCCATTAGCCCCTTTGCCGTGATCCTGGGACTAGCGAGTATGGCAGCGCCATCCATGCATGTTCTGCTTGCGTTGAGGTCGTTGCAGTCTGTGGCCTTCTCAACTACCATCACAGCACTTAGTGCTTGGTACATTGAGTTCCTGCCCACAAGCAATCGGGGAATGCTCATGGCGGCATACAGCCTTGGTTGGCCCGTTGGCCGCGCCGTTGTGATCCTGGCTGCAACCTTAGCAAGGACCTCTAAGACTTTGATTAGGATGCATCACATTTTTGTTGTTCTCAGGGCCTAGTGCCTATGAATTGGACGAATGCCCAGAGATCCTTGAAGGACTAACTGGGCAAGCTTTATGGCGGTGAGTGCAGCAGGCTTCGCCATTCTTTTCCTGACCATGTACATGGCAGAGGAGAGTGTTACTTAGATTTTCAACTTTTGCTAGAGAATGCCGACATGAAAAGCTTAAAGATTGCATAAGAGGAGTCTCCACGCTTCCTGGTGGCATGCGGCAAGCTGGGTGAGGCCAACGACGTCCTGGCCAAGCTTTACAGCAGCAATCGACAACCTCCATGGAAACCTGCACAGCTCTGCCTCAATGTGACCGACGCTGGTGCCAATGGCCATCGTAGTGCTTGGTCGCAGCTGCTTGAGAAGGAATCTCGCCAACTGCTTTTTTTTGCATTGGCCCTCTTTGGTGTTTTGGCTTCTACCACAGTGCTGCTTGACACTTGGGGCCCGGAGCTCTACCACGCCCTGCTTGCCCCGGAATCCCAGGAGTTGCCCACACGAATCCTCATGCTCTTCAACATCGGTGACCTATCCGGCGTTGCAATGTCCATCATCATCATTGATCGCATTGGAAGGGCTGGCAGCTTTGCCATCGGCTTCTTTGTACAGGGCGTTCTGTTAGCCATCATAACCTTCATTGATGCTACTAGCCATCCCATCATGTATAGCCTGGCGGTTCTTTGTGGCACGCTCGGTGCTGCATGCCGCTGCTTTGGGTGGGAGTCAGCTCAGATGTGGACGCTCGAGGCTTTCCCAACGGAAGTCCGTGCGGTCGCTTTCGGTATATCGACGGCAGCCATGCGGTTGCTATCGATTTTGTCTCTCAAAATGTCTTCCGAATATGTGCATACTTTGAGCGCATCCGCGTCTCTGCGCTTGCTGGCTGCGATGCTGATCGCTGGGGGCTTCCTAAGTACAGGACTGCTACCCAAGGAGACAGCAAAGGAGCCCATAAGCGAGGGAGTGGTGAATACAGGCAAACACTACTGAGGAGGTTGGAATGCAGCTAATCTGGTCCAGTTTGCTGAGTTGGGATTCATCCCAACGCAGGCAAGCACATGCATTCCAAATAGACAGCCGCACGGCGGACAACAAAGTGGCTGCTTGTGCTGTTGCTCGCGCCATCCCTGTGTTTGGCAGTGTTGGTATGGTCAGCCATAGGCAGATCAGTGGCCAGCGGTGCCTGTAGCTCGACGATACACAGGCAGTTTGACAACGCCCTCTCAAACACAACCCCAGATTTCGGTGTCTCGTGTAACAAACACCTTCCAACCCCGGGATGAAGGCACATTGCTCTGAAAGCCTCATCTTTGCTGTAGGCCAAGGCGGCTGCCGAGGGCCGGGAGATGCTGGAGGAAAACTGCGCCGTTGCAAACAACTGTTTTGGGGTTTTAGGAAGGTTCTTCGCCAGAACTCAAGTCCCGGAGGCGGCAAGGCGCAGGAGGATTCATAGCAGATTGTGATTCTTGCATATTCCTGCTCTGCCAAGTCGCAGACTTACAAATAGCTCAAGCTAAAGTAGCCGTTGGGACAAGCACAGGCCCTTCAGTTTCAAAAGTCTTGAGGCACTATGCGCAGCCGACTTTTTACACAATTGTACGGTCGCTGATTGCATTGCTGTAGCAGACATGACCTTTGACATGGTGAGCAGCAGGATGGCAGTGGCGATCCGTGGGATGAGGACTGTCCGGTGGGCAGGGTTCGGCAAATCCCCTGCGCTCAGTGTATGCCTGCAGGTTTTGCAATTTACGCAAAGCCATGCTGCAAGAATTCTAGGAATCACTCCGCCTGTCGGCACGTGCCTTCCGCGGATGGCGTTCTGCTGCTCAAGCACCAGCTCGCCACTCCTCAGCCTCGGTGGTGCTGGGCAGCACCTTGGGCAGAAAAGAGAGACGTGGGAGATGTGGTCTGAGTCCAAAAAGGCCATGCTTCAACTTTCGTGCTGCTGTGGTTCAATGTTCAGGCTCATGACCTGCAAACTTCAGGTGCTGCATACCGCCAGCTGGGCCTCGCACGCCGGCGCAGCCGGCAGCAGCTGGGCACGGAAGCAGAGCCTGCAATCTGTTTCTTTTTTTCCTGCTTTTTGGGCAGCTGGGCCGGCCCGCTTGCCCATGAAGGTCTGTGCAGACAGAGCCCTACGAGCTGCACGACGAAGGCTTTCCAGCGGAGAACGCAGAGTCATCGTTTCAGGAAACCGTGCCGTTGCATGTCTGAAGCGGAAGTTGTCTTGCCACAGTGCTGCCAGAATCTTTCAGCCTTTACGGGATACTTCGAAATATTGGAAAGCAGGGAGCGACCTGTAGCTGCACAATGCTGCACCCGGGAAAACTAAGCCTAATTCTGACATGTCCATGACACATGCCCAAAGTCCAGCTCGTCGGCAACATTTTTTTGCAGAGAAACGACACCTCCACATGATTGATCCAAGGTCAGTCACAGAGCCCGTAGCTACGGAGCAGTCGGCAAATGTCGATCTTCCTCAGCCGCATCAAGCCGTGCAATCGCCGCCGCTCCCATGCAAGTTTGTCTGCACCAGAAGGTGTCTTCCTGTTGGATCGTCTTAGAACTTTGCTGCGCATACGGTCCGTCTGTAAAGCTGTTGTGGGTGAAAGGCTTCCACCTGCTACAAGCCACGAGCAGCCTCCAGTGAAGTTTCTGGCCTGCATCTGCTGTCACCGAAGCGTGGTTTCGCAATTGTCAACTTCAGCATCTCGTGCTTTTCAGGCATGAGGATATCCATGATCTCCCTGAAGACGTTTGGCCAGAAGGAGATGCAAATGGACTGCCAAGCGTTCACATTGACATCCCAGACGCGCATATCGACATGCCACTGAGATGCAGCTAGCTCTTGCTGTGACAAGTTCTCTGTGCCTGTAGGAGCTAAGGAACCCGGCAGGGATACCAGCAGCACCTGTGCTTGATGACGGACCCAGGCAGCTGCGTCTAAACTGCACCCTCAGATACATTCATTGATCAGGCATCATCAGCGGCGGTCGATACAAACATCTTCACTGATGGCCCATACAGTGTGCCATAAATTAATTTGGCCCCAGAAGTTCCATACTGCATTTTCATGTGACTCCAGAACCAGACAAAGCATCTCTGCACAGTGGAAGGCACTCGAGGGTTTGATTTATAGATACGTCTCACAACTAGTTTTCTTTCACCTATCATAAGCTTCTTGGCAATTCTTGGCGAATACAGGTTGGGAAAGATTGGCAAATCGGTTGGATAAAAGCCCCGCGCTGGAGGATGAGGTCCTGGCATGCCGGAAAGGGGCAAGAGAAAAGGAACGATAACAAGAGCGATGGGTCCAAAACTAATTTCTATAGCGATAGATGACAAATAACACGGTAACAACATATTTGGTGTCGAGCAAAAAGGAATGGTTTTTGTACAACCCCAAATGCTTTACATTGCGTACTATCCCAGATTCTGTACTTTGGGTAATAAGGGCATCAGGGGTGATCTGAGGCTAGACGAGGAGCCGGTGCCGGGGATACACGCGGAGCCTGTCCCTCACAATCCTGAATCGCCCGCTCGGACTTTCCAAGATGCACATGTCGAAGCAGAGCAGCCTGGGAGTGATCATGACCCAGCAGCTGAAGCCACAGAAGCAGAGCCAACCCATGGTGTGGCAGAGCACTTTGATCAGCGGCTTTCCGACGAGCCATCCCCTCAACATGAAGACAACGACGAGGAGGCAGCCCGCTAGACGCCGCTTCAACCGTAAAGTCAGCAAAAGCTGCCAGTGCCTACAATCTCGGCTCTTGCAGGATCCAGGTTGGCAAAGACCCCACGATGGACATTCCGCAGATGGGAATGATGACGGCATGGACCGCGAAAGGCGCGGACATGCGGAGCATCTAGCATCATGCATGAATGCATGCATGCTTGGGATTACAAGAAGTTGATTCAATTTGTGGACGCGCATCCAGGCCTGTTGACCAGAATTGGCATGTCCTCGGCCACGAACCTAACGCTGAAAATTCCGCAGTAGTTCACACAGTTCTGCGAGCTGATGCTCATACGAAGACTTGGGGCGAGGGCAATCAAACTCCTCCAGAACCATATCTACCCCAACTTGCAAAGCCTCAGGCTTTGCCTAGGAGTTTTGAGGGGGCTGCTATCCTGGTTCGTGCTCAGAGATCCCGTCATACTCGTAGTTGCACAGTGGTATTGACGGGATGTACGCCGTGTAGATGGCTACAAAGAAGTCAGGTAATGATGAGGATGCACCACCTCGTGCATCCGAAGGCGTGCGGATCTCAATTGGCAGCGCTCTCGCAGGAAGAAGCCATACCGCCATGCCTATTTCACTCACAGGTTAAATCAAGTTGCCGAAGTATGGACACATCTAACCGATTTCCATGAGAGACTCTATTTCAGCTAATTAACAGCAACTCAGTTAAGGCCCTGCTGCTAGCCGAGCAGAGGCTCAGGCCAGCAAGTGCTGTTCAGAAGCTTATCATTCTTAGGGGTGGAGTGAGCGACAGGAGGTAGCAGAGTCTACATGGTGCAGGCAAGGGTGGCGACAACTCCTGGCAAGCTGCTTCACAGCTTGGCGAGAAGGCATCCTAGTGTGCTCCAAACATTCTACTCCTGGATTTGCAAAGTTTCCGTAAGCCGGGAATGTAGGGAAGTTCGTTTTCGCCGGTCTGTCCGGATTTGACTTGCCTTTGATACGTGTTTGTCTCCCTTCTTTTCAGGTCTTGTCTCCCTTCATGCGATGCAGACGTTGATAGGAACTGTAGGGGTGCTTGATCGCCTTGCCTGGTCTCCTCTTGTCTCTCTTCGTTTTGGGAGGCTTGTCTCCCGACTTCCATTGTCCTCGGTGGTTCCTGTCAGGCTTGAAAAGCTCATCTTTAATTGTCCCCCTTCATCTGGCGAAGCTTTGGTGGGGGGTCTCTGGAATGTCACCTTCCCCAAGACTCATCAGAAAAGTCTGTTGAATTTGGAGGGCTTCAGTTGGCAGGAGGGTGATTCTTTCATGCAAGGCTGCTGCAGGTAGAGGCCTGAGAAGGTCTGCCTTTCGCGTGGTACGTGCCATTTTTGTGTTGGACGTGTCGCATCCGTCTGTCATGTTTGGCTCGTGTTGTTGTGGTTGCTCAGGGCTTTCAAAGAACGACCGCATTGTGTTTCGCTTCTGCTACACACCCTCAGAGTGGGGTTCTTGGATTTTAAGATCACAAACGCCGAACTCCACAGTGTCCCTATGCCTTACCACAATCGCAGGGGAGATGCCTATAATTGGGTCGGAATTCGTGGCCATACGTTCAGGAGGCCATCCTCCACAAACACTGCAACCAAGGGACAAGGCAAGTTGACTTGAAAGCGCAGCCTAGGCCTCGACTTCCTGATCAGCGTCTCCTTGTGGCAAGATGACGAGGCTGGTGCTTGTGATCACAAATTTATAGGTTTAGGGGGCATGTTGTCAATCTTCAGCTTCTTTCTTCCATACAGCAACATGCCCAACAGTCAAGCGCAGGAAGAGATTCGACGCTTGCACCTGAAAGGCATGGTCGCATCCCCAGCTGCCCAGTAGGGCTCGTGGTGTGCCATGGGGTGTAATGATGTGATGCATGGCAAGGAGCTTCGCCTGGAGGGCTGCCAGGCATTGCGGCTCAAGGCCTGCATTTGATAAACTCGCTCGCTGATTGCTCAGATGAGTGGGTTTATCTATTGCAGGAACGGGATGCTGCTACTGAAGCGGAAGCTGCGCTGAAGGTACCACAAAGCTTTGTTTGCCTTTCGATCTGTTGTATCATGGGAAAAAAAGTCAAAGCCTTCCTGCGCAAGGCGAAGCTGGAAAACGAAATGCAGAAGGCGGAGGCCACATGCCACCTCAAATTGAGTTGCAGAGGCAAATCCTAGCAACACGACTTGGGTAGGATCCTTGCACGCAAGACCATCAGGCTGCAGACCTGAACTTTGACAAGCCCTCAGGTGCGCCTACGAGAGGAGTTTCAGGCCCAACTTCAAGCACAGGCCGTGAATTCCGTGTAATATGCGTTATCCTTTGGTCGATGAAGCTGTTTGCTTCCTGCTTTGGAATGCCTTAGTACCGCGCTTGCCGCAATCTTGCATGGTGAGAGAGCGTCTTGAGCCGCAGAGGGTCCGCAGCTGCCCGTCTCAAAGGTTCTGGAGTCAAGTCAAGAAGGCTAGTCCGCATTTCACCCGTGTCAACTCAAATCCTAAGCTGGCCACATGAAAAAGACTGGCTCAACTCAACGGAACGCACGATCAGCAAGCCAAGTTGTCCCAAGTAGCACCCGCCACTCCAAATTACTCCAAACTGCATACTGCTGCACACTGTGCCCACCTCCAACCATCCAAGAAATTCCTTAGAAACAAGCCTCAAGCAACAGCAAGCGAGAGCCTGCGACAGCGAGCGAGAGCTTGTCAAGCCCTGTGTTGCTCTGTCGGCTTCCTTGCCACGCTTCCAGGCTGCAAAGGGCTGCAAGGGATTGCAAAGCCTGTACATACACTACGATACAATGTCATCTGAAGCTCATCTGTGCACATGAAGGCTCATATTATTATTGCTCTTTGGCCGAGGCCCTGAGGGATGGGTGAGAGCAGCCGAGAAGAGATCTGCGCCTGGGAGCAGACATTATTGGGCCTTGGAGCTGACAGATTTCTGCTTGGGCCTCGCAAGCAAGGCGCCCAGCTACGACAGGCTCTTGAGCTCCGGGCCAAGTACTGTCAAAGGCTGCCGCCAAAGAGGAGTGCGTGGAAGGAGGATGCTGAGCAGTTTGTGAAGTCCGCAGCACAGGAGCTCCTTCCCAAAGTCCGGACAGCTGGAGTTCCAGTGGCAGGATGGGCTGGTGCAGGTTCGCACCTGGACAGCATTCGATTAGGCTCCTGAGCACAAATCGATTATCAAGGGAGTGAGGCAGACCCGGCTCCCTCGGAATCTGAGGGGAAACGGGTGCTGAACAGCCACTCTTCCATGTACCAAGCCTGGACGAGTATTACGACGACATGAGCCACAGCCGCAGTTGAGGCTTCTCTTTGCTCAATTTGTCAATGCTGGCTTGAGAACACCACATGCAACTTGCCAAGGAATACATTGTTTCATATCAGGCCTGGACGTTTTTGCCTGCAATTTTTGCTTGTAGAACTTTGTGGATTCAATGAAGAATTCCTAAGCCCTAGGCAAGAATGGTAGTTGGCTCATGGGTTCAGCGAGAGGGAGAGGGCTGGTCACTGACGTCAGGTCTTCTGGGCCAGTTTCCAGCTATGCATACCAGAGACTAAGATTGCTGCAGACGAAGTTCGAGCTGTATACCATGGCACCCTGACTTAGCATGTGTGCGGCTTGTTTTCATTGCATGCAGCGAATGCAGCTGCTAGTAAGGTCTTCGGAGATCAGGAAGCTCAGGACGCTCCGAGCTATCTGAACAGGAAGCAGTATCAATTTGCCGTGTAAGTCAGTTCTTGCCACAGGACGCCATGGACACTGGACACAGGGACATTTGGATGCACCAATGTTTAGATCGCTTGCAGTAGAAGTTTGGCATCACTGGCACTGACAAGCCTCCAGCACTGCAATCACTCGAGCGAGGACTTCTACAATGTGAGGAAAGTTGACACTCACATTCACCATTCAGCTGTGACTTGCCTGACCCCGCGTTTACACTGGTACAACATGAGTTTTTGCTAGCCCTATTCAGAGGACAGACCGTTTCTGTTTTGTATTCCAAGGCCATGAATGCGAAACATTTGCTGCGATTCATGAAGAAGAAGCTGAAACGATTTTCTTCTGATGTGGTCGATGTCCTTTGCCTGCAAAGTTGCGCCGCTCTATTGAGGCAGCCTTCGCATGCCCCTGCTGTATGTTGTCGTTGCACAACAGATATGCCATTTCATGCGCAGCATGGGGCAGCACTCTCACAGCGTGCTCTGCTCGCAACTTGAGGTGAAGGATGGCAAGCAGCGGACGCTCAAGACAGTCTTCGATGACGCTCGACAGTGACGTAGCCGACGTAGCCTCCAGCCACTCAACCAGGTAAGCAGGACAAGTTCTCAGCCCAGTAGGCTTGAATAGACCAAAGGACATGGGCATCGGCTGGACAGACCTTTGCATCGACCGCTTGCAGGCCCAGCATTGGCGACAGTTCTTTGTAAGAACAGGTATGTGCAGAAGTTATGTCATGTCATGCCTTTCTCCTGTTCTTCTACATATGTTATACATCTTTGCATGGTAGTGGTTTCAATAATGCACACATTACCTTCACCCTGGAATCGAGCCGGAACTGGACAGGTGTGGGCGGACAAGAGCTGCCTTCACCGCTTTGATCGATTCAATAACAAGACGCTCGGCTGTTGTCCATTATCAGACTTACAATCACTATGATGTTCACACCAGTTGCCTACTGGGTGCTTGCGCACGTTGGTGTTCCGGCCAATTCTCCACGTATCTTCCAGACCACAGGTACTCGCCCATGGGTCAGAATGAACTGCGAACGATTTTCCTGAAGACTGCTACTTGGCTCACTTCAATGACTCACTTCTTCTAGCTGACTGCGTGGCTGATCATCAGAACAAGTGTAGCATATGGAGCTCCACCGTCCCAGTTTTGTCAGGAACCTTGAAAGCATCCAACAAAAGCAATTTGGCCTTGGCAACGAAAGTAAAACACGTGTATGAAGTGATGGTTCTGGAACCTACAGAGGCATTGTACTGTAGACTGGTGGAGAACTTCCCAACCCCCTGTCATGATAAGTTCAGGACAATGCTATGGGAGGGCGCTATCTTGCCGAGCTCACAACTGCCGCTCTGCAACTGAAAATCATTATTAATGACAGCGAGAACAGATCTCTTGAGACTCTATCTCATGATCTGTTGCGATACTGGTTCTGGACCGGTGCTGGACACCAAGGAATTAATTTCTGATTTGGAGGAGTCGAAGTACCAACATGCTGAGTGGCGGCTATCGATCTATGGTCGTGGCTTTGGCTGACACGTTTTGGGTCGTGATCTCATATGCTTTTTCCGCAAGGCCAGACTGTTTGTGTCTCCTGGATTTGTCGTTCTTTCTTATAGTGGCCATCTTAGGCAAGATGTCCGAGTGGGACAGCCTGAGCAAGTGGGTGCTTGGGCGCGGGGGTAAAGGACCGAAGCCACTCAGCCAGGCTTACTGTGGGTGTGCTGCCGCAATGGAGCGATGCAGGATGCGGCAAGGCTCTTCTCTCGCAGAACATCCGCTGGATGATTCAGATTCCGCGGCTCTTCTCCCTGCGGCTTTGATGCAGATTACCGACCAGGGTGCCGGCAGCAACGTCTCACACAGTAGAGGTTGTGTCTGACACATATGGAGACCAGGTACAAGACGACAGGGCAGCTGGACAATTTCGGACAGATGTACCTGGATTGCATCCGTGACTTTTACTTAGGTGCCAGCTGCCAGCTCAAGTTGGGCCTAGACAGCCGTTCTTGTCTATACTGCATACTCACAGTAAGCAAGCCTTCAACCAGAAGGATATTGCTGACGTCAATCTAGATTTCTTGCACTGAATGCACGGCGAGCTCCATGGACAGTCACCACCCTTTTCATTGTCTGGTGAAGCTTAGGAACATGCTGCAGGCCAAATGTGCCTTTTAAGTTAGTTCTGTAGTCTGTTATGAAGCCTGTTAGCGCACAATCCCAGTGATCGTCCGTCTTCAAATTTGCGTTAGAGCTGTTTTTTTCAATCTGTTTCCCTCAAGTTTGTTTCACCTTTAGCTTGTTTTAAGTTTGCGTCAGGGGCATTGGAGCTTAAACGAGGACTTCCAGAAAATGCCTAGAGGCGATTCAAGTCTCGTCCGGGTCCACTTGGAATCGGTTTTGGGTTTGTTCTGGATTTGGGTCCGTTTTTGGACGTGGTACGAATTAGTCGGGGTTCTTTTGGTGTCCACTTTTTGGGGTTTCCTTGCCTCTGCAGAATGGGGAAGCGCCAAAACGAGCTCCCCACACCCACATAAACCTCGGACGGCATCAATTTGCCTTTCCGAATTCTCTCCAATCTCAAGAGACTACGGATTGACGCAATGCCGCCTAGCCTGGGCTGTTTCCAGCACTGTCTCAGCAGCCTGCGAATGACCAAGCATGATGCCTCAACCTAGTCTTTCCGGCTAGTGCGGATAAACGTTTTTGTGAATGTGAACGTCCAGCAGCCGTAGATCCTGTGTCCAGCTCTCCTGCCCAATGTTCTTCTCAACTGTCCTGTGGCGTGTCAAATGAACAGGCTCCTGCTCAGGTGAATCGAGAGATCCTCATCTGTGCATGTGGAGTGAAAGCAGAGACAACTCTCGGGGGAATCGTAAGCAAATCTGAAGCCAAAACAAAGCTCGACAGCTTGCTGAAATGTCTGATCGTGGAACCTGGCTCCTGTTCAGAAAACTTCCGGAGCTTGAGAGCTTGAAAGATGGCCTATGGGTAGCCACCGAGGCTTGAAAACATCTTCACACCGCTGTTCGACAAGCCCTCAGTGCAGTACCGTATGTGTGTGTGGGTGTGTGTCAGACAATTAAAGGATCCGCTGTTCCCTTGTGAGCTGAAGACTCCGAGGAAGCCACGCTCTTCCCCAAGAAGCATCCTGACGTTGCAGAGTTCTTGCATCATGTTAGCGGCTGGGAGCTTGGTCTTCCCAGCACTTGATGAGCACTTCTTGTGGTATCTCCACATGCTCCAGCTATGCCTGACTGCTCTGAAGATACCTTAAGATTGGAGAAGGGTTCGCGATGCCCTAGGCTTTGACACCGTGGATGATGAGAGTAAGTCCGAGAAGCCGGTTGACCGGACATTTTCGTCCAAGTCGCGGCCTCCGCAGCTCTGGGACATCGGGGACAACCCGCCAGAAGCTTGGATGTTAGGCAGAAGGTATGCCAGAAGTCATCGTGAAGTACGCTCGTGGAGCCAAGGTCCTACAAGTACTACTCGTACTTCATTCAGAGCAACCTGCGCATGCTGAACATGCTCAGACACGAGTGGCTTGGACCTGATTGGGCATCATAGACTCAGAGACTGGCTTCGTTGTTTTTTTTGTTCGCAGGGATCTGCCTTGAGAGGATTGCCCTGCTTTGACGGTCAAGGATGGGTCTTAACACCTTCGACTATAGGCCGCACGCCGGCGAGGCCTGAAAACTCATGTTTTGGGGAATTCAAGGGGCAGCGCTTGTGTTGCATACACGTGTGAACCTGCGCCACAGAAGTAGTGGCCTTGCTTGGTGCCAATGACTTTGCCAAGGTTATTTTGACACTTGCTTGCCACGTTTGGAAGCACCCACAAGCTTCCCTTGAGGTATTTGCAGTATCCCAATTTCCCAACTCTGCTATAAAAAGATAAGTGTGTGAACTTGCAATTTGTCTGCCTTCCGTGGCCCGCATTTGGTCAGGTGTTTTGTTTTTTCTGCTTATAGCTTAAGTTTGCATGCATGCCTTCTCTCGTGACCTGATGGTGTATGCAGGCGGGCGAAGTTCACCATTTGGACACTGCCTTTCTTCTGGCCGATGGTGCTCGGGCAGAACTTGAGCTAAGGTTTCCTCGCGAGTGAGTAATTTGGTCAGGGTTGCAGGAAAGCCTCAAGTGTAGTTGTCATGATTGCTTTGATCTTGAGCTTGGTTTCGTGGTGTTCCCTACCCTTTAACTATCCGATTATAGTAGGCTGTGAGGATGGCATGCCAACATGGGTTGAATATAGGTGAAGCAGAGAACAGAATTCTGGAGACGGAGGGCTTCAATAGGGTGATGCACTATCCGGTTGTAGACTGCCAAAGATGCCATAAAAGTACATGTTTCTTGCAACAGATAGTTTGGCGAACATGCAGATGCTGGACTGATCTTAGAGCTTTGTCATATGCGCCTCGATTGACATGAACTCTGCGGATACGAGCGGCTCGAAAACGTGGAACAACTCGAGCACCCAAGCTTGAGCGACACCCATGGTTGCATTGGAATTTTCCACCGTTCGGGCACATGGAGGCCCTTTGGTTCCAAAGGGCTTCGCCCAAACGAGGTTTGTGGAGTGCAGCCCGCGCGGCAGTGTTTTTGGCCAGCACAGCTTGGGCACGCATCTCTGCAGAGATAGATCCAACATCTGGCATCGTCTGGTTCAATTCAGTGGACGCTTTCGGCCCGCAGGTGATTCGCCCTCTGACGGAGCAGCTGCTCCGAGACTTGCCGGGATGCCATTCGTTACAAACGGTATCAAACTGTAGCTGCCCTCTCTTGGCCACAGCAGGGTTTGCATCTTCGTTGCCCAGCGTCATCGTTGTTGGCGCTGCCAAAGCAGGATCTAGCATGCTTGTGTCGTTGATGGAAAATTCTGAGCCACCGGCGTACGTTCCAAAGGTAGGACGTGCCGCGCAGCTGAGTGGTGAGTCTTTTTATTGGATACCGGAGTTGCTTCCCATAATTCAGGATGAGTGGCTGTCTTGGAGAGGTTGGCGCTGTAGCGACTCAACGTCATTTCCTGGTGCCATCAAGAGAGTATTGTCAAGTGGCATGTGTTCCCCAGAGGGTTATCGGGCGGCAGTGTTTGGAGACTTAAGCCAGGCACACGGAGCAGCAAGGAACAGCACTGATGCCAAAGCCAAGAGACATAGCAGGGCGAATGCCACCTTCACAGTAGAGAAGACGCCGGAGTACCTTGTGTGGCCTCATGTCCACGTGGCCCTGAGACCATTCGTTATGTCCGGTACGAAGATTGTGGCCATGCTGCGCAACCCAATTTTGCGCTTGATGTCTGCGTTCCGCCATTATACTATCTGGCAGTCTTCGGCAGTAAGTCGCAATGCAAAGGTCAACACCTTTGGCACAACCTTTGAGGAGTATGCCTACCGTATCCTGCATGATCCGGTTGTAATACAAATGCACACAGAGGTTGTCCGCCACCTTACCAAACCGTCAGATCTCCGAAGCATGGAAGGGGTGCTTAGCGCATACATCAATGCCATCTACTTACTCTGCGATGCGAACACGTGGCACGTGGTTTGCGCCCTCAAGCGGGGACCCCTGACTTCTTACTACCTTCCGCAGGTCCTTTCCATGGTGCGCTTCATTGGTGGTTGCCCGTACAAATGGCTGCGGATTGTTCAGACGGAGCAGATGTTCGCGCAACCGTCATTTGTGCTGGGCAGGCTTTGGCAGTGGATTGGCATTGACGGGCCTGTGACCCTGGGCGACATCATTCCTGCTGGTGATCCGCGCAGGGCACTGGGGAAGATGACAGGGGGTAAGTGGCACTTGTCTACTAATTCAAGTGTGTGTGGCGATCCCAGCATTATCGGTGGTCTGCACGAAGTGTACGACTCATTGAACCGCATTTTGGCAGCTGTCATTGAGACCCTAGGCGTGTCCGTGGTACGGTTTGACGTCAAGCTCTGGGCGAAGCCCAATGTGGCTCTTAGAAATTGCGCGCCAACTTCCAGCTGAGACTGTGCTCAAAAAGTGTGATGCTGCAGGGCAGGCAGATTCCATGCGCCAGGAGACCACGACGTTGAAGTCTGTTCAGCGGAAGCGGGAAGGCACGCAATGAGATCTGACAAATTGTTCACAAGGAATCAACCACGGCTTGAACCTGCGCAAGTCCATGGGATTGAGACATGGCTTCTCATAGCAGCCTTTGTTGGAATGCTGCGGGTTGCCGGCTGCAAGTGTGTGGAGCATCTAGCAGGGATTTATGATTGATCAGTCCAAGGCAGTACTTGTTCTACCTGGCTCAGATTGGGCTGGCCATGTCCCCGTGCTCAAACAATCAGCTGCTGCTCGGCACGCACTCTGAACCTCGACCTACCAAGTTGCGCTAAGCCCGTTCATAAGCATGACATGTGAATGCCTTGCTTGCTGTTAGTGATGTAATCATGGGCAGACATATTGACCAGGCATATGATTGCAAAATGATGCAGATTGTACATGGATGGGTGAGAGTTAGCAAACTACACATAGCTACACAGCATGTCTTGGTGAGGTTCCTTGCATACGAGAAGAGCCCCTTCCCGGTCTACTTCTCACGTGGTCTCAACGTCTCCCTGTCAACGGATGACCCACTGATGTTCCACCAGACCAAGGTCTGGGCTTTGATTGGACTTGATTTCTGTCTAGTAACGAATGAATATTCACCCAAATTTATATTTCCATCACATATTTTGGCATTATTTTGGGGAACGTTTATCAAAACAGGGTGGGGGCGGTGATATCTCCCATTCTTGCGTTCCCTACAAAAGGCACCGGTTGTAGAAACTCCTGTTGTGATTGCGATAACACCTATCTGGTCGCAGTGACAAAGCGGAATCAACTAGATCTGCTTTCCTCCTTGGACCTGCAGCTGCAACTACAACCTGGGAGCCCATCTGGGCTGAAGCAAGGCATCGTGAGGTAATGGAACTACTATATTATAATAGGGTATATATTGGGGTTATAGTCCCCCTTAAGTAGATAGAATATGGGGTATATGGGCTTCTAGTTATATTGCTGTCTTAGAATCCTGGGGCCAGGAGCCGCTGATGGAGGAGCAGCTTTTCTGGATTCAGCGAACGTCAGGCTTCTCTGTGATAGTTCGCTCATTCGACACTGATTCCTCAAGGTCTAATGTTAAAACCATGGGCCCCTAGTATGGGCCTTTAAGGGCCCATATTACGGGCCCATGCTTTTAACCTTAGACAAGGGGTTCCGCAGGCCCACAGGTTTCAGCGCAGTGTGCTGTTACATTCCGACTGACAAATCAGTGCCCTCACCTGCCGGATGCGGGCGACACAGACAGGATGGGCAAAAATCACAGATCTGAGCATCGGTCTCTTGCATTCGCAAGGCAGGTTGTATAATCCCTACATTACCCCTATATAGCCCCTGTAATCCCCCTATATAACCCCCCCATAAGTTGGAAATTTCTGAGGTACAGCATTGCAAAGCAGCTCTGGCACTTCACCTCCGTGGACCTCTGCGAGATGGCTCGGAACTCTGTGCTTCAGAGCGGTTTTGACGAGGAGACCAAGGCAGGGTGCCAAGGTTCCCGAGTTCCGGGCATGGCCTAGTAGTCTTAGTAGAAATATGAGCGAAAGTCTAACCTCCTGAAAGGGGGTGTTACATAGGGGAGTATGTGGGAGTTCTGAAGGGGGGTACTAGGAGTTTAATGTTGAGTGCTGATCAGCGTAGGGGGACCCCCCAAACAAAATTGGGTCCCTAATTAGTAGAGGGGGGGGCCCCCAAACGAATCTGGATCCTAGGGTTAAATTAGATTCAATAGGATGGATCAGGATAGGGTTTCGGAAGGCATTCAGAAAGGTTTGGGGAGTTGAGAGGATTTCGGTTTGGGAAAAGAATTCAGCTTGGATTAGGGCCCTAAATTAATTGCTTACTGCATGCCATGCTTTTGAAAGAAAGCGAGGTTCATTTCTTCTAATGACTGATTCTAAGATCTGTTTGGTCGCGCAACTTCGCGCAATTAAGGCCCCCCAAACGACTCAGGGGGCGCTGAATAATTTCGGCAAGACTTCTCACAATTACGGCAACCCGCACTAATCGGGATCAAATATCAGACGATCGCTCATGTAATATAACATAGTAATGGAGCAGGTCTAGGGTGTCTATATTCTTGCATGCGCCCGTAAGAAGCGGTAGGTTCAGGGAAAACTGGGGGCTGTGAGGCTTCAGAATCTTCAGGGGCGCATAGCTTGGCTCTGCGTGCTGGAACCTGGGGATTTCCCTGTAGGTAGCAATAAGATTTGGGGTACGTATATGTTTTTTTTGATTGTGTGAGCGATGTTTTTTGTTCTTAAGTACCGCCTACATTTTGCCTCTTTTTTTGCATGTTGCTCTCTGCTCTCCGCTTGTCTGGCTTTGCTTTCTACTTTTTTGCTTTTTGAATCCTGTTGTTCCTTGTGTTCTGCTTATTGTTTTTGTTGTTTCTGCCTTCGTTTTTCCTGTTCTTTTGTGCTGCTCTCGCTTTCCGCTTGTCTGACTTTGGCTGATGCTTTCTGCTTATTGCTTGTTGCTAGCCGCTTTTTACTTCCGTTCTGTGTTTTTTGCTTGTTGTTTTGCAGTGTTCTTTCTTCCCGGTGTTTTTTTTCTGTTGCTGTTGCTTTCTGATTCCCGATCTCTTCATCGATTTCTTTTTTTCTTTTACGCTTCTCGCCTTCTGCTTCCTTTCTGTTCTTTTTTCTTTCTGATTCCCGCTTTGTTCTTTGCTTCCTGTTTTGTTTACTTTCTGCTTCCTGCCTTTGTCCCCAGCTTTCTGCTCCGTGCTGTGTGGTTCTTCCCTTCCGCTGTTTTGGTACATGCTTCCTGTTTCTGTCTGGAGCTTCCTGCTCTCTGCTTTTGGCTGCTTGATTTTCGACTTGGTTTGCTCTCCGAAGCACCTTCTTCCTGATGACTTGTCTGCTGCGCTTTTGCTGCTGGTTCTTGGGTGCTTTTTGCTGTCTGCTGTTGTGCTTACTTTTCTACCACTTCCCGGTTCTCGCTGCTGGCTTGTCCGGCCAACCATGCTTGCCATACAAAGCGTCATGTCCCTCACCATGTTTGCCGTAATGGAGAGTTATGCGGGATCATTTTGTTTGCGAGTGAAGGGGTGCTGCGCCCTTCCAACCCCCCACCCCATTCTAACAGCTACGCAAACTCGCCGTTAATTGAAAACATCATATTTGTCACGTTATGACCTTAAAGAAGGCGAGAATTCTACGGATGATTTTGTTAGCAAGGGAAGGGGGGCTGTGCTATCCCCACGCCACACCCGAGGGCCCCTCCCCGCTGGTTTCGCTTGTTTCAGGCCATCCATGCTTGCCATAAAATCGCAGCATCACGTCATTACCACGGTTTTGTGGATAGCAGCTCCCCCCAGCCCTCCCACCCCTGTTTTAGGCCATCAATGTGTGCCTCAAATTGAAAGACATCATGTCATCACCATGTCTGAAATAAGAAGGGTTATGCAGATGATTTTGTTTGCGCCTGGGTTCGAGGGCGGCTGCACCCAACCCCCCGAACCCCCACATTTGTTTTAAATGCCATCCACGCTGACCATAAAAAAGATCATGTCATCACACAGTTTGCAGTACGGCAAGCTTGTGCGGATCATCGTGTTTACAAATGGGGCTGTCGCTGCCCCGCTTGTTTTAAGGCCATCCAGGCTTATTTTAAAGTCGTGTCGTGGAGAGCCCTCACCGTTTTACTCAAAACCAGCTCTGGCATGGAGTGTACGGATGTTTTTGTTCAAAATCAAGCTCTGGAGTGGAGCGTCCTCAGATCTTCTGCCAAGAACTGTAATAGCAAAAAACCCAAAAATACAGACCAAAAAGCTTCAGATTCTATACGTTGGGGGCGAAGTGGCCCCTTGAAAGTTTGAGATCCGAAACAGCAATGGCTTGCTCAGGCGGCCTGGTTCGGTTCCAAGGATTACCGCAACGAGAACAAGCCTACTTCCACGAATGTGCCAAGCTTGAGGTAGTTTGGCCTGACATGGATGCGGTAGTAGTAATTTGGGGTGATGACCCATCATGGCAGAGGGATGGGGGATCGCACAGGCACTGATTTTCAGCAGTTGCAGTCTCTCCGTCAAGACTGCTACTTGGTATGGGAAGGAGGTGGGAAACAAGTCACAGGAGCATGACAGAGCCAAGGATTGCATATCGCAAGCGCGTGTATCAGGAAGAGATGCATCTGCTGGATGCAAGCGCCTCTCTGCCGAAGTGGTCACAGCTCACCTACTGGTGTTTGGACCTACTGCTCGTTTTTTGTTGCTTTTTGTTTGCCAGAAGTTTACGCGTAGTCTTGTAACAAAAGCTTACGAGGCAGATGATGCAGATGATGTGGGCGTGATGTGCAACTTGCTTCTGCTCTCCCCTACCCGCCGACTGCAGCAGCAACTTGACCACTCAAGACTTGTGGACGTGAGTCGGCGTCGCCGCTAGCACTTCAACCTTGTCTAGGTACATGCACACACCACAGCATTTAGAGCTACTTGTACAAATCATGCGGTTGGCAGGAATCGAGATTCAGAGAGTATCTTTGCATTGGTTTGCTTGTTACATCAGAGACTCATCAGCCAGCGCTGCCCCCAGCGCTAATTGTTTGGGGCTCGCCCAGTCATTAAAATCCAAGACACTCATGGAAGACTTCATTCTCGTGTGTTCACTGGATCTATCAGAGTCATGGCCGGGGTCGGCGAAGCATAAGAAGCTGCTCAACATTCAGGCTATTGGTATATCAGATGTTACTCTTGTGTTTTGCGTTGGGCTAATTTTAAGGGGAAACCCTCAGAGACCAGAGTGTTTCTGAACTGCCTTTGCCGATGTTGAAGGCCAGAGGTTTTGAGTAGGTGTGTTTGGTTGCCATTATGACTCTAAACATGTCGCAACGCTTGAGGTCTGACTTTGCAAGCTTTGGCTTGGATACTGAGCCGAAAGCCGCTTGTCAAGATGGTGGCATCCTAGTTCTAATGAAGTCGAGATGCTTGGCTTGACCGGGGAACTGATGGAAAAACTTCTCTAGACGGGTTCTTTCTCCTGATCTGAGCTTCCAGTGGAGCGACACAGCGCTGCAAGTCGTATGAACTGCCACTTCCCGGTGCAGATCCGGCCATTTGCTGCTTCCTTGCCGGGTGAAGACCAGGTGCTGGCCTCAGAGCTTTAGGGCTTTAGGCATCCGAAGTGACCGGTAAGCATGCTTTCCAAAGATCGCACGGTGGTAGCCCTGCATAGCCAGCCATTCAATCCGTCGAAAAGGGCCCTTTTCACTGCTTGAAGGATCTTGGCACTCTCCTTGATGCTTCTATCCAGCAGCAGAGCACGCAAGAGGAAATGGGCGAGCAGGTGGCCGCCCGCCTGATTGTTTAGATGGGGTTCTTGCAGTTGATCTCGCATTTTGCTTTTGGCTGGGGTCTTCTTAGCCGGCCTAGCCATCACGGTCACAGCATGGATTCATCAGACCTCCTCCCCTTTCCGTCGCCTCTGAGAGCTGAGGATTGGTCAGTCCGGCCGCGTGGTTGCAATCTACCAGCCAAGTGTCCAGAACAGCCAATCTGAGAGCTATCCTGTTGCCCCACTGCAAGGCAATGGAGGTGTTCATAGGTCCATGACTCCTGTAAGGCCAAGCCATGGGCCGCAGTCCACCAAGATGCACAAAATTGTCTCGCAAGAGATCATGGCGCTAGAGACCTGCCTGCAGAAGCTGCACGCCGGGGCTCAACTGGTCGGGTGCTGACCTGTCGCGATTAAGGATCAAAAGAACCGCAAAGGTTCCTTTGATGCTCTCAGTCATAGGCCCCGCAAATACAATCCAGTCTTTCTTGCAGAGCTCCTTTGGCAGCTGGGTTCTCATGTCGCTTTGCCAAGCACTTGCGGGGCCGCAGGGGCACCCTTCCTCTGCTTCCTCGAGATCATAGTGAGCACAGCGCTGTCATGAATGAGAAGATGCAGGACTCCTCGTGCTAAGAATTGTGGAGGTTGTAGAGCAACTTGGGAGGAAATCAACCCTTGGGGTGGTCCAGCGTCTTGTTTTCCTTCGGGGATTATCCCTTCAGCGTGAGATTTGGAGGAGGAATTCCTTCTTCGACTGAATGCCGAATTTGCAGCTCAACGAACTTCGCAACAAAATCAGCAGCAGTTGCTGTCCATAGGCTCCTCGGCAAAAAGCGTGTGATGCTGAAGCTAAAGTTAAGACAGAGCAGAAGATGGAGCCAAGGTGTTGCTGTCGTCATTGGTTGCCTCAGTGGTGCCGTGGCGGCCTGGCTGGCTCGGCGGTAACGTTCTGGAACACTCCAGGCCTTTGCTTTCTTGCAGTGAGATGCAGTGGGCACTTGGAGTATGTGTGCCAAATGCATGGATGATCCCCGTAAGAAGTACAATGGTGAAATTATTTGGGCAGCTGCTCCCAACATAGCTTCGGAAAGCGCCTTTTAAACTTTCAAAACCAGGTTGTATGTAAAGGCAAGTCTCCAGTGACCTCCAGTCAACCCTTGGCAGGCGCAACTTCAGCTACAATGCAGGAAGGAATCCTTTGTTATCAGGATTGGTCATCATTTTTCAGTGTGCCTGATGAGCTTCAATTCTTGACGCCATTCTGGTGTAACACCTTTTTACGAATTGTTTGCGTGCACGAATTGTTTGCCTGCACCAGGTGGCTCCTGTACCATCTGAGGGATGATTGCCTGAGCGACCGCCGAAGCCGAAAGCAGCAGAAAAGTATCACGTTGGCAGGAGAGATTCAGTTGCCAAGACCGGAAGCCATAAAACAATTCTATTGGCACAGGTGTCCTTGAACATGGTGCACAAACCAAGAAAGGAGAGCCACAACCTGTCTAAACAGTTGTACGCATTGTTTCGAGGTGCGCATGGTGCATGCGCAGATCGAGAGACAGCCTAATGTGGTACTCGCAGGCCAACAACGCGGACCGCGAGCGGGAGCTCATCGAGGTGCCTTGAGATTACAGGGACTGCGTGCTAAGCTTTGGCCGCCTATTTGGAAGATGGCAGAAAGCATTCGACTAAACTGGACCTTTGCCGCCATTCAGGCTGGCTTCCTGCAGCGCTTGGCTGGCGCGGAGCGGCAGCGCGATGCGCTGCAGGAGTGAGTTTTCATTGCTGTCCTTTCCGTGGCTTCAAAAGCACCCTGCCACAGTCTGCCTTGCGCGAGCTACCTTGAATCCGTGCAGGCACAGATCAACTACAGTGTCTACGACGTTTCACGGGATCGGGATCTCTTAGAGGCACAGTCTTTCTTCTTCAACATGTGTGAATAGTTGATGAACTGTAACATGTTCAGGCTATAGCTCAAATCTCGGCTGGTAGGTGCTCCTATCTGTAGGCTGGGACCCATAAAGAAAAAGTGTTGCAGGGCCAATCCTCGTGCCTCATATCATATATGGTATTGAAGCCTGAAATGTGCAATGCTGCCCAAAAATGCAAAGGGCATAGTTTGCTGAGTTGGTGAGCTCTCTTGTGGTCAGCTATGTGGGTTTGTGAAAGCCGTTTCTGCCAGACAAAAAACTCTCCAATCTGTTGAAGTGGCCTTGGAAAAGGCAACGCTCCGCGGAGAGCTTGATGATGCCAAGCACCATCAGGAAGTCCAGGAGGTGCCAGCTGATACGCTTCATTAGCTTTGCTCCGCCTTGCCAGCTAGCTTCAGTCTGACTGCTTCACTAAGCCAAATTCCACTTGCGACAATTTGTTGTGTTAAAACGTAGTGTGATGTAAGGCTTGTGAATATGATGTTGTGTCGGCTGTGCAAACCATCGCACAACGTATGCTTTGATAAGTGCTGCTTGTTCGACCGCTCCCAGGCGAAGATGTTTGCAGTGATGCAGGATGCACAGCGCCAGCGTGAGATTGATCAGGCAGCTGGGACAAAGCTTAGAATCTAGCCATCGCGTCGCTTGACCTGACCTTCCAGGCAAAGCTTTCTGCCATCCTGCACGATGAGAGACGACAGCATGATGTCCGCCAGGCATACCCTAAACTCTCGCTATTCTTCGGTTGAACCCAAGAAAAGTGTCAGCGGCACCTAATTTTCAGCATGCTTGCTCTAACCTGTGTGCCAAATGCCCGCAAGTCAGTGCCGAACTCATTTGCAAGATCTGCTGATGCCGCTAGGCTCAGCTGACCGAGACATTTCGAAGGCAGAAGCACTATCTCCTGTGCTTGTTTTTTGGTTTGTTTATGCCTTCTTATGTTGCAGTCAAATTGGCAGTCAAAGCCAACTCTTATTTTCTTGGCAGGCAAGAGCTCACGGCGAATCAGCAACATGCAGAGCGCAGTTCTCAGGAGCAAGGTGACCTCACCTTTGAGGTGTATAAAGTTTCCAACAGCCGTGTGAATTCTGTAATGTGCCAGGCTTGGCGACAAGCTGCGACATGAAAGGAGTGAGCTGGAAGAGGACCCCATGAAGTTTCTGACGCGCTTGCAGCAGCATGGTCAACGGCCAGGGTTTTGCTTTCTGCCAGATGCATAGCCGGGCCTGCAAGTGCTAGGCATGGCTAAGCTTGCTTGTGCCCGTTGGAAGCTTGTTGGAAGCTAGCTTGCAAGGAGCGCCGGCGAAGAAGCGTTTTGCAGAGCCAGCTTGAGACCGCACAGGCCAGGATTTGAGATCAGCCAACAAAGCTTTCATCCATTTTTCTGCGCTGCCCCTTTCCAGGCTGAGCTGGTCAAGGCACACGGCTGCGCCTTTGATCTCAAGGCCAAAGCCTTGGTTTGCAGGGCCCAAAAGGGATTGCCATGGGCTGCACCAGATCAAGATTCCTGGACAATGTTCTGTGGCCTGTTGTCCAATTATGCAGTCTCTGCATCGAGAGATTCGTAGTCGTTGTGGACTGCCAGATAAGTGCCTGGCAAAAGTCAATTGCGCTTGTCATGTTTGCGGCTATCATGCCTGCAGACAATCACAGCAGCAGCGTCAGGCAGCCTTGGAGAATCTGAAGACCCTGAAGGCCAGTGGTCAGCCGGCGTGCTTGCTGTTTAGCACAAGCCCCTCCCTGTCGGAACCGCAAGGCACCCCTGTGTGCAGGAGCTCTGCGATGCTGAGGAGAAGCGTCGCAAAGAGACGGAGGCTCACAACCCCACCACATGACGAATTGTTTCTCAGGGTTGTTCATCTGTCTAGCCAGACGCTTGCGTCTGCTCCTCTCTTGCATGCTCAATGCAGGAAAGCCGCCAGGCACTACTTCAACACGTGAAGGAGGCGATGGTAGAAGGGTGGTCTGACCATGTCTGTCATTGCCTGCAGTGCACCCACAGCTGCACAGAGCAGAAGTGTTGACCGCTTTACCAGCATCCGGACGTTGAGCAGTGGTCTTTATGGAGTGTGCGCATCTGTGCCTTGGCTCGCAAACACGAGTTCTTAGGCTTTATCTAGGCTTTACCCCTGCTTGGCCTCTCATGGAGACGACAGAGCAGACGCCACTGAACTCCTCCGAGGAGATTCGGATCTGGGAAGTAAAGCAACGTGCAACTAAACGGAGACCCCTATTTCGTGGATGCCTTCAGGACCTGGCAGGTATTCATGATACTGCAGTGCGGCATGGCTTTGTGCGGAAAGTTTATGGCATCCTCTCCCTGCAGCTTATTGTGCCACTTAGCTTTTCATGGCTACTGGGAAACTACATGGATGGCTGGATTTAGCATGTGGGGGAACCTTCTGCCCTGAAGCTCGCCTCATAACCAATTGCTCTGCAGAACAGTGCCGAGGACAACGGGTATAGCTGCTGGGAAGCTTGCTGGCAAGTGTCAGCATAATATGGCCTCACAGCTAGTGACTGGCAGGCAGGGTAACTCTGTTTGGGTTCGGCTGGCTGAGGACGATGAGGTATGCTCAGCAACTACAGAGGAAGAACCCGGCCGTCATTCCGCTCCTTGCCTACTTGCACCAGAAAAGTATGGTTCCCGGGAATGTCTGTATGTGCTCCACATTTCAGGTATGAGTGCTGATCCAGATGTTTGCGCCTTCAAGCTTGCAAAGTGGGTGGGTATATAGCAGGTTGCGAAATGTCCAACAAAAGCATTACATTGTGTTGTGCAGGCCTGCCAAAAAGATGCGGGATGCAGGACAGTACTGAAAGAACAAGAACTAATCGCACGGCCTATGCTTGACCTGGGGAACGTCCACAACATTGTGGCCCCAGCTTCGCGATAGTAAAAGTGCGCTACAGTACAGTACCCCTTGCCCCCAGCCATCTGTCCACTCCTAATGAAGTTTATGGCTCCCCCAGCCAGCCCCAGCCATCTGTCCACTCCTAATGAATTCTATGGCTCCACGAATGTTTGGGACGGCCCCGCGAAAGAGATCCAGCTTGTCGCAAGAGCAGCTGGTCCTGCGCATGGAATTTAGATCAACACCCAGTATGGACTGTTTACTGCGGCTGAGCTCGCCTAAGCCACGTGGCAACCGCCGCCTATTAGTTAGATCGCAGGGTTGACACCTTGGAGTCAAGATGGCCTTGAGGACGCGCATAAACAATCTTGGGAACATCCAAGGATCATTATGACGTTCTCCATTGCAGTCACGATTTCAACTATGTTGGTTTTCATTTGCTGCGCCGCTCCCAGTGCTGAAAGCAGAGAGGGCTTTCATCCACGAGTCAGGACTATTCAGCACAAGCATCATGATTGTGCATGATGATGCAGCAGCTACTGCCATCCCATAAGGTCCGCACATGATGCGCAAAAGTCCCACCAATTACATCTTGCTCATGCTCTTCACCATAGCTGCAACTTGGCCAATACGGTGCCTGAAGCGGTGTGCTGTCCAGGAACTGGCCACTTGGTTAGTAGGGTGACAGGCTATCTGCCCAGCCAGTCAAGGCTTCTAGAGGCGTATTAAATCGCTTGGGGATGTGTAATTTCGCATCGCGTGAGCAGAACACTGAGGAAAGGCTGTTTTCAATCATCATACTACACCCGCTTAGCTGTATTTACCATTGACTAGCATGATCGCTCAATCAAGGCGAACCTCTGGGGAATTCTTGCAGATATGCTGTAAGGAATTAATTGCAACAATCAACTATCTAGCTCTTTCCCAGTGCAAGCCCCCACTATGTTAGGGCCAGCTTGTTTTGGTGTTGCAACTTCGTGTTTTGGATTGTGTGAAGTCCCGTTGCATTGTTTGGAGCCCTGTACCGGCTACCTGCCCTTGCACAGGTCAGAAGTTAACTCTTTGGCTTGGAACTATGGTCACCCAAGCCCGCTGTCACAGGGAGCTTCGTTCATATACGGCAACCGCTCAGTGTGATTGGTCCGGAACAAAGGGAAACGCACATCCCAATCCAGACCCCAACCCAGAGACGGAACAGGTCCTCGAATTTGGTTCCTGACCCCTCCATTCCAGACCAGCGAATGCAATACCTCAAAAAAGACGTTGCGCAGGGTGTCCGTTCCATGCCCATTCCATACCTGTTCCATACCGTTCCAGACCAAACACAGTATTTAGCACGCACTCACCCCGTATCACTTGTGGGAACCAATAGACTCAGTCAGTCATCGTTCCAGACCCTCCGGATCAAGTGTGCGATCCAGAGCCTCCTGATCAGACAGAATAGGAACGTGCACGCGGGCACGTGAAACGTGGTGAACTGCGTGGTGGGGGTCCGAGGGGAATGGGGGTGGACCGAAATGACCTTGTTTAGGAGGCTTTGAACTGGAGGGTTGCCGCAGGTGGCCCTTTTTCGAGGGATTCCTGGTGGTCCTCTGCAGGTGTCCTTCAGAGGGTCTTCCGAGCGCGTTTGGCAGCCTGCTGCGCCACCGAACAAGCCGTGCCATTTCAACTCGCCGTGCAAAAGAAACGCTTGAGAGCGCCAAGCTTTCGTTTCTGCCCCTGGCTCTCAAGTTTTTGTGTTGTTCTGCACGTGCATGACCACCAAATGCTTACCGATGATGCTTACGCCCATGCCCATGAACTTGGAAATCTTGTCTTACTTGCGTGTGTCGGCATGCGACTCGTGCGGTGCATCTAGTAGGGGGAAGATGCAAACATGGTTTGGTTGAAGGGAACACGCGAGGCTAATGCGACTTTGCTCCCGGCAGCTGTGCATTGTAACCCTCCCAGTTGATGTGAGCTCACAATCGTTTGACGTGACTTAACTTGTCGTGGCGTCCAGGGTTCTCGGAGCTTCTCAGCATTTCAGGAGTCATTCATGGTGGGCTTCATTTGCGTTCAGTACACGGTCGGTGCCCCAGAGATGCATTGTAAGATGAACACATGCCCGTCTTTGAAAGGGGTCTGCCGGGCATGGATGCACGAACCTGCATGCAATCAGGCCGAGTCTGTCCTGGTAACATTTGCAGCCAGGAAGCAATGAGCGCTGCGTGATGTTTCAACACATCAGCCACGCTTACTGTCTATTGGTAGATAAGGAAGTGCTGCAAAAGTGTCGCATCAGTGCTTGGGTTTCTTCGCCTTACAAGGCAGTCACCTCAGTTGTGGTCGTGGCGTTGTCCATCTTTGCTTGCCAGACGAAGTATGACATCACAGGCTTCGTGGACAAGAAAAAATCAGTAAGAAATCGAGACAGCCATGGTTCCTTTTCAGTTGCAGCATGTCACAGCATGCCGTCGCATGCGACCACTTTTGGAGGATATTTACCCTACTTCATCATGTTCTCGTTCGTCCTTTTCGGCTACCTCCTTGCACTTCTGAATTTGTGGCCGCAAGTGGAAGGGGGAAACGGAGTTGAAACAGCATGTGGAAGCCTCGCCAAGGCTTTGGCTTCGCACTGAGCATTGCCGCGATGTGCGGCGCTAGCCAAACTGGAGCTTTCAAGTCATGGGCTCGGAGGGTTCTCTCTTCTTCGGCTCAGTCAAGTGAGACAAGTTGGCTGTCGTCAACATGACGGCAGATGCTCAAAGAATGTTGGCTGACGCAAGATCTGCGCATGGGTCAGAAAAATACAAGAATAGCATGACCTCTTTAAAGTGGAGGCTGTGGAAGCACTAACGTAAAACAGCTTGTGGCACTGCCTGCAAGGACCTTAAACTTGGTGTACGCAGCTGGCGGAGCACTCCTCTTCTCAGGCACATCTGTCAATTCTCACAAACCTGCACTCTTTGTGCTCAGCTCAATGCAACTCAAGGATACATCATCCTGGACACCCAGATGATTGTTGGTGGCAAGCATAAGAGATTTCGATTCTGCATCGATGACTATTGTATGGTAACTTGCTCAAAGTTGTGTCTTGCCCCAGCCGTGCGAGAGATCTCCAGAGCTAAGATTTCATTGGACGGCCTCTGGCAGTCGTACTGGATGGCACCAGGGGTATAGAAAGGAATCTTTGCCGCCTCAGGCAGCCATCACCATCTACCTGGACATTGTTCAGCTCTTTCTTTTCTTGCTGCAGATGCTCGGAGAGCGTAGACGCTGAGGGTCCTCAAGGTCCACAGATCGGAATGCTGGCGTACTCAAGTGCCAGTGATTGAAGAGTTGGCCATTGCCGCTGGTGTGACGCAAAAGGTGCGGGCGCAAGTCGTTATTGCCATCATCACTTCAATCATAGCAAGGGGCCCTTCAGGGCACTAGGGTATTTGTCGCAACTATGAAAAATGATTGGGGCTTCCTTCAAGGATGGATAGGACAAATCTTTAGAAACAGCCATCTAGCACAGCGTGTCAGGCCGGATTGCAGTTTGGTTACGTCAGGGACTTCACTTCTGGGTGGGGAGTGCATCATTATCACTGCCATCTGGCATCAAACCCACAAGATGCAAATACATGTACAGTAAGTTTGCATATTTCTCCGGCATCTCCATTGCTGTCTAATCTGTATTTAGCTACAGCAGGTCCTCTATTGTAACTGCATCAGACGCATGTGTCAGCTGCTTGCAACTGTAAGTCTCAGATTGTCTCAGCGTCTTTTGCGCTCTAGATGCTCCTGCAATCATGTGCTGCACGGAAACTGCCGACGCAGCTTGATCGGCTCACGAGTCCTTGATCCCTGTGCCACTGTAGACGCCATGAGCAACAGGCATTCGGTTTTTTCTGTGCACCACACCATGGTGATTTGCTTAATTACTGGCCCGCACAAGCTGAGTTTGCTTGCCAGCGGGAGCAAGCGCTGTTGGCTCATGTTCATGCTCTCGGCTGCGTTGGCTGAGCAGGTACCGCCCTGGCGGCGCAGTCGTTGCCCAAGGTGCCGCCAGTGATGACGAATATTCGGGCGTATCTGGGCGGTGAACTGCTTGTGACGTCGTGAGAGTTGTTTTTGTGTCGTTTCTTGTGCAGACAGGAGCCGTCTGTACAACCAACCCGGCACGTCTCACTGTCCCACCTTGCAGCTCAGGAGCTTATCGGCTTGCAGGACACTACGATAAAGAACGGCTTTGTTCGGAAGGCGTGCAATCTTGCTACCTGATTCACGGTGTTCTTACAATAGTATGCAGGGCCTGAAGGGTAGCTAGAGGTCTACAGCATTCTGACCGTGCAGCTGATCGTCACGACGCTGATTGCAGCGCCGACGCTTCCCTTACTCTAGGGGCAGTGCGTCTGGAGGCAGCCAGGGATGTCGGATGTCTGAAGCTCCTGTAGAAATTAGATATCAGAGTTTTGGACAGCTCAGGATTGCCTCCTATGGCCTGGAAATGAAGATGCGAAGCCCGGGGGTTGTATCGATTCAAACTCAGTTGATGGACAGGATTTGCTCGCAGTTTCGCCAGATTGCTAAGGGAAACTTGAGAGTACCTAGGACAATGATGTTCCTCTCCCTCGCGGCAGTGGTTGCCATCATGTGCGTCTTCTCCTGCTGTGCTGTGCTAAGCCGTCCACGTGTTCCCACTGTGTGTCTTCACCCACTTATTTGGTCTCATCTTCAGTCCCGACTGCGCTGAGTGTGGGTTGCAAGCCAGGACTTAGCCCTGGATGAGAATGGGACCTGCTGGGGTCAGGGGTGGGTGGGGCCCGAGAAGAGAGAGAAAAACAAACCAGAGGTTTCAGCTGGGCTCGTGCGCTTATGCTTTTGTTTGATTTTCGTTTGCTGCAGATCTTGTGGCGTTCTTACCCCAGGCCCGCAGACCATGCGAGAAAGCCCCACCAACTACTTTTTGCTTGCGATCTTTACCGTGGCCGAAGCCAGTCTGCAGATGAGCTTTCCAGTTCATGAGTTAAAGAGTCTGGTATAGGTGCTCGCAGTCAGCTGGTGCTGAGGTTTATTTCTCAAAATTATATTGGTTGAAGAAGTTCCATAAACGCGAGCAGAACTCTCGTATGTATCTGTAGCTGGACAAGACCACTCTGTAAACAAGCAGACGTCCTGCCTTCTACGGTCCTTGGGGCCAGACTTCAGGAAGCTGTCATGGTCGGCTTCGTTTGCGCGAATTACACGGCCCAGCTCCAAGACACTTCTCTGGGACCTCCGATGCTCAACCACGATTTGTAGTTCTTGCGTGTTTTAGCCGGACTCATGGCTAACTCTTCCGACCTGCGCCAACAATGGCCGTTTCCCTTTTCAGCATCATGATGATCCTTGAATCCTTGCGACTTACAACCAGCATGAATACTTGCTCTCCCATGTTGCTGAGGCTCAGTCTGTGGTCATTTGCCTTGGAATGACCGCGCTTGTTGTCTTTGGCTTGACGCTCTTCGCATGCCAGTCAAAGTACGACTTTACAGGACACCCAGTGGCAGTCGAAGCCTGTCTCGAGCCGCAGCAGATTGCATGACCTTTGTCCTCATGCAGTCATTCTCGTCCTGTAGAAGCATCGCTTGACTCCATTGATCACAAAAGCCAGCGCAAGCAGGGCTGAGTCGGGTCTTGGTTGAGCAGTTGGTGGTGGTTGGGGGGCTGGAATGGAAGTTTCTCGAGCTTGGTATTCCTGAAGACTGGGAGCGAGTATAGAAATTCTTTGATGGGCGAGGGTAAGCTGGGCTGATGCAAGCTGGAAGGGTATGTAGATGGTGATCGACGAACAGTCTTTCTATTGTAGAAACAGCGACCAAGGAGCTTCACCCTTAGAACGCGCATTCCAAGCTTTTATAAGAACGTGCTGAAGGCTTGGCTTCAGAGACCCAGGCGTTTGACTGCTCAGCATTTCAACCGGCGACCTCGGAAGACCCGCTCAAAACCATGAGGACCTCAAGCATTGAAAACGAGGGAAGGAGTTTCTCCGAGCGACTTGATACATCGTTTTTAGCAGCAGCAGCAGCAGCAGCAGCAGCAGGAGTGGGAGGAGGAGTTGCTGCAGAATCCTCATTTGTGTCCTTGCATCGATACCAATTACTGTCTGTCCGTCGCCTTGCCTGACTGTTCATGTCCTTTGTTGCATTTGTAGGTGTATTGTCGCCATGCTGCCTTCTCCTACTCCTCTTCCCGCTGCTCGTAGTTGTCCTCTTCCTCTTGCCCATTCTCGTCATCCTCTGCCGTTTCACGAAAGCAACGACCACTTTCGCTCATCCATCATCCTTTATCCATATCCCGCGTCCCAGTTTTCTTGATACAGCACCATCATGTGCACCCGATATAGCGTCTTTGTCCTTGGCGTGGCCCTCAAGCGCTCTGTCAGTCTTGGAGGAAATTTCGAACCAGGCCCCTCATGAAAGCTGCAAGCAGAGATCCTTGTAATGTGGCCTTTGGGCCAAGCAAATCTGGATTTTGTGAAAGAAGCTGCCATCATACCGCCAATGTGCAGGACTGATGCCCTACTTTGTCATCGCTACATTTGTTATGCTTGGCTCCTTGGCTGCAGTTCAACTGTTGATTTTTGAGTTCAAGGCTGCAGCAAATGCTTGGAGACGCAGTCAGCTGGTTTGGGTGGAATGTACTTCGGCAGCTTTGTTCCACCAACTTGCGAGGCTTCAGCTTCATGCTCAGCATTGCCGCAATGATGGGAGGAGCAAACAGTGGCTTCTTCAGGACAGCGTGTGAAAAACATGAAAAGACAGACTTGGAGATTTCAACGTTTCATGGGCGCCGCGTCTTCAGGGCCGCCAACATTGTCTACGCAGCCTTCGGCGCCTTGCTGTTCTCTGGTTGCTCGGCCGCGAGCATGCATCTACCGCATTGTCCCTAGTTGCACACTTCCATCCTAAAACTGGCTCCGGGCGACAGTAGTGGCTACATATGCCTTAGCAGAAGGTTGATCCAGAAGCGTTCCTGGTGAAGAGCTGGGCGCATTCCTGGAATGTGTGCAGCAGCTTAAAACCAGTCACTGCTCTATTCATGCCTGATGCAAGGGCCTTTGTAGTCCCGTGCTCTGCTCACACTGTTCCGGTGCTCTCTGGGATGGCTACATTGATGTCTGTTCATGCTGCGCTCCTGCCGGATCCAACCTTTAAGGCTACCTCGTTGTGGACACGCAGATGATCGTCGGTGGTAAGCACAGCACGTATTCCTTCACTGTGGACGACTACTGCATGGCGAACTGGCAGTCACATTTTGAAGGGACAGCCGTGTAGGTCTGAGTATGAGGGTTAAGATGCCTGAGGCATCACCACTTGTTGCTACCAAGGCAGCCATCACCCTCTACGTGGACATCATCCAGCTCTTTCTGTACCTCCTGCAGCTCTTCGGTGATCGGAATGAATGAGCTGCCTGCCTGAGCTTGCCAAAGTTCGCGGCGCCCAGCGCCGCCATTCCCACCCGCGACTGTTGCCTCAGGCACCTACAACAACTCAGCCCCTGCGGAAAGATCCTTTGGTAAACGTTTACACACCAGATGTCCCATTCCTGGCGCGGCTTGAGTTCAGCACGAAGGGCGCTGGCTGGATGGCTGAAGTTGCCAGAGTCATTTAGATAAACTCAGAGTGGAAACTTGTCATCCGCTTCCATTCCCTCGCCAAGCCCGGGAAATAAGTTTCATCAGGCTTTTGTCACTTGACTCGCAATTCTGTGACCAGTGAAGGCTTCGGCAACTTGTGTCCATCTGTCCTATTTGCCGTCTCAATCTCTGGAATCGGCTCTCGAAGAACTGCTAGTAGGTTGATGACACCGCTACTGACCACAAACGAGCATTCTCCTAATTACAGGAGTTGTTTTTCTCAGAGTCGACTCCGGAACTCTGTAGGCTGTGAACGCGGCATGTGCACAGAAGCTGCGGCAGCCATCAAGAGACACCCCAGCTGGTACCTGCGTGTAGAGAATTGCTCAAGGCAGACCGATAAGACAGAACAGAGCTCCGCACATTTGAAGTTAACCAAGCTTTGCTTACCAGGGTTGCGTAGCTTCTCCCAGCCTTGGCAGGTGGAATCTCAGCGTGCTCGGCTGCAGGCTTCGCACCTTGCTATTGGCATGCAGGGAGCATTTATTCAGCGTTTGCAAAACGAGCCGAGCAGATGCATTGATGTGAAAGCTTCAAACATGCTATCATTGGAGCTTCAGTACAGGGGAGCGCAGGCTCAGATTGATGAGATCCAAGCTGGCTATGTGAGCTTGAAGGCACGCTCCACTTGCTTGTTCGGGACAGCCCAGAAGGCAAACTAGCACTCAGGCGGAGGCTGAGGCAGAGCGCTCCAAGACCCGCGTGGCAGAGCAGACGTTGAAGGAGGGCTAGAAGCTTCTGCAGCTCTATCCCAATCCCGACAGACATTTTTGTCAGCTTGACTGCCTGCAGGAGCGCGATGCTCGTGTTGCACAACTTTTGGAGGACGGGCAGCTGTATGCTCTTATCGTTTGGCGGGCAATGGTCTGATCATCTTGAACGCAACGGCCCATGCCTCTGATGTGTAAATCTGTGAGCACTCGTGCACAGGCTTGGTCTCATGCTTGCTCCCGCTACGTTTTCCACTCAGGGGCCCCTTAGAGCCAGATCTACCGATCAGCTTGTGTGAAAAGATTGTGTGCCATAGCTTCGCAGCCTGGGTTCTTGTCCATCTTGTCAGTTGGCACCGGAGCCCGGTTGTCACGACCACGGAGGACGAAGAGGTCTCCAGGAAGCTCCTTCGCTGGAGTGCTCTGTCGGCCGGAGAGCAGGCCTTGAGAAAGCAGCTGCAGGCGGACCAGCCTGATCCTGAGAACCGCCACGCTCAGTCTTCGGTGACTAGGCGAGTGGGTTCTGCAAGGCAGCAGTGGCAAAGAGAGGAGGACTACAACAACCTCACGGCCGCAATTCTGAGCAGCCTCAAGGTCCCGTTCAAGGACTTCTTCATCGACAAGCACTTCAACGAAGCCAGCAGCGAGGAATCTGGAGCAGAGACGGAAGAAAAAAAGGTCGTGTCCAGATCCAGGTCACCCAGGCCAAGTGCGCAAGAGCCGGCTTCGTCTTCAACCTTCACGGCCCGATCCGCGGCTTCATCTTCGGCGAGACCGTCGACAATTTTGACTACAAGTTCTGGCGGCCCAAGCTCATCAAGCAGGACTTCCGGATCTTCTGGCAGATTCTCCGGAGCGACTTCAAGTTGAGCCAGCTCTACCTGCTCAAGGGTCGAGATGGCTGAAGAAGGGCAAGCTCCACAACTGCGAGACAGAGATCCGCCGCCAGGGTGGAACGGAGAGCGACCCGAGACCACGTGGTCAGAGACCTGGAGCTATGGGAGGCGGTGACGGACCTCCCAAAGGCAAAGAGGGGAGTCAAGCTTGTCCAGGCCCTTAGCGGGCCTGCTAGTGCAGTCCTTGGCAGTCAGCGACCTCATCGCCGAGGACGGGCTTAAGAAGGTCACGAAGGCGCTCAAGGATGCCTTTGCTCCATACCAGGAGACGGCGCTCCCAAGAGCAATGGAATCTGCTATCTTCGGGGCGGCGCTCGCGCAAGGAGAGCCTACCTGAGTACATCGTTAGGTTCCAGCAGGCGCAGTCCACCTTGGGAGGGCGTCGACCTCCCGAACAAGGCAGCAGGCTATCTTCTTTATCGCCAAGCCAATTTGGATCGCGATTCAGAGGCAAAGCTCACCACTTGGCTGCAAGGAGTTCCCTGGGCGCCGTGTTGTTGAACCTCCGGAAGCTGGACAGGGTGACTGCAGAAAGCAAGAAAGGCACGTTCTTCGGAGAGCACGAGCCCGAGCAGGATGAGGAGGATGAATGGCCCGAGGACGGCGACGACTACTTCCCTGTCTGGAACGAGGTCCAGGACGGTGCCGACATCGACGAGGGCGACGTCATCGACGAGGATGACCTGGTTGACGTGCTTGCCAGCTACCAGGACGTTCGACAGGCCTTGAAGCAGACGCGGAACGCCAGAGGCTTTTACCCTCCGCGCTTTCCAGGCGCAAAGGGGAAGAAAGGCCACGGCAAGGGGAGCTCCTTTGGCCCTGTCCCCGGAAAGGGGAAAGGAAGTGGAAAGCAAGGAAAGGACAAAGGGATTACGATCCAAGGGTTGAAGCTGCGCACTCGGTGCAGGTCTTGTGGAAGGATCGGGCATTGGAGCAAGGAATGTCCGACAAACAGCTCCTCGCGTCCCTCGAGTTCCGCGGCAAGCTCTTCCGACAGCGTCGGCGCAGGGCACCTCCTTTTACTGGGCTGGCCGAGACTCAGGCCCCGTGACGGAGTTTTTCACCGAGAGCGTTCCAGAGACAAAAGTGTCCTTCTTGACTTCAGGCCACAGCCGTGCAGATGTGCCGTTCGTGGGTGTCATAACCTCAAGTGCGGAAGCCATTGTAGACACTGCAGCACAAGAAGGTCTCATAGGGCGCCCCGCTCCCGCTCTTCTTCGGCTTTTCGAGGCGCTTAGAAAGTTTGGGCTAAAAGGGCGGTGGACGGGTGAAGCTTCTGAGGCGCGGGGCATCGGAGGCGCAGCCAAAACCGTGGGGGTCGTGGAAGTTCCCGTGGGCGTAGGGCGTGTTCCGGGAGTTGTGGCACTTACGGTGGTGACCGAAGACGTTCCCTTCCTTCTTCCTATAAACCTTTTGCGGGCTCTTAAGGCAAGCGTGGATCTGGGTGAAAATCGTCTACACCTTCGCGCCGTCAACACCGAGTGTGTCATGAATGTTCTTCCCTCAGGTCATCCTACAGTCAGCGTTCTTGATTTTGGACATGGCTGCTTTTTCTGGAGATTTGCAGAGGGCATGTTCCAGAGAGTGCATTCCGTTCTTCACCCAAGCAAGTCCAATTTAGCACAGGACCGCATGACCACGTCCGCAGCTCGAGCGCTCAAGCGACCTTGGCCACGTTCACTGGTGGCCCAGATGTTAGGTGCTCAAGCTCTTCGTGCTCAAGAGCAGCCATGGATCGTGATCACTCCAGGTCACAACCCTCCACGCGCACGCGCGCACTGGCGCGCGCTCTTGGACAAGCTTTGGTGTGTTCTTCAGTGGGCACACTATCAGTCAACAACAAGCCGGTGGTTGCAGCTCCCTTCGCAGACACCTTCGACTGCGTCAACTTCGGGCAGCACGAGCACCTCGACTACCCAGGTGCTGGCCGCCACGGACAAGGGACAAGCGTACCGCAACTACTTGGAAAGCAAGAAGCCCACTGCCATGACGCCGGTGAAGGGGATACCAGAACTGGAGCCGAGCAAGTGCAGGCACGAGGCACGCTTCCTGAAAGGTGGGGGCAACGGTCACAAGAACTGGTTCCACTGCAGAAGGAGAAGGACAGGACCATCGAGATTATTCAAGGAGACCTTCTGCAACAGTTGGCCGAAGCGAGGGCGATGAACGAGGATCTCCAAGCACAGCTGGACATGGCTTCGGGAAGCTTTCTGGAGTTCGAGCGAGCCGAGGAGAACCTGACCTTGATGGAGACGCAGATCGGCGACCTCGACCAGACGACCCAGAACTATGTGCGGGCGATGATATCAGAGTACCGGAGGCTGAAGCTGTGCGAGGAGGAGACAAGGCATCAGTCCCGGACCTTCGCCAGCAAGCAGCCGGACTGATTGGGAGAAAGCAGCAAGCAAGGCGGCGGCGATCGAGTTGAACAACTACCAGGCCATGCTTGTGGTGCAGAGAAACCAGGTGGCCCGGAACCAGGCGGCGATGAACAGGATGTGAAGGACCCGCTGGACGGCATGACGACCAAGAAGGGCAAGGTCCTGAGCTAGGCGTGCATCGCCGAAAGTTCTCGATCGCTGGGTCAAAGAGCGGCGCCCCTTTTGCGAGGACTACGGCGTGGTGGAGAGGCGGACTTCTCCTTCGGCGAGACCGGCGCGACTTGTCGAACGAGCCGTCGATCCCGGACAAGGTGTACATCGTCCTGAACGAGCCGAACCTCATCATCGGTGCCGAGTTTTCGGAGCACTATGCCGAGGCCGACTCGAATGTGCTGGCGCAGGCGGTCCAGGACTACCTGATCGACAGTTCTCCTCCTGCCTCCAAGCTAAGGCTGAAGCTTAACGGCACCACGGAGTTCGAGGCGTGGAATCTGATGGAGGACAAGAAGCCGGGCCACATCATCGTGGACGTCGGCAATGTGCGGAACAACCTGGACATGGCATGTAGGCTGGTGCGGCACCAGCATGGACAAGGAGGCACCTACGCCATGTACCTGGACCCGAAGCAGAGCTCCTACTTCGAGAAGCACCACGGCTGGCAGCATGCCATAAAGGAGCTGGGGGCTAACCACGAGGCCGTTAATGGCGCGACCGTCCTTCTACGAGGGCGTCTTCGAACGAGGGTGTCGAGGCCTTTCTGGTAGAGGTCGCGTCCCCAGAGCAAGAAACCGGCCAAGAGGGACAGGACGAAAATGGTGTCCAGGTCCAAGAGCCGACGTCTCGAGAGAAGGAGGCCATCGCAAAGCTTCACCGCAACTTGGGGCACCCAAGAACAAGGAGCTGTCCAGAGTTCTTTCATTGTCGAGGGCGAAGCCACACCTGGTGCGATGGGCGGCTGCTTTGGATACGAGCTCCATGATCAACGCCTTAGCAAGCTTCGAGAACGTTTCAAGTTCGGCAAGTTCAAAAGACTGCAGGAACTTCCGGAAGGAACCTCTTTCAACGGCAGGCGAATCCAGCAAGATTCTGATGACTTCAACGTGAAGGTTGACATGATGAAGTTTGTGGAAGAGCGGCTGTCCGAGGTCCACTTGGAGAAGGGCAGGAAATCTGTCCCGGACTCTTCTGCAACCGCTGAGGAGGTCAAGAGGGTCAGGGCCGCAATAGGCTCATTTGCTTGGTGCGCAAAGGAAGCACGGCCCGACGCTGCAGCAGGGGCAAGTATCCTGGCGTCAAAGATGACGAAGATGAAGATCAAGGATATAGTGGCCCTGAACAAGGTCATAGCTCAGGTCAAGTCCAAGCCAGGGCTCACGCTCCAGTACCACTCCATTCCTTTTGACGACTTGAGGTTTGGGGTTGCTACAGACGCCTCGTGGGATAACTACGAGGATGGCAGCTCTCAAGGGGCGGTGGGAGTCTTGGCATATCACAAGGACCTTCTCGAAGGCAAGACTGCCAAGTGTTCGCTCCTGTGGTGGAAAAGCGGAAAGCTGAGGAGGAAGGTGCCCTCAACGTTGGCGGCGGAGACTCAGTCGCTTAATCGCGGCCTCGGAGAGCTCATGTGGACGAAGGCCATCGTTCAGCACCTTATAGATCCAGAGTTTGAGCTCCAGGAGTACTTCAACAAGGTCAAGATCCAAGCTGACCTGGTTTTGCAGAAGGGCGACGGCGACAAAACCCTGCGAGAATCCTTGAGCATCGATTGACGCTAAGAGTGTCTTTGACAACGTGACCAAAGAGGGTGCCATCGCCCAGGACAAGTACACTGCCTTGGAGGTGGCCATAGTTCGCGAGCGAGCTGACGGGCTCGGAGTTGAAGTAAGGTGGGTGGAGCACCAGTCAATGGTGGTCGACGCGCTGACCAAGGTGAACGGCAACCCCACGGCGCTCTACAAGCTCCTGGACAGCGGATGCTACCGCATAGTCGCTGAAGAGGCTCTTTTGGACGAGAGGGCAGCACTGAAAGCTGAAGGCCGAGTGAAGCGGCGCTAGGCAAATTCTGATACCATGAGACCAAAAGAATTTTTGGGGTGCTGTAAATCTGTGAGCACTCGTGCACAGGCTTGGTCTCATGCTTGCTCCCGCTACGTTTTCCACTCAGGGGCCCCTTAGAGCCAGATCTACCGATCAGCTTGTGTGAAAAGATTGTGTGCCATAGCTTCGCAGCCTGGGTTCTTGTCCATCTTGTCAGATGCTTGGCCAAGCTTCACTTTGATGTGTCACATGTACATGTGAGTTCTAAAGCCATAAGATCAGCAGCAGGAGATTCAGAAGTACCGCTCGCAGCAAAACCTGATGAAGGATGAGGCAGGCCCTGGACTACCGCTGGCTCTTCTAAACGAGGGATCAAGGACCTTCTGCACGAAATCTCCTCACTGCAGGCTACTGATACAACATGTTCAGCGCCGAAGCCAGGCTATTGAGCTTGCGGAGCACCGTGCCTGGCTGGGAGAGGCATGATGTCAAGAGTCAGCCAGTAGCGGCTATAGCGCTTTCACACCCGTGTGTGAGAGCCTTCAACAGGACCAGCGGTGGCTTCTGACGTTGGAGTCTCGTTTGAAGGAGGCTGCTGCGCAGCTCATGCTTCATCGCATGCTGTTGGGGATGCTAGGGAAGTTGGAGTAAACACCTGGCATTAGACGCAAGCGTAAAGATACGCGCCCACATAGGGGATTGTGCGTTCAGTCACGTTGACAGCAGATGTTCTTCCCATCTTTGGGGTGCGTGTCAATTGTTAATTCCAGCGATGTGAGGAGCAGAAACGTGCAGGCGAGCTGGAGGACCAGCTCCTGGAGGAGCGGAAGAGGCAACCAGAGAAGACCTCGTAGGATCCAAAACATGGCGATGCGGAGGTTTCACTTCCGATGTTACCCCCACAAATCACTCTCTGACAGCGCCATACAGCGCCCTTCGCTGCCATGGTGAAGATAAAACAAAAAATGTTGCCTTCTCGCCATTTCTTTGACATCAGGTGTGCCCGGAGATTGGAAGACATGTCGGAAGAGCTGCTTGAAGAGAAGGACCTGAAGGGGAAGTAAAGGGCAAGCAAATGAACACCGGTGCAACGCAAGGCTGTACTCCTGCGAAGGCCAAGTGCCTGGAGCTGCGCAAGCCCCGCCTTGCAGACCAGAACCGGCAGGCGAAGGAGCTTGGGATTCCACAAGCTTAGGATCGTCTGCCCTCTTTTGGATGCCGTACCACAGGCTAAATAGTCAGCTTTGTCAAGTCATTGCTGCTGCTGAGTAGAGTTTGGCCCTCGCTTGCGGTTCGAGCAGCTTTGCAAGTTAGTCGAGCAAAACAGAGTTCAACTCAGCAGACATCAGAACTGACAGGAGCGGAAGCATAGCTGCATGTAATCAGTCAGCTGGTGTTTCCGGAATGTGACAGCTTCCTGACCCCTTGGCGATGATCGTTTGGGGTTCGCGGTCGTCGCCATCTTCCTGTACATCACCTGAGCATACAGGCAGAGTCTTGTGCAGAGACCTGCCAGAATTTCTGCATAACGTCTCCGGCAGTCTGAGGCAGCATTTTGAATGTTCAATGGCGAGGTTTTGCCTCACACCCTGGCAGGCTGGGATCAGCTGCGTCTGCGCTGCAGAACTCCGCCGTTTGCCGGGACCCCAACTGGCCATTGCGGGTGCGTGAAGCAAAAACCGGCTGCAAGCCAGGCGGGGCACAGCTGGCGCGGCTCAGGGCTGCGCCTTGACATAGCCAGGCAACCTCAGATCCTGGCTGCTTTAGCAACCGTGGTGTCTGTGCCCTGGATGAATTTGGTGCCAACCATTGCTGGGAGACGGATGTGCCCTTCTCTTGAGAGGTGACCCGGCTTGGGCGCCGCTGGCACAAGGACAGGGAGTAAGTACACAGCTTGGGTGCACTGATTTGGACTGCAAAGGACTTGCGATGCAAAGCGAGTGGAGCAAGCTTTCATGGGAAGCCTCCGAGATTGGATTTCTTGGAAGATGACTCGCGGCAGCAACTTCGTATGTGGCGTGCGCGTTCTCTGCAGTTGATTTTGGGCTGCCCGATTTTGCAACTGATCTGAAGTCTGCTACGTACAAGGATCCGAGCTGCTACACGATTGGCATCCTTGGTGATCTGCACCTCGATCCTCGTGACCTTGGTGACTCCCTGCTGGGACGAGAGCAAAATCGCCGCAACTTGTACAGTGACATTGGTAGATCATGGCAATTGCCGGTTGCTGGTGGCCAGGCATATGAAAGCCGCCCTCGATGGACAACCGAATGTCTTCGTCGTATCCCTCGGTGACCTTGGTGAGTCCAAGGATTGCAACGAGACGCGGCTGCAGAGCCTGTGACATTTCTTCGGCCATCTCCGCTTGCACTGTGCCTCTCAGGACACAAAACAGCTTTTCTCGGGAACCACTGAGTGCTTCAAGCTTGCACGGGAGTACTTGGACGGATCCCTGGACTAAGTGGCAATCTCATTGTGGCATTTTGTCGCATTCTATGTTTGTCATTCATCATTTGAGCCTCCTAGGATTTGGCAGGAGCTACAACATTGTTGGTGGAAATCATGATCTGGAGGCATGCAGTTGCATTGGCAAGTTGTGAACAAAGGTAAATGCTCTGTCTTGCAGGGCATCGATGAGTTTGGCACAGATCAGGAAAACCTTGCAGTTTTCCTTGACATCCTCGGCAAGGCACGCATTTGATAAAAGATTTTGCTCATCGCGCGCAAAATTCTGGACCATCCGGGCTGCATGCTCAGGACACCCCGTACTGCAGCTGACAGCTTAAGCATGGCACAGCCCAGCCATCAGTGCTGCAAGTAGATGATTTGATGCTCAGCTGGCAAGTCGTACGTATCCTGCCTCAGGTCATGAGATTGCTGATCGGACACTTCTTGTTGGTTTGGGCTCCACTTCTTTTCGATCCGCTCGTTCCTGGCCTTGAAGTCATGAAGTCCTGAAGATAGAACTGACCTCCTGGCTCTGGGGATGGCTAGCCAAGTGACTTTGCTGGATGTGATGATTTTTGAGAAGTTTATGTTTTTGCCTCAACGGCGGGAAGAGTAAAGATGCTACAGTTGTACTGCGTCCACCCTGCCGCCAGTTTGTTGTTCCGCTTCAGTCGTGCTTCATTGGAAATCAAGGCTTCTCGTCCCACGAGGCTCTGCCGAAGATAGGGCTTCATCTGCACTGCAAAAGGGAACAGGATATGCATCTATGTGGGCGTCAACACATCCTTACAGCAGCATGCTATATTTACTGTTGAGAGTTTTGATGACAGGTGTCTGTGGACCAAGCGCAACTGCAATGGTTCGCGCGACCCTTACAGACAAGCCCTAAATAGCAGTGTTGAGAACTCAGGATGGTAGCAAGCTAATTTTATTTACCTTAGATCTGGGTCACAATCTTTGATGATGGGAGGGTTACTGCGAATTGCTCGTAGGCTTGGCAGTGCGCTTGAAGGCCCCGAAAGTTTCCCAAGAAGCTCCGACACAATCAATCACATAGCACAAGGAAGAGACCATCCGTTCACATCCTGCAGCTGATGGCTGGCAGGCCTGCTTTGCATGTCAGTCAGTTGTCAAAGTCTTCGCTTGAGAGCATGATGCATGCAATCATCTTGGAGTTTCTACCTTGTTTTTCTTGATTTTTGGCGTAAACCCATACTCAGGCCAGCTACAGCTGAAGCTGCAAGTTGTTGACTGGAGGTCTTCGTGTTTTCGCATGCGCCCATCATTGGCTCAGCACTACGTGTCCTGCAGGAGCGACACACCATTGGCATTTGGAACACGGAGGGATATGACCAGATAGTCTCAAGAGGACGGATAGGCTCTGTGACTCCCAGGAGATTCACGTGCTGAATGGCTGCTGCTGGTTGAACCACACCGATGGAGCCAGTGCGAAGCTTTGGCGACACCCATGCCCAAGCTTCTCGTTGATGTGTGTTGCTCTCAGCATGATTAGAGAGCTACACCAGGCTCCAAGAGGTTCATTCAGATTGTGCGGGAGAACGCCTGCATAAAGGGCTTGGGACTCGGACCTGTCCGGAATTGTGCTTTTCTAGTTGCGGTTCATTCCTTATACTTGTTAACTGTTAACTCCTTGACTCTACACAGATGTCAGCAAAGTTGGAGGGGTTGAGTCAAAATGGAATGGCCCAGTATGGACATCCATTGCCCACGTTCCGTTGGCTATTATCAGTATTGAACCTAGCACGAGATGGCGGTTTGGTTGCACATGTTGGTTTAGTCACATAACATTAGTTGAGCATGCGTGTCCTTTTCAGCCTAGGCTGGTTCTCAGGGCACTTCCACCTGTCCCATGACTATGAAGACTCCATCACGTTCCCAGGTGCGGAGGCTTCTTCTCTGCGATGCCAGTACATTTGACTCGCAGGATGTAAGTATGCAGTATGTCTGAGCGTAGGCTTCTCGCTACAGTACGTGTGTAACATAATGTACGTAGCATCACATTGCTTCGGAAAGCCTTCACAAGGTGGCAACCGCCGTGGACACTGCGTCTTCGCACAGACGGGGGTGATGCGCGGCCAGTCCTCCCGGGATGGAAGGCCTTCAGTTCTTTTCTTTAACGTGACATGCAGGGAAGTGCCTGTGCGAGGCGGCAGTCCCGACTTGTGAAGGGCAACGCTCAGGCACGCATCCTAAAGGTATTTGTAAAGTGTCAGACGCTGGCCTGTCTCAAGTCAAAGCTCTTCGGCTGGCAGGGGTACGAGATCTATACTGTGGATCACAAAAAGGGCGGCAAGGCCCGCGATGCTTTTTTTGCTAGTTGGCTTGTGTAAACGGCCCCTCACACTTTGCTTCAAGATCGCAGCCAGCATCCAAGCGAAACCAGGAACCGCACAACATCGTACAAGAGTATGCAAATGATGATTTGTACAATGCCAGCTTCGCTTGGATGCCACCGTGCTGTATTCCGACAGCTGCGAAATTGCTGAGGAGCCGGGCCAGCAACTGACATGTTGTTCCTACACGGCTTTTTGTCGCACTTACTGCTGCGCAGTTTTCCGCACGCTCCAGTTTGCAGCCTTGGAGCTAGGAGCTGACACTGGATGCTGAGCCGTCAGAGTGCTCCACACTGACCTTTGCCAACAAGCACGAGGAATGAGGGCTATGGAAGTTTGAGAGGAAGAGGCTGCTATGTCTACTGCTTGCAGGATTACGACCACGAATTGTGGTTTTCTGCCTATGTGCCGCAGGACACTTGTGTGATTGCGTTCAAGAAAGCAAGCCTGTTTGACAATGCAAGTTACGACAGCTTCTCCAGAGTTTTCGTTTGAAGCACCGTTTTGCCACTTCTTGAACTCCGCGACGTGCTAAGCTCACCCTTGGCCTCTTGCAGCTACTCTGTCATCTCAACTGCACACCGGCCGTCTGGAAGTTGCAGTCCGAAGCCTCTGGACCCCGTGGCAACATCTCAATGCAGACTTTGTGTCTGTCTCTTTGTAGACTTTGCCATGCCTCTACGTCAATGCAACATCGCCTGCCCGGGGGGGTCTTAAGTCTTGATTCTTTTGGGCATACATCCTGCTGCGCGAAGAAAACTTGGCCGTGCCTAACCTTCCACAGCCTGATGCCATGAAAACAGCCCTGTCTCTACTCGTTTCCCTGCCCTTCAGGCTGCTGTTGTGCTGCCGACTTCTTTTCGCTATTGCTATGGGCGCCATTCATTCAACATATGAGCACTAGGCAAGAGACTCCGTACAGCCATCTAGCTTGGACCCAGTTCGTGCGTTGATGCTATGCGTTTTCCTTGCAAAGGGTATGCGATATGGCTACTGCTCAATGCGATTGGTCCGGAGCAAGGGGAAACCCACATCCCGATCCAGACCTCGATCCAGAGATGCGGAACAAGTCCTCGAATTCCTTTCCAGACCCCTCCCTTCCAGACCAATGAATGCAATATCTCAAAATTGACGTTGCGCTGGGTGTCCGCTCCATGCCCGTTCCATAACCGTTCCAGACCAAACAAAGTACTTAGCACATACTCACCCCGTATCAGTTGTGGGAACCAGGAAGAGTCAGTCATCGTTCCAGACCCTCCGAATCAAGTGTGCGATCCAGACCCTCCGGATCAGGCATGGTGTTGATCAGTAGCCAGATGGTGACGGCCCAAAGCGAACGTAGGTCATGTGCTCGAGGTTCCCCGAATCCTGCATAGCGATAAAATTCTTCATGCAAAGTCTCCAAACCCTGCAAAATGATAAGGCTATACCGTCCAAAGCGATAGGAACAAGGAACATTGGAAGGGTTGAGTCCAGGGTTTTGCCGCGGGCTTGTATTGGCCACTATTTCCATGCCACAGCATGACACTGTTTGTTCTGGCGATTCGTGGGCTTCCGCAGAAAGCTGTTCGAGAACTAAAATCCTGTGCGTGTATATCATGTAAAAAGCTTGTTCAGATGTAATCCATGCCGGCCAACTTTCGTTCTCCACAGGAGAATGATGGCTGTCAGATCATGGACGCCAATGGTACGTTGAATCCGAGTGACGCCGAGCTGGACTTTTCAAGCGCGGACCAGGTGTGCGCCCAGTTGGTTTCTTGCATTTCTGCTGGCCAGCATTCGAGAATCTTGAGGTGTGCTGGTGGCACATGAAAGATGGAGCCGTGCTCGGCGTCCATAATGGCATGATCATTGAGTATGATGCTGGTCACTGAGCTTTCAGCATGCCAACAGCCTGGTTTGGATCAACAAAGACAAAGCAACAGTTCTCAACGCGGCAACTTGGTTACTAGACGTCATTGTAATCCTGCTGTGAGAAGATGGCAGCAGTCTCTTGAGCTGCCTGACAGTTTCTGAAGGCCTCCACGCTTGCCCCTCTTGGAATGGTTGTCAGCTTGGGGCCCAGTTTCCGAGCCGAGCTATTGGGCGCCGAATCCTGCAGTCGAGGCAGAGATGAGCTGCAAGATCGGCGAGTCGCGGTCATTGACGACGAGTGTCGCGGGCACGGGTTCTACAACTTGCGCCCATGTCCCTGTTGTTGGAGAAGTTGTGTGTGCGCGTGTGTCTCTACGACAGCTGCCTTCTTTTCTGTTGGTCGATTGCATGCTTACATGTTCTGCTTGTCATGGCAGAGGATCAAGTTGTGAGCGGCTTCCCGTCCACGGGATGGTAACCGAACAAACATGGGTCACCAAGTAAGTAATGTGTTTGGTCAAAAGTGCGAGCCAGGAGCATGCAATCTGTAGAGCAAGCCACCTCTAGCACGCCTCAGCCACAAACACAAGAGCGTTAGACACCTGGACCTGTCGGCCTCCCAGTTCCTTGTACAGAGACGTGGGATGCTGGCCTCTGGGAGCGACACGCTGGCTTAGCATCATGTCTACATCCACGGCGGATGCACTGAAGACTTTGGGTCACAAGGCTTTGAATTTGACTTGCGCATGTGTCTCGCATTGCCAGCATATGCATGTTGTTGAGATTTTCCGAGGGTCTTGCAGGCCTCATGTTAGATTACTAAATTAGAGTGTTTATTAAGCAGCGCCCGACTGCATAACCAAACAAGTTGCAGCACTCATGCCCAGCCCAGGTTTGAAAGTGGGATGCAGCGAGCAGGACAGAGACGCAGACGATGATGTGAGAAATCTGGGGCAGGGAGGACCTACAAAGCCAGCCGTGATCACCTCGTATGTGCTCTGCTTCGTGCAGGATGTGACCAGCTCCTTTCGAAGGCTAGCGCGACAGCACCATCCAGACAAGGGCGGCAACCTGGCTGAGCAGACCATAGCTGACTCTTATGCAAAGCGATGCAAAGTAAGCCATCAGTGGTAGGCACAGACCAAGCTATTTCAACTCGCAGATCTCGCAGTCCAGGGTACTTTAAGGTAGCTTGTTTGTGCCACAAGGTGACAAGGAGTCGTTCCAGAAGTTGCGGGCGGCAGCATGGCTGGCATATAATCTGGCGCCAGTGAAGGATTTGCATCCATCAATTTGTCACAATTAGTTGTCATTGCAGCTTTCTTGTTGCTGGACACAGATTGATCATGATGCAACGCTGGCTGCAGATGTCCCTCGGGTGTGCAAACTGAGGCCTATGAGCTGCTCAGCACCTCGCTGCCAATCGGTGAGTCGCCACCACGTGCATCAGCACCGAAGGCAAAGCCTGGTACAGTGCCACTTTACCTGTTCTTTCAGTCTCAAAACAATGGAACAGACGTCCCTTTGGGCCAGCCTTGACTCGGCCTTGACCACATCTATGATACAACGCCCTCTTGCACTTACAGGCTCCAAAGCGTGATGCTGCCGAATCGGACCGCTTTCAGCGCATGTGGGCAGAGGCTGGTTCGGACAATTCAGTGTTCAGGAGAGAAGGTCTTGAGCTGCTCTAATGCTCTTGTGTTTGGAAAAGTTGAAGTGACTGACACAAGGCGCAGCGCCATGCAGCTGCTGAACGTGTGGCACGCAAAGCGGCCGCAGCGAGGGCGGCCGCGCAGACCAATGCCGAGCGCGCCAGAGAGGCGGACTTTGTGATCATGGCGATGCTAAGTCAGTCAGCTAGCTGAGGCATAATTAATTTTTAGAGACCCTTTGTCTGTGCACAGGAAGGCCGCCGGCGCAAGAAGCAGCGCGAGGAGGAGGACCTGAGCCCCGGCCTGGTGCGCAAAGCGATGCACAAAACAGTTCAGATGTAATTACAAGACGTTGCCATGTGTTTGATGAAGCACTGCGATGCTTTAGAGTCGGAGTCATAGCTCACAACCGCTCCTCTGCCTCTTCCCGAGAAATCCCGAGAACTCAGTCATTAATATTCTGAATCTGCAGCCATTGGCTTGCAGGAGAGGCGCTGCCAGGAGGAGTGGGAGGCTCTGAGGCCTCCACCGTTGTGACAGTCTTGTCCAGTCCGAGAAAGCAGTCCACTTTACTTGAGGGTGTGTTCAATCTTTCAGACTGACCACTGCTTGAAAGGCAGGAGCTAGCGCAGCAGCGAGCTGCGAATGCTCAGCGGTTTGCCCAGCGCCGCGCAAAGTGGTCTGCACAGCACCGCTGCAGCCCCGGGAAAGTTGGCTCCCCAAATCATCCTGGCATCTATTCAGACAAAGTGCCTCAAGGTGCTCATGTATCCGGCGTCAGCTATGACATGCAGGCGAGCTATTGCATGGGTGTTTGGTGCATGGCTATTCATTGCGTCCATGCCAGCCAACCAGACCAAGCACACAACAACATTTAATTTTAATTTTGTACAGATACAATAGGCCTTGTCGTGCTTCAAAGCTGAAACCTGAAGATTGCTGCGTAGGCGGAAGCCCTCGAGCTCCTTCGTTGGCTCCGGCGACTGCAGGGCTCTTCAGAATCCAAACGGCCGCGGCCGAGTAGCACGGAGCCGCAGGAGCTGCTTGCTTGCACAGAGTCTGATCTACTTCTGGCGGAGCGTTGCAGAGAACTTGAACGCAGGGGTTCAACTTTGTTGAAGGAAGAAGGCCTTGAATCCCAAAACCACGTGGAAAAGTGCTTTGCTGAGGCCCCCTCCAAAAGTGGCCCGGGTGCTGCTGCGTGGTCGCGGTCGAGCTTCTGCTGAGTGAGGCCACGCGCAACCCCCCAGCATTGTAGACAGCTCTTGCGCGGGGAGGTGGTTTTGCCTGTGGCTAAAGTGTGCCCTGGGTGCCGCTGAACCCATCTCAAGGGCTTTGCCCGCAGTCGTATCCAATTTGTGGTTGTTGAACACTTGGAGCCTGCCTTTCAAGACCGTCCTTGCGGTTCTCCTGGCAGGTTGGTTCTCCGGCAGCTGCGCTGACTGCATGCGCAACATCCAAGAGACCTGAGGCCATGCCCTGCTCTGCCGAAAGGCTCGGCAGGCATGAGAGTCTGTCTCACAGTGTTCTTCTCAATACCAGAAAAAGAAACAGCATAATATGCTTGCCTCATCTTGCTTCATTCTGTTCTAGCGTCATTCCCCTTGGTCAGCAGCATGTTCCCAGCTTTCTGTGCTCCAAGACCCATGGCAGCATAAGCTCCTGTTATCCTACTTTTCCCAACTCGCAAGCTGACGTGCCGCGGTCTAATTGACCTGCCCAACTTGGTCGCGAGAGCTGCGGTGAAAGATGACCACTTCGCGTGCACAACGCGTGGATTCAGCAGGGCATTTGCATGCAAAGGCTGTTCAGTGTAAAGAGTGCTTTTGAATGCGTAGCGTTTGAAGGTTGATCTTGACAAATCTGTTTATGTGTTCTTTGAGTTGCCGGTCTGCTCTTGGCCAGGTGGGGAGGATCAGCATTGGTTTCTCGGCGAGCTACTTTGCAGTCTCCCCGTAACGCAATTATTTCGCAGCACATGGGAATCTGTCAAAGCGCCTGTGTCGCGGCCACATGCAGAGTGATGCATGTTATGAAATGCTCTCTTGAGGTTGTTTTCAAGCATTGACAGACCAGCAGCAGGTGTCCTGTGAGTGGGGAGAAGTTGCGTCTGCTCAGCGTCTTGAGTAAACACGGGGGAATGAGATGAGCTTGCTGCTCACTGTCTTTGTGTCCCCGACCACCGTGTGGGACCACCTACAATAGTTCCACAGCAGAATCCTTCCGCCTCAGGTTCTGCACGACGACCGTACCAGCGACGTCACCGTGGTACAGCCCAATGAGGACTCTTGGCGCAAGTGCTTTGCTTTTGCCCATTTAGTTTCCAAGTTCTGGCAGGATGGCTCCTACTGGCGAAAGGCTTTGTTCCAAGAACTTCAGCTACTTCACGCTTCTGGATTCTAGATTATACCACGCTCAGGTTGTTCGAAACAAGATGCACCGCATGAAAGAGATGCGACGCATGAAAGCTGCCGAGAAATGGGCCAAGAAGGCTGGCAGTCACTCTTGCGAGAGTAGTTAAGCCGAAGTCTTAACAGTCATTTTTCGTCTTCGTAAGCAAAGGAGAATGGAACAGGAGTAGCATCCATGTAGATGCAAATGGCAAATCGGTGATGACAGGGTCTGGAGCTCTGTCTGTGTCGCAAAGGGCTGGCAATTGATGCGAGTGATGATATGCTCTGTAGCCATGTGGCGCAGGAGAAGTCGCTGGAGAAGGTAGCATCCCCAGCTCAGAGTCCCGTTGCCACTTTGGCTCTTGCAGGTCAGGGTGCTGTCTTCCTACGGGCCGTACAAGACAAGCTCTGGCAAGGCCTGGGACCGTTGATGAGTACAAAGCCAGTCTCGAAAGCAGCCGTCGTTGAGCGATGGCGGACTGGTTCCCTGTGCTGTTGAGTCTGAGCCCAGCTGTGAAGCAACGATGCAAACAGGTCCTCGGCCTTTCCACTCGAGCCATTGATCCGAAGGCCACTTACAGTCTTAGACTAGCTGAGTGCCATGGAGTCACGCTCTGGTCACGTGGTGTCTTTTTTCCTCCCGCTAGAATGGAGAGACACAACCAAGCTTCCGTGCAGGCGCCAGCCGCCTTGGAAAGCTGAGTCCGCAGCCCTCTCTCCGCGTAGATCACGCAGTAGAAAAAGGAGCTCCCAGAGCATCGAGTTGACAATGCACCGGCCCATCGGCCTCAGGCCAAGTGCCAGACCAGGCGATGAAGAGCTTGTCTCTGCAAAAGATGGTGGTACTGGTGATGCATCATGTTACGCCGCAACCTACATGAGTTTTGCGGGCACTTTGCAGGCAACAGGCTAGCTGCACTACTAGCAGCCTCAAAAGTGCAGACCTCTCACGGGGCTGTTGCCAGACAACGTCCGGGGTGCTCTGCGGATAAGAAGTTGTAGACCAACAATCTGTTGTTCGGACCCTGCAGGACGCAAAGGCTCTTGCGGAACTTCACGAAGCGCAAAGACAGGCAGACTGTTTCGCTGGGGCAAGACATAGCAAAGCCATAGCACATGCTAAATCATTCTACATTTTCGTAGCATCATGGCTTTTAGGGGATGTAATGCGGTGCTACGACTTACTGGTAGTGAGATGCCACCAGCAAAGGGGGACAAGACGTTGTGAGCAGCGAAGCGGAACATGAAAATACCAACGAATTGTGTACCGTGCAAAAAGATGGAAAAAGCAACGGTTTGAATGAGTGACGACGCTTGCTTTCCTGGCGGCTAGGCAAAAGCTTATGAGCGAGGCTGGAAGCAGGCCAGGGCCGCCGGATCATTGTTACATGTTGTTACCATCATCACTGTTACTGTTACTCACTCTGATTACTAAAATTTAAAACTATGAAAGCAATTATCATTATAACTGTTGCTATTGCTAGAACAGAAGGGTTTTGAGAAACCTGTGGACAGAGTCAAGTGATGCAGCAAGCCTGCGCCGGCCAGGCCGTTCTGGATGTGAAAGAGATGGAAAGCATGATCGGGCCTCAATACGTACCTTTTTGTCATTGGCTCCATATTGTGCATAGTAATTTCCCTAAATAAGGGGACCCCAATCTAGACCTTAAAATACGATAAACCCTATTAGAGGAACCCCCAATATGGTGCCCCTAATTTGGGGAAATCCGCATATATAATTTACTTTCGCAGGATGAGGGCAGGCTGATCCTAACTGGATATCCTGACAGGAACATGCTGTATCCGGCTGCAGTCGGTCTGGAAGATATTCTTGCTATGCGGCAGTTTCCTTCTAAGACACCTCTGCCAATTTGCTGAATCTGCCGAAGGCTCAAGAAGGAACGCCATCATCGTCAGCAGTTCAGTCACTTGGCTGTGCAATGTGGTTCTTTAGTGCAGGGACACAGCAGTAAGATGCTGGCGTTCGCAGACGATTTCTCTTCTGTGCCATGTTAAGGTGACTTCGTGGAGGACTTGGAGAAACGCTGCTGGATGCTCCAGAAGGAGTCACGTTCAGCAGTTTTGCAGGGTCAGCATGACAGCTGCTTCTTTGGCCGAGCATCAACTTGAGAGTCCATGTAAGGACCTTCGATTGCAAAGCCTTCCTGAAGTGTGGCAGCCCCTGGACGTACCTTTCATTGCCAACATCAACTGATTTGCATGTGTATATCGCGGCTTATCCCATTAGGTTGGCCGCGGAAAGAAAGCAGGCCTGTTATTCTTGTTGCACATGATCCATGGCGCTACAGTTGCGTCGCCGTTGGCGCAGCTGCAGCTTTTTGGATTTGGGTTCTTCGGAGCTGGTAGGCTGCAGCAATTGCACAGAGGGCAGTGGACTTCGAAGACCGCTGCGAAAAGCTCCAAAAGGCTTGCGGCTCAGATGCGAAGCCCGCAAAAACCCCAACAATCACGCGAGCCAACGATGCCAGCCCAACTCACAAACAGAATTGGCCAGAGTCCACAGCCATCAGTGGCGTCTCAGAACAATGTGCTCTGCCGCTTTGGTGCCAGTCTTCTGGGCCATGCCAACTTAGGCGCCGAAAACCTGCCTTGGGCTAGCATATCCCTACCTTAGCGCCCGTCATAAGGAAGTTTACAGTATTAATTAATGCAGGGTATCCTTTTGAGATTGGTGCTTCGGACAATGGTCAATCATGCCATGCCATCTAAGAACATTGACGACTTGCACGTCTACATGGAGAAGTGGAGACCTTAGTGGCACTCAGTGGCAAAAGCCGTGCCAAAACAAAGAGCTTGCAGCAGCAATTAGTCGTGGTGGCTTGGTACTGAGGTTGAGCGTCGAGAGCGCTCAGGGTGCTGTGGCAGTGCAACGAGCCAACGAGATGCAGGATCAGTACGACCAGTTGTGCCCAACCCAGCGACATATTGAACTGTGTCGGCTTTCCGTGTCTATTCACCTCAGAGGACAAGAAGTCCTGTGCAGTTGCGCGCAGCAGCCTTGCGCCTGTAACGATATTGTGAATTGTGACATGCTGCCTGCTCAAGCAGTGAGCTTCAAGAGTCTGCCCACACGTCAGGCTTCCCAGGTTGCTCAGGCTTATCAACTAAACATGCCAGTACCTCCAGAGTTGCTTATGCTGGCAGCTTTGGTGGAGATCATGTGAGGAAGCAGCATCCGGTCGGTTATCCTTGGCAAAGCAGTATCCTTCATCAGCAGGTTAGTTCCCTAGCCTAGTGTACGGTAGCATTCATTTTGCTCATGCTCCCACAATAGCTGTGGCCTCTCATGGCGAAAGGCGGTGCGTGGGGCAAGGCTCCGCTCACTGCCTTTTGATTTCTGTTGACGCGTGGAAAACTTGAGGGTCCCCTTACCTGCTTGACCTTCCTCTTGGAAATTGTTGACGGTGCAGGCTGGCTATCAAGGCGGCGGGTTGGCATCTCAGGCTTCCCATAGGCAGGCCATTCCTGTACGGGAGAAACCATGGGCGACCTCTTGTCATACGTGCATCGGAAAGAGACACTTCATTGGAAGAGCTGCAAAGATGGCATGGATCGGGATCTTGTCGAGCTTTGCGACCCCATCTTGGGGTACTCAGCTCCGCATGTAAGGTCCGGAAAAAGCCAGGTCAATCAAGGAGCGTGGTGCGCAGCCCAGCTCAGCATGTCTAATCTCAGAATGGCATGTCCACAATCCGCGCAGCTTTCATCTCCCCAGGTCCAAAGGCCGCGGAGGAGCAGGAGGAGCCTGGGGTGCGCCAGGGTTACTGTCTACTTTTGCACGACAGCTGCTTTGGATTCCAAAGGTCTTCCTTTTAGTATTTCTGTGTCGCTGCTGAGTTTCAGAGACAGGAAGCTTCATGCAGTAGCAGCTTTGTGCTGGCGCAGGCAAGGGCGACCAGGACAAAGGCAACAAGGCACGGTCTCATCGCGGCGACTGCTGCTGCAAAAGGGTCCTCGCAGGAAGTTGCTACTCACTTAAAGTTCGTTGTCTGATCAGAGACCTGTGGCCGGGCCAGAATTGTTCTTCTCAAGTCTGCATTGGCGAGAGACTGTTAGGTTACGGATGTTGGCCGAGTCAACCGCAAGGGCCTTGAGTCAGAAACGGATCAGTTGAGAACAGACGGGGCAAGTCAGACCTGGACGAGGGCCTCAATCACGAACGGACAGGGAGCGAGTCAAAAATAAGAGCACACAGACATACTGAGGGAATGGCGCGTTGCCCACACCAGAAGCCTCTGATTTCTTCTCTTGCTGTTCCCGACGCGCCCGCTCATTCTCGACTCGCCCCTTCCTGTTCTTGACTCACCCCCACGTTCTTTCTGACTAACCCTCCTGCCTGTTCCTGGCTCGCCCCCTCTTGTTCCCGACTTGTGCTCGTGGCTCGCCTCTCATCCATTAAGTTACCTGCTGCCAACCAACATGCGGCAACCTGCGCAGGGTTGGGAGAAGGGTGGCGAGAAGGGAAAAAGCAAACGGGGGCCATCCCCGTGGAGCTTTGTGCCGCTGTGCTCGGCCCGACACCCGGTGAACGAAACAGGCAGAGTAGGATCTGCAGTGAAGATGATGGGTCTTGCTAACATAAGCTGGCCCCGAAGCTTTCTCGGCTTGGTGAGATGCAAGGCAGCTTGCAATGCTTCACACCAGAAAAAGCAGCGAGTATGCCAGCCTCGTGTAAGACCTCCCAAGCTGAAAGCAGATCTGAGCGCACACTGATTTGACATCAGCCTACACTGGCCCAGCAATGGCAAAGCGACCAGCGCCTGAGGAGACACTTTGCTCCAACCTGGTCAGCAGCTGTTCGGATGGGTTTTAAGTTTTAAACATGCCCAAGCTGTTTGCACTTGTTTTGCACTTGGTGCGGGCACGGGCTCCTTGCCTTGATGCGGGCCGCATAATAGCTTAGAATTTGGCCTCCCTGTGAAGGAGCCCTTAGAGGAGTTGCCACTCTTCAAGAAGGCAAGGCTACACAACAGCAGACAGGGATGGACCACAATAAATGTTGGCTGTTAGCTTTTTAGGTGCTAATACAGATGTTGGACCTGTGATGACGTATGTGTGCGCAGCTCTTACCACTGGCAACAAAAGCTGTACTTTTGGGCTGTGCCAGGCAAAGGCGTTTGCCGCTGATGGTCGCATTTCTCACGCGGAAGCCAAGGACGCTTCCAAGAAAGTGTCGTGACAGGCCATCCGTCTAACTGATCCGTTTGGCTCAAAAACAATTCCAAAGGCGTGCTTCGCAGTGCTACCTATCAGTCACTACAGCTCTCGTGGAACTGCAAGGAGCTGTGGACCGATGGGGACCTCACGAGCCGTGAGGTAGAAGTCCTGTTGCTCGGCTTGAGGCTACAACTCTTTGCGTGCAGGCCAGCAGGTAATTGGCATGGAGCATGACTGTGAATTCAGCAAGCTAAGCAGGCATCGGTATCATCCAAGGCGCCATGCTATGAATACATTTCGCTTCACGTGCCCAATTGGCATTGTGCAGATCTATCCAAGCAAGACGCTGTGCAAGTTGCAATGTATACAAGAGCAGATGTCTTGCAAACCAGGCACAAGGCAGCCTCGTTTTTGCAGCCTTTGTTGCAGAGCCCGCGCCGGACATCGTACTACCGCCAGGCGTCAAGCATTCATGAGGAAGCCGAGTCGGCAACTCTCAACATGCTGAAGTTCTCTCTTGGCTTCCCCAATTTCGCGTGCTCTACTTTAGCTGACCAGTGGGAGATAGGCAGCTAGGGTATGAAGGTAGCAGGAACGCAATTGGCACAGCTGCAGGTCCAGGGGCAGCGATTTGACAGAGGCTTGTCAGCAGGTTGAGCCGGTGTTGTTTCTCAGAGACGGTAGGAGGATGCTTCTTTCCACTGCAGATTTTGGGGCATGGCCACGCTAAGGAGAGCTCTTGGACATGGCAGAGCGATACGTCAAAGACGGCAACGCGGCATCACATGTTCAGCCTGAGTTATCTTGCTCGAAGGGCATTTCAGCAAGCATGTGCGTGCTAGATGTGCTTGGTAGGTGCCTCTCAGGTCAGATCTCTTACGCAGAGGCACACAGCCTGTGGCAAGCAGCGCAGGATGGCAAGGGTGTCACGGAGGTGGAGAAGAAGACCCTGCAATACACGCTGGCACGCATGAAGTACACCCCGAAGGCGGTCTCTCATTAAGCCTGTACAGCTTAAACGCGACTCAACTGTGCATCATTGCTTGCGTTCGAAACATGCCTGGGGACTGCAGGCTTCAGCATTTCTCAAGCAGAAGCTGCACGGCAGACAATCAGAGACGCTTCACCGTGAAAGTTAGTGAAAAGTACATCGTGGCCATTTTTTTGTGTCGGGAGTCATAGGCCCTCTGCTCAGGAAGTCAGCGAGACCCTCCAAGTCTGCAAAGCGCGCGGCAGCTAAGCGAGCAGCAGAGAAGCCTGCAGCGGCCAAGCCTGCAGCCAAGCCTGCAGCCAAGCCATCGGCTTCTGCCGACGCCAAGGCCGTCCTCAGGATCCTGAGCCAAGTTGAATTGTTCTTCTGCCATGCGTGATTGACGTGGCTGGCAGGCAGCAGCTTCTGCAGAGCCAGCACCAGCAAAGTCTGGAGCAGCCAAGTCTGAAGTACCCGACAAGGCCACCAAGAAGGAGGGCCCTCGTGTTCCGAGCTGAGACTGTTATGTAGCGTCTTTGCAAAGGAAATGCTAGCTGCTAGCTATCAATGTCTGCCATACAGGCAGCCAGCCAACTGAACACTTGATTGCATCGTTTAAGCCTGAGCATGTCTGGGACAGTCGTAGTTACATCTTGTCAACCCAGGTGCTTGTGAAGTGGAAGTGGGTCAAACGCCCAAACTCCAGCTTTCCAGCCTTTCCGGTGGTCATGCCAAGGAGCCATCCATCAATCAACTGCTGAACAGGTCTAGACTGTTCTTGCATGGGCCATATGCTTGTGCGTGCCAGGAAGGAGCATCGCTTCTCTCTCGTGATTTGTCATCCGATGGGTTGCTATTCGACCTTCTTTCTGGGGCCGGAGGGCCTGGTAAAGGACCTGCTGGTGCTTCGCTGCAGACTTCATTGCTTTCTGACCTGTGCGTGTTCGTCAAAATCATCATCCTTAGCTGAGGCCAAAGTCATTCCCAAGGGTGAACCCCCCCTGTTGAGCAACTCCCTGCAACCAACGTAGGTGCAGAGCCACCTGATTCGCGACTACTGCAAGATTCTTTGCCCCGGAAGCTTGGCAAAGTTAGACTATCATATTTCATTTTTTCAGGGGAGCTTCTCATGCCTAATAGGGATCCCTGCAGCCTCTTATCCCGCATGGCCCCGGGGCCGCTTACGGTCATTCGACTTTGAGAATCTCCCTTAGTCGTTATAAGCATCCTGGTCATTGTGGCTTGATCATGGTCCGTATCTAATTGTGCCACAGTACCACTGCTGCTGCTGCTGCTGCTGCTGCTGCTGCTGCTGCTGCTGCTGCTGCTGCAAGGCAGGAGGAGGATTGTTTGCAGCATCGATCTGTTGATGTGGTTTCCTGCCTGGTGCGAAGAGAGACAACTTTTGCCTTCGGCTCTGTCTGCAGCCAGGCCAAGTGCAGAGTGCTCCTGGAGAAGTCATGAGAAGTCAGCCAAGGTGCAAAGCACATAGACTGGGGCAAGCTGCTTGGCTTGCATGTTTGTAAGGAAAGCATGCCAAGCTTGGACTGTCTGAACAACACTCCAAACAGTACTTCGCAGCAGGCCGAGAGGTAAGACTCATGCTCAGAGTTTTCTGGCACCAAAACATACACCGCAAGTGGCTGATCTTGCAACGACTGACAATCAAATTCCGCATCCTCAGCTCATGACGATGCTTTTCTGCCAAAGCCTTATTTTAAGAGTTCATCTGGTTGGGTCTGCTATCGACAATTCCGAAGTCACCGACGGCATTTCAAAAACTTCCAGCAACGAAAAGGTATCAAGCTATATACTCTGGGCCTTGAACTGAACAGAAAAAGATGCCAGCCTAGACTCAGAACTTAATGATTGTCGGAACACTGCCAAAAGCCATGACCACCAGCCCTTTCTGAGACCCAGCGATGTAAGGCAGTGGAAGACTCGCCTTGTTTGGGCATGGCAGCCACAGCCTGCCCTTGACACTCTGCAGCTGAGGCAATGGTTTCGCTACAGGACCACGGATTGTGTGCGAATTGTGCCGTGTTTTTTCTTTGACGCGTCAGCCAGGCTCCTCGCTGTGTAGCTTCAACCTCAGCGTGCATATCACAGCGGCTGTCAGGAGCAACCGGGGAGGCACGCGTCGATGTCACGAAGAAGTCATTTCCACCAGAGACCTTCAAAAGGCGGTTGACTTCGTCTCCGGCGTAGTGGCGTGGCTGCTAAGATGTGAAAATCAAACCCAAACTCTTCAAAATGTAGCCTGGAACCCACAGAACGAGAAGAAGAAAGAACAGCGGGCATGGAGAAAAGTAACGTTTCTTATTACAGCCCTCATCGCGCGGAATGGCTCCTCAAATTCCAGGGCAAGCAGCTTGGTCCTGTTTGTCATGCTTGTCGCTTCAAGGCCGCCTTGACTCTAAAATCATCTTGGACCCCAGCGCGTCTGCGGCATTCTCCTCATGCCTGAAGGAAGCTCACCAATTTCATCCAGCAAAGGTAGCCGCGGAGGTCTCGCAACTTCAAGCTGCAGACCGTGTGCTCCTGGGAGGTTATTCGCAAGGCTTGCAGACTTACTTGAAGAGCGGTGTATACTTAGCCATTGATAACTTCCTTGATGCACAGGAGGATGCATCAGCTTGGAGGTTGGTCTTGCTCTTCCCTTCGACCTGGGTCTGGTTATCTCGCAGCGAGGGATGTTGATGAAGCAGACGCACCGTGGCGGCATTCCAATGACAATGACCATTCCACCAGCCCTACTCTTTTTAATTCCAGCATCAATTCCAGCCTTTCTGATTTCTGATATTTCGGGACTTGCTTTTGTTGTTTCAAGCGCAGCACTGCCTCGCTTGCCAGTCTTGAATTTCGCGTTCACGCTATACTTTTTTGTTTTTTGAGGGCAAGATGTCTTCCTCCCAAGGATGGACCGGCACGAAGCTGTGATGACGAGCCCAGAGCCTACACCAGCTCCAGGTCCTCCAGGTCCTCCACTGTCCGCTTCCCCAGGTGCCCTTGAGCGTGGACGGCCAAAGTTTTGGAGCACTCAGTGGGTTGTGGCAGGTGCTGAAAAGACGGCGAAGCGTCAGTACAACGGCCCATCGGCTAAGCCCCGTGTTCTTGCCTGAGTTCCTTGCTGACCACATCTCGATCCAAATCACACTATACGCAAGCAGAGGTCTTGATGACTGCTGGAGTTCTTGATGACGTCTACCTTCTTGCAAACCAGGCTTGCCATGTAGAATGTGTCATCTTCACATGTTATTGAATTTCCTGGGCTTATCTGAGCCTAAGGGCATTTTCGAATGTTCCGCGGTCGTAAAGGGTCAGCACCTGGTTGGTGAGAGTCTGACGCTGCAGGAACCTTTCGGGCAATCCAGTTAGAAGAGTAGAATCTGTAGAAAGCCATTGAGCAGGATAATTAAGCGAACTGTAGTACGAAGCTTGATCTAAGTAGGTCAGGGGCAGTCATGCAGAGGGGCGCGCAAAGTGAGGGTGTAAGAAAGAGATATGGAAAGTGCCGGTTTTCTTGTGTATGCCTGGGTCATCATTGTGCAGGCATTCACGAACACCCCGAGCTTGAACAAATCGCTGCAACTGAACCTAGAACTGGATCCGCCGGAAAACAAATACTGCTCTCTGGGAATTGTTTCACATTGCCATGATACTGGTTTCACGACAGGCATCGACGGGCACTGTCCGTCGGGTATATTGGTATGCCGATGGCGAGTAGGGCCCACTAGCATGCGTGTTCTTGCTGAAGCTGCTGGCATGATAGGGCAGATCTGTTTCAGGAAGACGGGCGCAACTGGCTCACGCAATACGGCTGCGAGGTTGACTTCCAGGCCATCAAGCACCTTGGCCAGCCCAGCACCCTTCATTCAACTTCTGCGGTCGTTTTAGCGGAATTCTGCGATTGATTGAAATCGATTACATTCCTAACGCCTTGCTTACCTTCTTGCCACCTTGGGTACCCACATTGAATCCGTGGCTAAGTTCACCACTCCGCAGCGGGCACACTCTTTCACACGAGATAGGTTTTGGTGAGGATATGCAAACAGGGTTAGCGGCATGCGGGCGGCCTTCTCGCGCTTCACTGAGACAACTAGCGGGGCTGTTGATGGCCCAGCAGATCGAACCACTGCAAACTGACAGTCTTGGGTTCGATAATTCGGAATACAAGCAAGTGTGAAATGTTTCGGCGTGCCCGATGGGATTGGAGTGAGAATTGGAGCACTTGCTGCGTAGCGTTGATATCTGCGCCGGAGTCCGCTTACAGGGAGTTTAAGAGCAGTGGTCAGGGTGGCATCTTGCGCAATCGCAACGGCAACAGCGATAGTAAATGAATTAATGATGCCAGCCAGAATATTCACTAAGTGTCGATTTCTGAGCCCAAGGACCCTGGACCACTATGAGAACTCGCACGAGGCGTGACATGCTAGCGAAGGGAAGTTCCTGGCACCGAATGCGGTGGAGCATTTTAGTCCCCAGGAACATGCGCTAGTTCGCAAAGCCGTGCTGGCTACCTTCCGGCGTGCCAAGAAACTCAAGGCGAAGAAGGCGAGCGTGGTTCTAGATAAAAATGTTCTGCGCATCGTTTCCCTGACATGCGACTTCTTGCTGATGCCTGGAGCAAGCTGAACTATTGAAAAGACACGTGTGCACTCGATTTGGCAGGCAAGAAGCCTTCGAGCAACATCCTCAAACGAGATGCCTTTGTCTCAATGAACGTACAGATGCGGAGACTAGCTTCTGTGAAACGCATCTGCACGTGTCCGGATGGGGCAACCCGCGTTTGAAAAGACGGGCACGGCAAGCGGCGCAGAAAAATCTCCTTCATCCTTTTAATTCTTGGCCGATGCCTTCATGTCAAGTACAAGCACACCCCAGCATTAAATCCCTGCCAAGGCTGCTAAGGGGCAAACAGTTCCAATTGTGTCTGACAACTGGCAGCAAGGCACTCTCAGGGCCCGCCGAAGGCGTTTCCTGCAGCAGCTTTTTTCAGACGTTGCCGTGGCTTAGCTCCAAGCGTTGTCCCGAAAATGACAGACGTTTAATTTACCAAGAGCAAGTCATGGACCCTTAAACCCATTCACCCACATTTCAAGAGACCCATTGGTAGGTACATGTTGGCATCACCCACAAAATTTGTTGGTAGTTGGGATTACGGCGAGTCTATAAAACAGTTTGTTCAACGTTTTGCCCTAGGATTCTGTCTTTTGGGATGACGAGCGACCCGCTGCGGAACGGAAAAATGCGTCTGCCATGCCTCGTGAAGTTTGATTCATGACTCCGGGTACCCAGAGCACACTACCCCATAGTGCAGGAGCTGATTAGAAGCAAAAACGCTGGACCCTAGCCATGCAAACAAGAGAGATGCAAGACCAAGGATGGAGACCCCCTGGGACTGTGGCAGATTTCTAGCCAGGCATGGAGCATCAGTTGTCCAGACTGTCTGTCTTCAACATAGCCGAGCACGCCGTCGCGCAGGTGCCGAATGAATGGGTTGATCACAGCCATGGTGGCAAACCAGCACGAGAGAGGCCCCGTGATGACTTATCAAAGCTTCAGCTTATTGAAGACTGACGAAGTGCGGCTAGTGTGGCCACAGGCAGGCACTTATGGGGAAGTGTTCTCTGTGGGCGTGATTCAAAACTAAAACACACGGGATGCAGTTTTTCCTGTCAGACAGGGCGGGGAAGTACTGCCAATTGCACACCTGGTCTGTTTCCATCTTATGCATACATTCCCAGACCTTTGAATGGATGAAGCTTTGGCATTTGCTCTGTCGTCGTTTGGATCATGACCGCTGTCTCACGACCGTTGCCCTTGCCAGGCTTCACGTCACTTTCGCTCTACGCATGAATAAGATTGAGCAGCTGGACCGATTAGAGCAGGCTTCCGCACTCATTCTGACATGGTGGGCTCTGGACAGTACTTCATGCCCTCAATTTTGGTCGCAGGTGTGCGGCAATTCTGCCCCCGTCGAACTGAAAGTGAAGGAGTTCTTCCTTTCACATGTCGATCGAATAAGGCAGGGTTCGAAGCTTTCGCTGCGAGCAATCCTGCCGGACGCGCTGAGAGTAAATTCTACTCCTGCCAGGGACGCAGAGGTGTACTGCATAGGCGCGAGATTTCTTGCATCCTGCTTCATTCCTGCCTTTCGCGGTAGCTAAAATTCAGCGAAAAGCTGAAGACTTGAATGAGACCGCTAGTTCGCAAGTCTGCAAAGCCACAGGGAGAGAGTTCGCAAAGCTTGCGGCGTTCTCTCCAGGAGTTGCCTTCGAGTCACCCGGCCTTCGAGCTCTCAAGGACCGTTTCAAAGGGGTGAGCTGAGCATGCTGCCACGTCTTTGCTGAGCACTTCTGTCTGTGAAGGCGAAGGGTGCGTGGTTTTGCTGGTGAGGCTAGAGCTGCTACCGCCCATCATGTTGTGAGAGGACACTTGGCTTCAAGGAGAACCTGATGAGGGTACTCGGTGCAGGGCCAAGCGGCCCGCAGTTTGTCTCAGTAATTCTGTTGCGCTGTGGTCTGAGACGGGATGTTAACTGCTCTATGCTCCATGCTCCCAAGGCGAAGCCATGATCCCTACCCAAACAGTGCGACAGCCTCAGCATGGATCTCCTCCAAGTGAATCAACATGAATCAACCAACAGAACGCAGACATGCTTTCAATCTCGGATCTAGACTCATTATCAGTGCATTGCCCTGTGGCTACCAACTACAAGAGCAAGTGTGTTGAGTGCAGCTGGACGACTCGAGGATGGGCACGTGTCGTTGGCCTACATCCAGGCACGGCTCTACCTTGGTTTTTGTTTGCCGGAGAAACCGCATCTGCACTGGTGAGCGCGTTGGACCGCTATGGCGCATGCATAATGTCTTGGAGCTTGCATGTCCGCGTCAGGCATCTGCCTGGCAACAGGCCAAGGACTTTGTAGAGGGAAACAGGACCTCAGCTTGGTTTCAGGCTCCCACACCTGTGCTGGCACCTCCTTGCCTGTCAGAGCTAGGCCGCTTTCAGGCCAGTAGCTGCAAGACACCAGTCCGCCGTCAGCCGCATCCCTTGCGCAGGACCACCCTGGAAGGACGCAGCTTCATGGTGGAATCCATCACATACGAGGCCCAAGCTCCAGCATTTTTGAAGGCCTACCGAATGCTCTTTCCCCCCACTGTCAAGTGTGGTTTGATGATCTGCAGGATGAGCGGCGGGAAAAGTCGCAGTTCCGCCTTGCTGGCGAGGAAGGCAGGAAGCCAACAATGTGTCATACACCCAATGCCATAATTTCCGATGCAGGGAGGTGCATGAAAAAAGCAATCTGATTCATGGAAGGCATCTCCATCTGGATTCCACAGGCACCGCCCCAGTTTCGCCTTGTTCAGGCCCAGCCGTCAGTGTGCCTGCAGTCGGGAGCAGGCCGTATGGGACTTGGGCATCATCACGCTTTGTTTGCGAATCTGACTTGAGATTGAAGACGGCATAGCAGTGTGGCCACATGAGAGAGCAGAAGCCTGATTAGTACACTTAATCACCCAAACAAAGCTGGGTATCGTTCTCTTCGGGGCGCCCCCCAAACCAAATCTCGAAGGCTGGGTTGAATTTAATTTGCGTTGCGGAGCTCAGTGGCTGTTTCATGCTGCTTCAAAGTCTAGATTGAACAAGAGCAGGTTGGCAGCAGGCAGTAGTTTTTCGAATTAAACTTAGTCGGAGGAGGCTTGCAGAGCTCAGTAATTGTTGTTCTGAGATATGCTGAGATGCAAGTACTTGGAAATGAGGTTAGGCTTCGGTGACTGCACAAACTTGTTTTTGTTGCAGACAGTTGAAGATCTGTTCGCCTGTCGTCTGGATCTGCCTTGAGTATTCGCAATGCGAGAAGGGTTGCTGATGCTCTGCGACAGAGGCCCCACGCACACAAGTCGATACTCAACATCATTCAACAGCGAGACTACGATTGCTAGTGAAACTCTTCATGATCACAGGGCGGCTGCAGCTCCTGCGGCGTCGGTTCTGGAGGCTGGTTTTGTTTGAAGTAGATGCATCATGGAGCGAAGATCAGAGCCAACATCTTTGTCGGGACGAGCTCGGCTCAAAGAGAGTCGCCACAGAAACATTCATGTAGCCGCCCCCTGCTCCACTTGCAAGGTTGATGGCTCCGTGCTGGAGGGTGGTGGGCAGATCCTGCGCAATTCGCTGGGATATGCGGCACGCAAGCATTTCAGATGGCATGCAGGTCCACGATTGTTGCGTCCCATTTCATTCATGCTTTGCCGCCATGGTCACATGCCGAAGTGGTCAGTAGTTGCGAAGACAATCGAAGACAGCTGTGAATCTCAAAAGTGTTTCTTGCGAGCGACGAAAGCCCCGCGAGAGGGCTTACTGCGCTCTGCTGCCGCTCAGGCTGCAATCCTCGGGTATCCAGCAGCTCGTCGCAATTGGGGCTCCAAAGAATGGGCTGATGTGAGAGCCACCAAAATCTTGTGGTTTACTTGATCATGGGGCGATTGCATGACACGTGCTACATGCCAGCAAACATCAAACCTCTTCCACGATGAACAACGGAGTATTTGGATCTCCATAGAAGACATCGTGCAGACATGGGACAGCCGGGAAAGCGTTGCGCGTTGTCAATTTGCAGACTCAGAATAAGCTCAGGGTGCGTTCAACAGATGTGCCAGAATCACTAAAGAAATATCTTGAAATCGCAGGTGCGGATATCGAAGATCCGGGCTGGGCGCAAGACCCCTGGCTTAGCGGCCCAGCATTTGGAGTCCTTCAAGCTGGTTGGAGGCTTAGTCAACTAGGGGTGCCATTGCCATTTTCAGGTTGCTGTAATAGCTTATCATGGCTGACTAATCAGTGCTGTGCTTCACGATCCTTCTTTCACATTGTTTCAATCCCTAATCCCTGCTCGATGGCTATGTGACTGTAACCGCAAAGTCTCTGATTCCACGCTAGGCGTGGTTGAGACTTGCTTTGGCTTTAAAAGCGAAGCTCCGAAGCCACTAGCTTCAGGGCTCCCCGCGAAGCCACTAGCCTCAGAAACCCACGCGAAGCTCGGAAGCCAGGAGCTTCAGGGTTTCGGGCGCAACCACGAGCTGTCAATAGCTTCAAAGTTCGGGACGAAGCTCCCGAGCTACTGGCTTCACAGCTTCGTGCGAAGTGAATAGCTTCAAAATTGACGGCGAAGCTTCGAAGCCACTATAGACTTACAGCTTCACAAGCTTCGGTCGTTTCTCGAACCAAATCCGGCGGTCCCTCGAGTGTCTGCTTGCGGCTAGCGTTCGAAGCCCGAGCGTGCGTGACTTGATGGCACAGGGCAGAAGTGTTTTTTGAGCGGGCGCCAGATCACCACAGGCTGATGCGACTTGCTATGCTGTGATAGTGGTGAGTGTTCTCTACATGGTGTGAAAAGCAACGAGTTTATAGCCCTTGGTTGCATTCTATCAGTAGTGAATGAAGACTACACAGCTTGCGGAAGTCCAAGCGGGTGGACGTACCCTTCGTCCTGCGTATAGCCTATTTTTTGTTAAAGACAAGACGTGTCATCTGCATTATAGCTTGAAATTGGGTAAGACAAACAGTGCAGACCCGCCTGACTTTCATGCAAAGGCAGAGCAGCATGCACTGCTTGACTCGCAGCAGAGGTGCGCGACCTGACATCTGCGTCTTTGCAGGGTGACAAGGCACTGCTTTCGACACTGGGGCTGCGGGATGGCTGGGACGAGTAAACACCGTGTTCAGTTCCAGCTGAATGAAGCATTAGGGTGATTATTTGATCTGACTATCTGGACTTTAGCCCGCTGGGTGGGATCTTGCCAGGTTGGTTCCTGTGAAGTGACCTTCGCGCCCAAAAAGATGAAGCAGGCACTGCAGTAAGCGTAGCAGCCAGGAGCGTTTTGCTCGTGTACCTGCAGGGGAGCTTCTCCACTAACCCAAAGACGGCTGGTGCCATCACCCTGACTGTGCAGGCCAACTTCTTGTGCTCGCCTGTGCTAGCTTACCCTGCCAGAAATTGTCAAAGGGAATTTTAGGGACTGATGGTTGCTTCACTGCTTGAGTCGCTTCTTCCGCCTATAGGTGGTGTTGAAGATTCCAATTAAAAATTGATGCCGGATTGAATCTATTTCAGCTATTAGAATCCTTGGAGGGAGAGCATACTGATGATAGTGGTGGTAGTGGTGCCGGTGGCTGCGGCGGTCGCGGTGATGACTGTGTTGCTCATTCATCAGAATTGTCAGTTTGTATCAAATTGGATTCGCTAGGCTGGGCTGTTTCCGCTTGCCTTTGCTGGTGGAACCTCCGAGGCAGACCGGTTTCTTGGGCTGCCCTTGTGGATGTCTCTTAAACGACAAGATCCGCCTCAAAACATGATCCAGAGTAGCGGGACATGGAGTAGGGCCATGCTTTCCTGGCTGCTATGCAGACAATTGCCAACGTCGTCCAGGAACAATTAAATGGAAATCAAATAATCGAGCTTGGCTTCCGAGGATGATCGGGTCATGGGTTTATGGCCGACACGGCCCTGTCCTTGTGGCAAGAGAAGTCTTGTGTGATATTTTTCTACGGTGAAAACTGCAGTTTGAATGGGGGCCGCGCGGATGGACTATGGGAAGAGCATTACCAAGCATTACCGTCACCTCAGGTGGAAATGCGAGGGGGAACAGACGTCGACTTCTCCCCGTCATGCTGCCATGTATGCCGGTGTCGGACGGCCACCAAAGGGCAAAAGTTGGTTCATGCTGAACGACAGGCCCTTCGACTTCATGGTCAGAGCCGCGCCTTCAGTGCGTACATTCAAACGCACAGCAAGTGCAAAGGGTGGTGAGTGATGTTTGGCAGTTCGCATGCTAATGACTCCGAATCTGGTATCGAGGCTCTGACACCTACGGTTGCAAAAATGGGCGCTCTGTCCTCAATCGAGCTGGTTCGAATTCAGGGAGCAGGGCTAAAGCCCCGTGTAGACCTATAGGTCAAAGTCACGGCCCACTGTCAGCATCGCGGTTTCTTTCCGACCGGAGGCCCAGCACGAGTCAGCAAAGTTTCCTGGATATCTGCTTCAAAAAGTGTCCAACGAATGCCTTGATCCGGCAGGTGGCCTCGTGAATCTGTACGTGGACGGCCTTGCAGGCCCACGCCCAAGTCCAAAAGAGTCTACTCAATCCTTTTCTGTGGGGCTATGTTGCCTGCTTTCGCCACACTTGGTGAAGCCGGCGCCACTGAAGTTGTATGATGGTGTGGCGGAGCTCAAGTTTGGTGTGCATCCCTTCTGGAGGCGCTTTGAAGCCCATCGTGATAGACAAGCGCGGCCATGTCACGAAGATTGAGGAGTCCCGGTTGTTGTGCGACGGTCCGCTTTCACATCGAACTGCCCCCTTCGCATTGTCTGGGGCGCACTGGTTCGGATCGGCTTCAGCATTAGACTTTCGAACTCGCAACATCTCGCAATCTTTAAGTCGGCAAGCCATGGGAGTCCTCACAGGCCATCTGCTACGCAACGCCCCCCAGCGGCTGGCTGGATGAGGAAGACGTCACTAGGACGGGAGACGCCTGAGTTCAAAGACTTGCCTATTTGCCTACCATGAGCAGCATGAAACCACTTGTGGCTTCTGAGCGAGCAAGATCCACTCTCAAAACCCCTCGCCGGAGGACGGAGGAGGACTTCGAGCCATGGCTGCTGGAGGCCCACGGAAATATTGAGTGACGCAGTTTCACTGCTTCTTTTGCCATCGCAACCGCTCTTGTATACTTCTGCACGCAATCCTGGATGCCAGCTGTTGTGTAAGACATCACACTAGTCACTAGTCCAGTGCGGTAGGCATATTGCAGACAGTAGTCCACAGCATAAGCTGCCGATGAACCAGGCCGGCTCTGTCAGGCATTCAAAATCCCAAGAAGCTTCGTTCCCATGTTAACTATCATGTTTGAGAACTTGCATCAGGAGTTGGCTGACAGCGGCGCTCCAAAGCCGAAGGCATGCCAAGAAGATGGGCAAGCATTCAAGCAGCCACCCTCTGCGCAGTTTTAGAATGAGATTGCAACTCCATGAGCAAGGCAGTTGGTAGAAAGCTTGAGAGTTGCTGTTTTTAGGTGCAGGTTCGCTGCGAAGCGGAGCAGATGCCTGAAGGGCAGAAGGCTGGCGTAGCCTGGCCATCCCCCCCAGTCAGCCCCAGTCAGGACCTGAGCTGAAAAAACAACCCCGCATATAGAAATTATACTAAAGCATGCAGTATAGCTTTGATATGGCCACAGTTCNNTGGGCGGCCCCTTAGAACGGTGACAACTTGGGGTTGGCAGAGATGTTCTTTCATTGGCAGGCGCGCATGACCGACACGCAACCGATACCCCTTGCAGCAAGCAGAAGTGATGACAGAAGGTCAAATTCTACTAGAGTTGGCAGGCATTCTAATGGAGCCGACACCGATACCCTTACCGATGCCCCGGACCCCACTTGGGAAGGACATGCGACTGTAGCCTCAGTTTTTGATGTGGTAGGAACATGGGCGTGCCTACATGGTGCGCAGCATTTGTTCTGCAGTAGGACACCAAAGGGCATCGCAATATGGGTTTGGAAGAAGTAGCAGCTCAGAATAAAGGCTCCACTAGGGCTGCCCCTTGTCCGGATGAAGGCGGCCCCAGGTAAAACTAACGGTGAACGGTTGGGTTTAATTCAGCTGGACCGCTGTTGCAAGAGTCGCGAAGTGGTCCGCCAGCTGTGCACACGGTGGATGGGATAGAAGAAGCGAATGAGATGGGGTGCGTTTGGCGCAGGTGTTCAAAGCTGCATGTGACATCCTCGTCATGCTCTCAGCTCTCATGGACATCTGGAGTGACGGCTCTCACATTCATGATAGGATTGTAAGCAGCCAGAAGTCGCGAGGGCATACCCCCAAACAGAGAGTGTAGTTTCAGTGCCAGGACATCACCCTGATTCCGATTGAAACCGTGGAGCAAGCTTTCTTGCCTTGAAGGTGGAGATGTCTGGAGGAGGTGTTTTTCACGCGTCGGGAGGTCCGCTGGACGGGCCAAAGGCCGGAACAGATTGCTCTTATCACAGTCACCATGTCAGCTTTCAGTCATGAATTCCTGTGGCCATACAGGGCAGGGGCTCCTTGTACGACGTGTGGGGTGCTGCAGCTGAGAAAGCGCGAGTAGCTCAGCAAGAATCCGTTGGCCAGAAGCGTGTGCATTCTTGCTTTACGCATGAGAAGCGCTGGAAAGTGGTTGAGGTTGTAGAGTCCCATTTTGCATCAGCTATTCAGCCAGGTTAGTGCCGCTGAAAGCGCAGCTGAAGACTGGGGCAGCGCTGGATGAACACCTTCTGGACTGTTGAATGCTTGTTGTTCCATCCTAGAGGCCTGGTTCTTGCAGAGTCGTTGGGGTGGATTCTTGCGAGCAAGACTACAGGCTTGGGTTACTCTTCAGGCATTTCATGGACTTGCTGAAACGTGCCCTGTGAATTTAGCAAGTTGAGTTGCTTAAAGAGGCGTTGAAACAGAACGCTGGTGTAAACTTGTGTGGGTCAACGTACTGCGGGGATGTACTCTGGCATATTCCTGGGAATCAGCGGTTTGGGAGCAAAACGATACAGGCGGTGGTTTCACGGTATGATGTTGCGTTTGCTCTTGAGCTTCTACACTCACAATGCTTGGAGAGTCATCGCTTTGTGGTGGTGAGGATCAACTTATTCTTCCGGCCAGCTTGGCAGCAGGCAGCTCTCGCCTGCTGGGCTCCAAGGACAGGGTGGTGCAGAGTATCCTGTTAAGCCTTTGGCTCCACTTACATGCTGGCTTTGTTCAGCGGGGCAGTAACATTGACAACCAAAATGGACCATGGATTCCTGCATGTATCTATTGCGCGGCAGTGTCAAGCCTTGCACATCCACCTCAATGCAGGAGTTGACCCTACATGTCACGGACCCAGTTCTTCATGCTACTGCACAGTGCTGTGGCCTGCGCTCTTTTGAATGTGGTTTTGACAGGACATTCATGTGAAGCGTACAAAATCTTGTTTGCTTACAGGCCCAGACTGCTCTCCACATCGCAGAGAAGATGGTTCCTGGGGTCAACGTGAAGGCTTTGCCTCCCCTTGGTGCCTTTTGAAAGTACTTCGTTCGAGGGCCATCCTTTCAGGTGACTTCACAAAGTGGCACTGACCTAAGGACAAAGTCTTGTGACAGGAAGGCAGGTCTTCGACGTTGCTCGCATGATTCTCAAGTTCAGCTGGCTGCGACAGAATGCTGCAGCATGCATAAGTATCCGATGATTGCCGCCGCTGTTCTTGCAGATATGATAGAGTGCGCTTGCTCAGGCCTCAAGCTTGTGGAAATTACGGGCATTGGTCGCAAATCTGGCGATGCGTTTGGACCCCAAGCCAAACTCAGGTAAACGGCAAAGCCCGGTGGATGATTTTCTGCTTTGGCTGAAGTTCGGGATGCCCCAACACCTTCTCAAACAACTTTCCGTCCCAGTGAGGCCGTTGTCGCCGCCAGGCGGTGCTGGCGCGCCGACGCTTCGCGCAGCACTCCCGTCCGGGGGCCCAGGACGGGCTTTCAAACAAACCTGCTAGGAAAGTCTCACGAATTCTGTGGCGATGCAGTCTTTGTCACATAATATCATAAGAGAGCTCACAAGCGGCACGGTGTCTAAAGCGAAGAGTGACAGGGCAACCACAAACCAAACTCCACAAAGATTGGCCAAAGCCGTGAACTCCGTTTGGACCGAAGGCTCAGAAATGTCCACGATTGCGATGGCTCTCATTGAGCCTCAGAAACAACGTCAAAAGCGGATTTCAATGTACATCAGACTGCTCGAGAATCCGAAAGCACGTCCAACAATGTGGAAAAACTAGTTGACTTGGTATGTCTTTCGGAAGGTGAGACCGAATCGTATCAGAATGTGTATCAGGGGTAAGAGTCAGAGCGGACAATACAACATCTGCCACGAGGCTTGTAGTTGGTACGTTGGTTCGAAACCTCTTATTAAAACTAGCATATGATTTGGAACCCTTGCTGCTGATGCTTGTATCAGTCAGTTCTTGCAGCTTCTGTTGAGCGGTTGCGTTGCTCCTTGAGTTGCTTGCAGGCCTGGGACCCTCAGCAAAGTCAGGTGCTGAGTTGTGGGGGGGTTTGGCATACCGGATGCTGTACAGATGCAGCCATCGAATAGGGGCTCAGAATTTGCTGGTAGTGTAGCTCAAACCATAAATCCATAGCTAAGACGCAGGCGCCGGAGCAACTCCGAAGCGACCTTCGTGGGGACCTGGGCCACTTCTCGGCCAAGAACGGCGTCCGCGCCGAAGCGGAGGCCCAAATTTCACGGCTAATTTGTTGGGTCATGCCTGTTGCCATGCGAAGTCGACATTTCTGTGCAGATGTCCAACGGAGCAAGCTTTTGTCCAGGTCGGTGGCGACTGTATCTGCATTCAGGGCTGTGAAGGTCCTGACCACGCCCGGCAACTCCGCCAGGAGTTTGAGGCCTTGTAAGTTTGTAAGAGTTATCAAAGGACAAGACTGTACCAGCATGTACCAGCCTTCAGAGGAGAAGTGGACCTGTGTCTCCCGTTCCACCTGGGCAGGCCATTTGCAGCTACTATAGCTTTCCAGCTCCTCAATGGAGTTGAGCGGCTGAGAAGAGGCTGTAACAAGAGCTATGCACATCCTAGGACAGACGCGATCTCTTGCAGAGCGCGAGAGACGTTACCGTGGGACAGGAGAGGTCTAGATGCTTACAGGGGTTGCAGCATGCTTTCAAGCAGGCTGTGCCTCCACACCTATAGATTGTGTCACCGCTGAAGAAAAATTCGCGAACTGCTGCTGCTGTTGTGGCGCAGTAGGGCCTATTCATCAACATCTTTTGTGAAGGGGGTACAGGGTACCGACCAGCAGTGAGGTGTAGCTACACGCAAGCGCTGGAGAGCGAGCTGCGGTCCAACTCGCGGACCCTGCGAACGTTGGATGATAGCTCCGCGGCTTGAGATGTCAATCTCAGTGCTGCATAGCAAGTCTTGCTGCCACTGCGAGCGTAGTGTACCTTGCAGTCTGCTGGCATCTTTCTTGGCAATTGTATGCACTTGTGAACACGACGCTGCGAATTACAAGGTTGCGCTGGGCTGGAGCAGAAGCTTGCAGACCAGACCAGCAACGCAGTAGAGGTTTTGGCTGGCCGCCTGAAGGCCGAGGGAAAGTTTGATGTCCCTAATCTCAGCAATGCACGCTGACAGCTGGAGGTCAAGCTGCGCCTCTCTGGACTGCGATGCCTCATGGCCTCGTCCAAAGATTGTCCAAAGGATTTGCAAGCAGTCAGGCAAGAAGAGTAAGCTTACGCAGCATTTCTGGTGCAACGTTATGTCGCAGATTCGAGTTTCAGTTGAAGGGGAAAAAAGGTAGGTCTCTGGCTAGCCGCCATTCCGGCCAGCATTTGTGCCGCGTGAATCGAGGCCTGGCGCGAAGTCATGGTCGTCGTGAAGGCAGAGAGGCCTGGTCAAAAGTCCCTTCAAAAGAGAAATAGGGGTTATTAACTTATCCGGATGTTGAGCTGGGCAGCCTGCTCTTGAGTCCTGGGCAGCCTGCTGTTCTTCAGGTGGCGTGAAGCAGAAGCCCAGAGAATCTTAGAAGAGCGGAGACCTCAGGTCCACCTGAAGCGGCTGACTTTGTTCGCGCAAGGAGCCGGAGGGATTCGATATCTTGTGCACACTGTGCCCTTGCAACCCCATTTCTTGTTTGGGTTTGTCGACTGTTGAGCCTGAGAACAGTCATTGTAAGGTCAGATGCACAGCTTCTTCGTTTGCAAGGCATGAGCTTGCTCACGAGTCCAGACTGCCACAATAGTCTCGAAGTGAATTATCATGGGCCCCAAGCAAGTCAAGCTTCATGGCTATATAACAGCACTCCTCGCACCCATCGTGGCCAGAGGACGGAAGCCGATGGCAAACCAAAACGGCACCAGTGACATGTGAGTCGTTACAGTATGCTGTAATGTCGACAGGCCGCACCTTGAAGGCTCTGCGGGCTGCCAAGCACCGTGCCATTGGCCTTGAGTATGTCCCTGGCTTGGAATTCTCTTCGCGTATGGCACGGCAGTGATTAGATGGGCAGTGATTAAATGGACAAGTGAGCCAATTTTGCATGACTAAGGTGAGCAACATGCTTTTCTTGTACCGCATGAAAATTCTGCAGGCGCAGCTGGTACTGAGTAGCAATGCAATCAAACCTATTCAAGCTTGCTATGCTTGGTGGACACATGCGCACCTGGGCTGGTCCGCAATTGCTCTGTACTCTTTACATGTCTTTGCTTCCACGGTAGTGTGAGTTACTGTGAGTTGCTGCAGTTGCTTGCAGCATGAGTGCCAGACGGCATGTGAGCAACAAGCTCTCCAGGACCATCATAGGTCCAGACAAGCCCAGTGGCAAGTAGAGCGAAGGATGTGAGTTTACTGGAGTGATGGATGTAGCGCATGTTGCAGCAGGAGTGTATGACCGCCCTGCAGAACTGCTTCAGGTGCACCTCTTCATGTCTTGGCGACTGCACTGCAAGGCTCGCATGGGAGGGGGGGGGGCATTCTGATGACATTAGGCCATTAGTAAATGATTGCCATCTTTCAACGTGGCATGGAGATGCATGTGGGTGCCCAGGCGGAGAACTTCTCGAAAGCGTGGCAGACACACAAGACAGAAATCCGTGAGCGCCGCCAGGAGGTGCTGGCCTAAAGAGCTTCCACACATAAGATGCAGGAAATCCCTGCTTGAGGCATTGTATACAGCGGTCACGGATCTAATGTCATCAGAGTTTACCCTTTAGCGCCTTTGCTTTTTGAGAGGCTGCTGCGCATCTCAGAAGCAGATCCGAGTCGTCCGCAAATCTCACATTCCTCGTGCAGCATTGGCCAAAGCAGGTCATCCGTCAAGCTCTTGAGGTGGACGAGGATGCATCTGGCGTTCGAAGAACCAATGATTTTTCTTGTTGCCCGCAGGAGCAGGATGCAATCCACGACACAGCTGTGGCCGTGTCAGACGTACCCAGCATTGTGGATGACAATCAGGTCTGCAGCCAGTGCTCAGACAATAGTAGGGCGGAAGTTGTGTTGCACTTCGGGGATTTTTGCTGTGAGGAATAATGTTTTGTCTTGTAAATGAGAAGTGAAGCTCGGACTTGGCAGTTCCAGGATCAGCTTTCCCAACTTCGTTTGGTGCAGGAGGCTGCAGCGCAGGACTGCGCTGAGCAGCTCCAGGGTTATTGTTGTATCTAAGTATCTTACTGCTACAGTATGATGATTTAGCTAACGGTAGAAAGCTCCCGATGCATGTGAATTGTTGAGGACGCAGCTGAGCGCGCGGTTCGGAGGGCTGAGGATGAGGCTAGATGGAACAAGAAATTCCTTGCTCAGAGAAGCCTCGGCATGCGCAAGCTTGTTTACGTTAGGCAGCTGTTTGCTGTAGACTGATCCCTTACTTGAAGCACAGTTTCATCAACCAGAGCAGTCTCATTTCAGTCAACCCTGTGGAGTATGAGCAGTGCAGTAAGCTTGTGCCACGTGCCGACAGGCCACCCTTGCACGCCGTGAGGCTCAGGACACAGCAGAGCGCCTGCGCCTGGCACAGCTAGTGACGGCCTTGGATGGCTTCTACACTTGCATCTATCTCTCTCTCTCTCCCTGCCTCTCTCCAACTCTCTCTTTTCTCTTCGCTCCCTTTTAACAAAGAAGGAAAGAAGAGTTGTTCGTAAAGCCTCGCATGCTTTGGAGCCAGGAAGCTCGCGAGTGGCTGGCAGCCCTGGACGCAGCCAGTCTGGAGCTTGCAAAAGCGCAGAGCTCCAGCGAAGGTGCTGAAGATGACGAGGCGACGCAGGGTAAGCAGCAGATACCCGGGAAGATCAGTCAAAAGCATTCTGCTCAGGCCGTTGCGGAGGCTGCT